TTGACTGACAAATCGATCAAATCCTTCGGAAAATACAGGTTATCAAAGAAAGTCAAATTCATTGATGTCTGAGAACAGTATTCATTTTTGTATGTTTCAAAAATATCATTGAAAATGTGGTTCATCATATCCAATATTATTGATTAAACTAGTTGATTTGGGGTTGGGTATTATTAATTTGATACAGTGGTAGTGGTTTAGGAATCCTACCTGGGATTAGTATACCTCTACTTTTAATATATTACCGATTTTCAATAGCTGCATCAATACTGTGAATGGCAAGTGAACAAGGGGAATTGCAAACCCTATACAGTGTTTTGATTTTTCATCAAAATTACATATTCATGGGCAATCTCTTTTAAAACAATGATTATGCATCATAGATTTTGAATCTATCATTAGGAATTTCATACATTTTAATTATATTCGAAAAATGTCTATGGAAGCATCCAATTTGATTGATATAATTCTTTGGTATGGTTTCGAATTAAATTCAAGTTCAAATAAACATTATTCAGTTAAAATTCAGATAGAAACGAATGTTAATACAACTTGTGAACTCATCATGGTACCTAAATTTCAAGGAAAATGTTTGTTGGAGTTCATATATTTTGAAGTGGAGAACACGAATACAATGATGAAAATTTTTCGCTCAATCGCAAATTCATCTAAAAATTCCAAGTAGGAAGACACATTTTTTATAGAAAAATTACAACGTATATCAGTCAAAAAAGGGTTTCAATTTGAATTCCATAGTTCCTAATAAAACTATTTTGACATCCAACAATGGCGGCAGTTTCAGCAAACTAGCAAGCAATGAAAATGAAACAAAATGCAATATAATTTTTTATCAAAAGTGTGAACAGTTTATAAAGGATATACCTTTATTTTATTTTTGAATATTGAAGCTTTCCTCATCAAATGTTTTTATCAAACGTCACTTATTATGAATGCAAATTCTGAACTAGAAACAAAAAAATTAACCTTAATGCGTTGAAAGTTAAAACGGATACATTATTATGAGGAAGACATAATTTTTTTTATCAATGCTGGCTAAACTTCCCTACTAAAATTCTTTGAGAAGAGGTGCAGCTTCCAACTTTTTTCTGATCAATTCTACACAAAGTACTCCGGTTTGTTCCTCGTTTCAAAATACCTGATTTCCAAAATTTTTATTTTTAAATTTGGAGCAAATGATTCATGTGCAATTTCACCGCATAGAAAATAAACGATTGATTCATTTATGTAAATTTTTTGGGATTTTTTCTCCTGGAATGAATATTACACTTTCTCGTTTCAACTCCAGACAGTATTTAAAATAGAGTATGCTTAATAAAACAACAATAAAACAGAAAATCTCGATTTGAAACCGTTCTCGGATGCTTCTGGAAGTAATACCATAAAAATTCAAACCAAACAATACCGGGTGACAACAAGATAATTGGATGTCACTCAGTTGATTTTGAGGTTAGAAATTTGAAATTTGGAACGTTGATAGTTTTTTAAAACCCATATTTTATTTCGTGGAAAATCAATCGAATTTTAAATGGAACCCTGTATATATTCGGGTCGATTCTGTTCAGATCTTGTATGATTGACACACTACGCCTCTTGTTTTTATTTTCAATTGATAAATCATTGAAGGCTGTCTTTTTCATTAACCCACCTGAATAAATAACGATGATTTCTTGATGGAAAATACACTCACCGGCAAAAAAAAACCGGCCACCCTAAAAAGTTGTTCGCCCTGTAACTTCTTTAGTTCTTGTCGGATTTTGGTGAAATGTTGATCAAATCGTAGATTCATGTTCCGAAATGTTAACCTGAATATGAATTCCCAGAAAAGCTGATAGCTTGGCCATTATACAGGGAAAAACAAGAGTTACTCATTTACCCATAACTTCTTAACGCCCTGTGGCTGAAGTGAGTGGTTGAACTCCTCTTCATTATGTCTTGGATTGAAGAGTATTCTTTTCTCATCACAATAGTTTTTGATTCACGTCGATATCTCATTTTTTAGAAAAGATACGAGGGTTTCAAGAAAGTATGGAGTTATTCAAGTTTTATTAACAATCATCAGAACGTACATACATAAACTTATCGATCGACAACTTAAAAAAAACATCTTAAAATCAATATGGCTTATTTCCACATTGTTTTCTTGGTATACTTTCCTTCGAAAATTGCTGTCGATTGACACTTCACTTCTACCGGCAGAAAAATACTGGTCACCCCTCGATTATTTAAAATAAAATAGCAGGCTTGGACAATTGTCTGGAGTGATTTTGACAGTTAATCAATAATACAAATCAGCACCTTTTGTTTTAGTTCGTATTTCACGGTAGCATGCAGCATGTCATTATTGTTGTTAAAAAAACGACAGTTTTGGGGTAATAATAATGGCGTTAACTGTTGCGGATGTTGCTCAAGTGGTAGCGTTGCTTCAAAATGGTCACAGTCAACGTTATGTGTCTCGAACATTAGGAATACCTCGAACTGCAGTTCAATATGTCTGGAATCGTTTTCTGGAGACTGGCAGATTCGAAAGGCGTGCTGGATCCGGAAGAAGAGCAACAAGTAGGGTTGATGATCGTTTTGTTGCGCTTAGATCGTCCAGGAATCGCCAAACAACATTTTTTCAGCTTCAACATGAATTGCACGCTGTTCGAGGTGTTGATGTCAGTGAAAGAACCATCAGACGGAGGCTTGGAGAATATGGTTTGGCATCGAGTAGACCTGCTACAGGACCGCAGTTGCTACCTAGGCATCGTAGAACACGACTACAGTTTGCACGGTTACATGCAAATTGGACACTTCGACAATGGAAAGAGGTTCTCTTCACCGATGAGTCACGCTTTTGTTTGCGATCACCTGATGGTCGAGGAAGGGTATGGAGAAGACAAAACGAGCGATTTGCGGACTGCACTATCTCTGAACGGGTATCTTTCAACGGAGGTTCAGGTATGGGGTGGGCAGGCATTTCTACAGAAAGACATACCGACCTCGTATTTGTGGAAAATGGTGCTTTGAACGCCCACAGATATGCGGAGGATATTTTACAAGAAGCTGTCGTCCCATATTCCCATTTTATTGGAGACGGCTTTGTCTTGATGCATGACAACGCCAGACCACACGTTGTTCGAATTGTAACCGAGTATTTGAATGAGGTCGAAATTCTAAGGCTTGACTGGCCAGCATGCAGGCCAGATCTCAATCCTATAGAGCATCTTTGGGATGAGCTACAGAGGCGCATTCGTCTACGTCCGGCATTGCCAGAGACTCTTCAAGAGCTACGATTCGCCCTTCAAGAAGAATTTGAGGCAATTCCTCAAGACTGCTTGAGAAATCTGATCAACTCGATGCCACAGCGATTAAATGCTGTGATTCGAGCTCGAGGAGGGCATACTCGGTATTGAATGCATCTAGGAGATCTACTTTTCGTTGTAATTAAGGTTTTTTGTGTAGGTGTATCTACGTTCTGATTATTGTTAATGTTGCTCTTCTTCTTCCGGATCCAGCACGCCTTTCGAATCTGCCAGTCTCCAGAAAACGATTCCAGACATATTGAACTGCAGTTCGAGGTATTCCTAATGTTCGAGACACATAACGTTGACTGTGACCATTTTGAAGCAAAGCTACCACTTGAGCAACATCCGCAACAGTTAACGCCATTATTATTACCCCAAAACTGTTGTTTTTCTTTTTAACAACAATAATGACATGCTACCGTGAAATACGAACTAAAACAAAAGGTGCTGATTTGTATTATTGATTAACTGTCAAAATCACTCCAGACAATTGTCCAAGCCTGCTATTTTATTTTAAATAATCGAGGGTGACCAGTATTTTTCTGCCGGTAGAAGTGAAGTGTCAATCGACAGCAATTTTCGAAGGAAAGTATACCAAGAAAACAATGTGGAAATAAGCCATATTGATTTTAAGATGTTTTTTTAAGTTGTCGATCGATAAGTTTATGTACGTTCTGATGATTGTTAATAAAACTTGAATAACTCCATACTTTCTTAAAACCCTCGTATCTTTTCTAAAAAATGAGATATCGACGTGAATCAAAAACTATTGTGATGAGAAAAGGATACTCTTCAATCCAAGACATAATGAAGAGGAGTTCAACCACTCACTTCAGCCACAGGGCGTTAAGAAGTAATGGGTAAATGAGTAACTCTTGTTTTCCTTGTAAAAGGACCAAGCTATCAGTTTTTTTGGGAATTCATATTCAGGTTAACATTCCTGAACGTGAATCTACGATTTGATCAAAATTTCACCAAAATCCGACAAGAACTAAAGAAGTTACAGGGCGAACAACTTGACTAAATTTTTTGGTGGCCGGTTTTTTTGCCGGTGAGTGTAGAAACAGAAACGAGGCATAGTGTGTCGAGCATTAATCTTTACATAACGACCCTTTACTTAGATATTACGTTGAAAAAAACGACATTTCCTATTTGAGATGTTCGAGGAAATTCAAGAGGAAGAATGCCATTTGTAATAATCACTAATAGGAATCCTGATTGGCGATGAAGAATAATTGTCACATGTTTCATCAAAAACTAATCGAAGTGCTTTGTGGATATGATGTTTCATCAGGATGCTTAAAAAAAATCGATCGATGAAGTCTCAATGTCGCCATATTGATTTTAGATAAAATGTCTCCTGCGCCGTCATTTTGAAAAAAAAAATGTTCACTTGCGATATTATACGTATAAGTATAAGTAATGGATCAGAAGGGGGTTTAGGGGGGAGGGATCATTTGCGATCAAACTAACGGTATATGTGGTTATCGAATTGTTGAATAACCCCATATGTTATACCATTTAAGAATCTGTATTAAATGGGCAACTTTTTCTTATAATTGGTTATCTTTGTGGGGTAGTTTTTAAATCTGCCAGTGGCATTTAAAAAATCCACCAAAATATTTCATTCAACGACAAAACTCAAGGAAAACAACGTTTTTCTCAAGTAGATAAGAAGTACCAAATGTCATAGAATTTGTAAAAGAAAAAATCACCAATGTGACATAGTTTTATTGTAATTCTTTTTATAGAAATTAAAAAAAAACTCATGAACCACCAACAATTGGATAACCACCCCACTATTTTCGATCCTTGACTTATGGGACACCCTGTATAACTGAAAAATAAATTTCTAGCTCTATAGAATGGCGTGAAAATACATACAGAATTCCAATTAAAATTCTTGAATTAGGTCAATTTCTGGTGAAATCCGAAGTGATAATTGTTTTTTATGGAAAATATGGGTTTTAAGGAACTATATCATCCACCCGTATTTCAAAATTCTGACTTGAAAAACAACTGAACAACGCCCTGTCCGATAATCTCGTTGTCACCCGGTATTATCCGTACTTTCGATAACTGCAAGCAACCCTACTTATTCTTCTCTCTTATGGGAAATTTGTTCTCACTGAACGTGAGCCTGAGAGAATCCAGAGTTTTCACGGACTCCGTCGGGCTCGAAATATCACTAGAAAAACTGTTCTCTCGCAAATTACTCAACCCCACCTCTACCTCTACCTCTCCCGACGTCTCCTCTTCTCTGACGTCTCTCTCCAATGACTTTTTCGCTTCCTCGTATAGCCCGACGAAAGAAACGTCGAAGAACAGCTCGTGCAGTACGCGCCTGGTCGGCAACCTGTAGATGTTCTCCGACATCATTTTGCAGACCTCGGAGAACACGCAAAGGTCCTTGAATGTGTCCGGTTCTCGTTGCTTGAACCGTATCAAGTGAGATTTGACGTATTTATTCGAGATTGGATTCGGCAACCTCTCGACGTTTTCCAGAACTTCCAGTTTGGATTCATCTGGAAAATCATTAGGAATCATCAGTTGCGTTTTATTGTCATTGCTAGTGCATTGTCGATCTAAATGAAATCCTAGTAGGCGACCTATTTTATTATTTTGGCATACGAATCGTATTTTTCGGCTATTCATTAATTCGCTCATGCCATCACATTGTGCTGTTGTACAATACACAAAAACTGCAGCGGGAGACGAAGGAACTCGGTTGGTACATTATGATTCAAAAGTAAGTACCTACTATAGTCACTCACATATAGTTTTCATTTTTGAAGTTAGGTTATTTCTCTGATTTCCCATCGGAATTCCTTCTGCAATAGGAGCTAATTGGAATATTCGTGAAATTTCTAAAATAATGCAAGAAGATTGGATTTATGCAATCAAACGGGAGGACTGGTCTGACATGCTGACGGAAATATGATCGTGTGTGTTTAAATCATTTTCAATCTATTAGCAGTATTAGCTTGTATTGCAGAAGTAGCACAAGGAATTTTAATAATGAATGACAACATTTCATAATGAAAACTATGAGAGCTTCCTATTCACCTGAAAATCATATTCCTCCGTCTCCCGCTGCATTTTTTTGTGCATTGCACAACAGCACAATGCGAAAGCATGTTTGAACTAATGAATAGCGCAAAAAACACGATTTCTCATGCCAAAATATTTGAAAAACTATTTCAATCCTTTGATTCCTCTGTAAACAAATAAAAAAAGTGAGGTTTTGTTTCAATAGTTCACAGAAGAGTGAAGTTGTGTTTCTATATTTTACCTCCAGGGTCGGTTATCGTGCACGCGACCTATGTGGAAAGAGCCCATTTGTTTATGTCAAAATAGACAATTTTTCATGCCAAAATATTTTGAACAACTATTTCAATCCTTTGATTCCTCTGTAAACAAATAAAAAAAGTGAGGTTTTGTTTCAATAGTTCACAGAAGAGTGAAGTTGTGTTTCTATATTTTACCTCCAGGGTCGGTTATCGTGCACGCGACCTATGTGGAAAGAGCCCATTTGTTTATGTCAAAATAGACAATATTAGGTTGACATCCTCTTCTTCTATTTTTCTCCAGTATGTACTCAACCACAGACGTACTTTCCATCATTGACGTGATATTTGAGATTGGAATGTCGTAATCGTAAAATTATACATATAACAGTTGTCATTAACTTATAATCTTTGGAAGAAGTCCATGGTAACTCAAAGTGGAGTGGTATATTTGATAGATGAAGAAACCCAAAGTCATCTCCACAACATAAAACTTGGGTCCATTTCTAAAAGCGCCTCCTCCTCCAAAGAAAAACTACCATGTTGGATATATGGTTCAATAATGAATGTCTTCGCCGTAATATTGTTCCAGGTTATGTCACCCTTAAGACTAGGGCACGTAAGTACTCAACTAGGATTGCCATACAGTCTACCCAGAAGATTTGGATCAAGCGCCACTATGTCAGATTGGTGGATGTCAACAATAAATTAAATTGGCTTTACAATGAACTTACTCATGCTCTGCATGGTCTTGAGCTTGGTGTCATGCTCTCCTCTTCCTTGATTTTGTTGAGGATCAACGTAAGAATTAATATTTGTTGATATTTGTGTCATGAAAGAACAAACTGTCTCGGTTAGATCGAAATATTCATCCAGCTAAAAAAAAAATGGTGTGGAGATGACTTTCGGTTTCTTCATCTATGAATAACTTATAACTTTGTCTTTGTGGATGTGTTGAACTTTGAATTCGAATTCTCCGAGATTACAATTATACCTTATTATTTCTTCTAGTATTGGTTGTTCTATTATAGTTTGATTGGTTTGTGAGTGCGATAGTGTTATTTTGCAACGTCTTCTGAAAACTTCCTGGTGCCATTCGGTCTCGGAACGTCGAATGTGTGGTGGAATGTTTAAAATGTTTGACAAAAAAGGGGATTTGACATGCATCATGTAAGGGGCGAGTAATGAGGCACACACAAACAATACAACACCACCTTTAATGACCCCAACACCTTACAACCTTGTCACTTGGCTGACTGTAATATACTGACTAATTACTAATCTCCTATCTTCAACCGTTCTGCATTCCGTGATTCATCATACTCGTAATCACCAACCGCCGTCCGCTTATGTTATATACTGTGTGTATAACAATCATATTAATTTTGTTGTAATCGGAAACTTTGAGAAAAAATAGTAGATACGGAAAAAAATTTCAACAGTTAATTTTACGATCAACTCTTAGACCTGTCATTAATTCTATTTGCAATTGTAATTTATATGCAGTTAGCAAAAGCAAAATTCTCCTTTTTGTTTTTTTCGTCTCATTAGATTAATTGTATTATCAATACATTGTTCGATGTCAACCTTGTCATTCTGTCAATTTTGCTCTTGGTATATATGTTCTTCTGGTTCTGGCTTTTGTCTTGTGGCCGACAGTCTGATGATACTCAAAGTTTGAATGAATTGTTTGAATTTTTATCTCACTTTGATTTTTCCTGATGTTTAATCAAGTAATCAATTTGTATTTCTGGTTGTTCGGTCAATACAAATCGTAATTTGTTCCCTCCAGGACTGATTTACGGATAACAACCATTTCAAATTTTATATCCTAATTATTTTCACATGGCTTCTTTATGAGTAAGAGTTCTTTCTGGATAGTAGCAGTCGTACAATTATCATTGTTTTCCTTACAGGTAAAATGTTTCGTGTCTGATGATAGCCGTAGTGCCGAAACCAATTACACTTTTTTTATTTTCGTAATATTTAGTTTTGTAGTCGACTGACTTTGAAAAATTCTGGACCGCTTTGAGAATAACGGATGGTTTCCTCGACAAATCTTTGACTTTTCAGGATCTCGTTTCCCTCAAATGGACTGCTAATCACTAATATTAACAATGTGTGGAAAATACGGCAACATTAAGCAAGGAGGGCAACATATCAGCATCTGCAGTACTTCACAATGTGCCGATAATTTTGAAATTCTATAGCTACAATCACTCTTTTCCAGAAAAAAAGGGTACTGAGGACTGGTAGTTAACGATGTCATTTTCAAAGGAAAATTCCGAATTTCATGTCACAGTGTACGTAATTCACTAAGTCGAAGAATAATTTTATTAGAATACAATAAAACAGAAGCAACTAGTTAGAATGAAAACAATATTTATTGAAAACGACAATCAACTAGGTGATTAGGTTCATTTGAAATAAACGTCGCTAATATACACAAACTAGAAAGCTCTCAAAGACCTCTTTTCAGCTCTGTTGTCCATGAAAAATCATCCAGAATGGGATGGAATATTTGAGATGAACACCTCACATCTTTTGAGCTTATAGAAGTCAATCCACTGCAATTTAGCATTATGGTTTTCAGAGAAAAATATCGTATAAAATTCATAAAATCTTCCTGCCCATGCGTGATGCTCACTCGAAATATGCTATTGAATACATCGTAGGTATACAGGGTCACACCGAAGTGCACCGAAAATGTTCTATTTGAATAGGGACACCCAGTGTATTATTCCAAATATAACATGATTGAAATCGAATGAAAAAAAAAATAATCGAAACCTCAACTGCTCAATATATCGTCCATTCTGCTGCAAACATTTCCTAGCTCTTTTGATAACGTTCATTGTGACCCTATGTATCACGTTTCGATCAATTTGTGCCCATAAATTTGTGATTTTCTCATTCATTTCTTCCATATTCACAATTGGCGACTCATAAACCTGTTGTTTCAAGTAGCCCCACAAATGAAAATCAAGTGGGGTGAGGTCTGACGACCGAGCTGGCCAGTTGCTATCACCATCGAGACAATTGGTGGTTATTAGATTTTCTCCAAACCGATGGCGAAGATAATTCTTTACGGGTCTGTAGATATGTGCAGGACGCACTTATTATCATTCGATTATAATCGTGTTATATTAATGGAATCTAATCATATAATTTTTTTATTGAATCGTTTTATTTTTTGCTATATCTTCGTAGTCGTTTGAAAAAATCCCGACAAACCCGGCATTGTTGAATTTGTAATAATGAACTCTACATGAATATGGAATAATATACTGGGTGTTCCTATTTAAATAAGAAAGTTGAGGTGCACTTCGATGTGACCCTGTATATCTACGATATTTCGAATGAGCATCATCACATATACTGGGTGACCAAATTTCAAGTCATTCGATCGCGCGGTTGATTTTTTACAGGGGGGGGGGGACATTTTAGCTGGGACACGGTGTATATGTTCTTTCCAGTTCCTGAATAAAAATTTCTACGAAATATGAAATGTGCAGCAGTACACCATATGGCAGCTTGTAATTATGTAATTGAGGATTGCATTGGTCGTTCTTTGGTTCTAACTGCACTCAGTTTCATAACAAATATTTTCTTGATAGGTGTCATTGCAAGCGTATGCGTCATTACAACTTCTGCCTTAGTAGGATGCGAATATTCATATTTTTTATCCTTGACATTCAACAATGTTGGCGTGTTTCCGTTCTTACTACTCCATTTGAGAGAAGCGACCTCAACAATAGAGCACTATTGAATTCATTTTCTAGTAATATTTTCAAACGCTCCTTTGAAATTAATCCTTCACACTGAATTTTATTGTAGATAGGATTAGATGCCTGCTCGCAGAAAATTCTTGTGAGCTAGGCAAATCAATGTTAGGTTAATGTATTATAATGAGTATTTTACTTGAAGAAGATACTGTGTTAGCAGAACATTTTGTGTTTCAAAAACATTCCTGGAAATCTTATCGTTTGTTTTTTATATTCACTATGCAATTTTTAACAAAAAAATCAAGTTCAAAAGGTTACAAGTTTCTTACCTGTGATTAAATCATCCATTTTCCCCGCATTTTCCGTCCGACTGCAAGAAAAACAATGTTTCCTCGAATGCCTCCACGATTTTTGTTTATCATCAGCATTATATTCGGCACTACAACTGCTATCGGGAAAAATGTGCGGATCTCTCGAAATTTCTTCTTGACTAGGGAAAATGTCCGTCAGAACCTTGGGCAGGCATACGCCCATATACCGTCTGTCCTCCTGGCGGGGTGACATTTTGACTTCGAACTTCGGTACACTGAATACCGACACGAAACCATTGTCAATTATTTTGAAGTCGTCCGATATAGTGGAAGCGGTAGACCTAAAAATATCAAATGGGGTTGAACCATTTAATATCTTATACTTGGGCTGATTGAGTGAGCCAAAATAATGTCAGTACTTCATATAAAAAAATGTCTATCGCACTTCATTACGGAGTTATTAAAAAGTCTATCGCACTTCATTAGGGAGTGAAGTTTGATCAACCCTTTCAAGTTGTGCCTAATTTCCGAAAATGAAGGTTTATCGAACCAATTCACAGGTAACTAATCCTTCAGGTTAAGAAAGTAGGATATATAAAAGTTAGGCAAGCCAAGGTTAGTTCAGTACAAAAGGGATATCCTGTAATGTTCAGAGAACATCGTGAGTACCAAGGGAAATAAGGTAAGAATTAGTGTTCTTCTTAAATTTCTGGAAGTTATATGCCTCGGGGAACATCTCCCTTGGCAATGTGTTTCAGAGCCTCGCTGTTCGTTGGATGAACGAGTCTTTGGGAAGAAATGTTCTGCAGGTCTTCAAAGTGACTACGAATGAGTGCGAACTCTACGTGTTAATCTCGCGTGGATTGCCAAGAGGAGAACAATTGTTGATATTTCAGAAGAGTATCGTCCATGAAAATATCTATAAAATAGAGCCAGATCGCCAACTTTTCTATGGTGTTCCAGAGAAGACAGTGAGTTTGTGAGCGAGGCATCACCCACGAGACGAATTGCCTTTTTTTGGACAGAATCCAACAGTTTCAGGGTATGTTTGGGTCTGCACTCTAAATATGGGAGCAGTATTCCAGGACAGGTCGGATCTGTGCCTTATAGATCATAAGCAGCTGACTGGAAGTGAAATAGCTCCTAATGAATCTTATTGTTTGTGAAGATTTCACATTTTCCATGGATTTCCATCAAGTAACGGCCGAGTCAATTCAAAACAAAATACTTTGAGAATTTTCTAAAAATTCTGTTCGACTTACGTGAGATGAGGTGTCGTATTGAACAGATAGTCCTGTTCGTAATTAGGACTATCGAAATTGAGTCCCTCCATTCTACGCAACAGCTTCAGAGTATTGTATCCGACGAGATTTTGAACACTGAGTTCGTTCGAAACGCTACCTGTCATCGATGACGACGAAATATCCGAATTAGTAGTACCTGAAACATGATCGTTATTATTAAAATATTTTTCGGTGGAATATCATCTCACTGTTCGAAGAAATCGGACGAGATATCCTCTTGAAATGAGTAGGTATCTGGAGAGTACTCAGACTAGACGAACTGGGAATAGGACTCAGAGTTTTCAAATAGCTGCCTCTGAAAAGTAATTCTCATATAACGTGTCACAGTTTTAATAAGCAGGACTTTGACAATAGAAAGGAAATTATTTTTAAGGAAAGCTGGTAGTTGAAGTTAAAAGACGATCATGTATCGAGTGTGTTCAAAGATAGACGAATGATGTAGACCGGGAGCTCACAATGTGTTTTTTGTGCCTCATTTGTGTTTTTCACTGTTTGAGTTTGGAGAAGTGGGATGACGAAACACAAGTTGAAATTGCACTCACCTTGCAACTTGGAGTGGATGCTACTGCAGCTGCAGCTTCCAACTTGTAGCGGCGGCAAAAGTAGACTGTATTGTTACTGTTTTAGCGAAGAATGATGCACTAGGAGTATATACCAGAGACTCCAGTCTTCTGATTTCATTGAAAAAGAGTTTGAGCGAACGTTATTGCCGAACGTGTTAGGTGGATACGATGCGCAGTGGCGCTGTATATTGTTTAAAAAAAATTCAATTGGAAGTTATCATTTGTGTATGTTCGGCATTTTGTGAATTCAACTAATTATTCACAAATACTCAAGTTAATATGATCGCCGAACATTTTGTTTGGATCGGGAAGTTTATCATACAATAATGTTCGGCACCCTTTGGTCCACGATTTTTATTCGGCGACCTCAAATCCGTGTAGTGGAACATAGAATTTGGGTTCTTATACTGCTGAGTGTGAACAAATGATACACAAAAAACACGTTGTGGGCTCCCGGTCTAATAGAATGTATAGTTGTAAAAAAACATTTATTCTTTATTATAATCGACTGAACTTTGTTTCGAAAGTTATTGGAAACATCAGAAGTTTTAGGAGATAATGGTTATTTATAATTGACTTTGACCTATTTCTTAACTGATTAAGGCCTAAGAATATGGTAGAAATGGTTATCATGTCCATTGATCATATGAAAAAACCCAGTACACATTTTTGAAGAAATTTGATCAACGGTTATTGATATATTTCATATTTCCTGATAACAGTGCTATCCCTGTACTCTCATTAGCTGCAACGGAACCTGAGCCAACTTACCCAGTTGCATGTTTGTTGGGCAAAGAATCACAAGAACTGACGCCGGAAGTGGTCGATTCTGTCATGGAACTATTTCTATGTCTTCCATACGCAAAAGGAACTAAACTCGAACTGTGATCTTCGTCGAAACCATTTTTCACGTCGAACGTTTTAGATTCAGACAAAGATCGTGTATGAAACACTATTGGAGGTCTTTTGTTAGTTGGCAGTGTAGATTGTCTCATCCTACGTCTCTCTAGAAATAAATTAATAGTTATTCATGTAACAAGTGCAAAAAGTAAGTGTTTATTGCACGCAACGTCAGATGATGACCTTGGCTACCGCAAATTGTGAACTCTTGTTTCACTTTATTCATCCTGGACCTCTCAGTTAAACTATCTGATTCAAGCACATTACGAAAATATGTTAGGGTGTACGAATTAGAAATCTAAAATTGTTCTGAACAAGACATCAAAGCGAGACTGCAATGTCACTGTTCGATTAACTATCCACAATTCCTGATATCCCCACCATTCGCGATTTTGTTCATTTATCCGTGTTTGGCGTTTAGGATCGTTGGCGAATACTTTTTGATCATTAAAGAATGAATCACACGGTCTATCTATTGTTATTCAGTTTGAGGTACATACCAGGCGAACACGTAGACCCGATGAAATCTCGCAATCTCGATTTTGCGGTTGTTTTACTCACTAACGTCAACAAAGATCTTCTCGTATTACGCTCTACCAGCGATGAAAAGATAACACGCGCGCATCTAGTGACACATTCACGAAGCTGTCTAAGATCAATACTTTGAGTTCTGTGGTGACTTTTTGACGTGAGCGTCGTGAACTCTGGCCAAACATGACATTCCTTCTCTTGACAGTTGGCAAGCAAAGCACCTATTTGCATACCACAAAATGGTGAATATATTATTATGTCAGGGCAACATGTTGCTGAAGTATTGTCTTTCCTCTTCTTAACTCTCTCTCAAATCTCGAAGGCGTTCTTAAAGTCTCCGATAAACAGATTATCGATGACTACTTGTGTGCTTGTTCTATCTCTGATGTATTTCATGGTAGATAATGAAGTGTCAAGGTAAAAAACTGTCGAAATGAGTTATGAATTTGATTTAGAATATATGGACGGCTCCACTGAAAAACTTTATAATGTAAACCCAACCTCACCTGACAAATATACTTTTTTCATCTACAAATCATGAATTCTTGAATATTGTGAACTCTTGTTTCACTTCATTCATCCTAGACCTCTCAATTGAACTATACTAAAAATCAGGGTCTATGAATTAGGAATCTAAAATTGTTCTGAACAAGACATCAAAGCTGGACTGTCAAAGTCACTGTTAACTATTCTAAATTTCTGATATCCCCACCATTCGCGATTTCGTTCATTTATCCGTGTTTGGCGTTTAGGATCGTTGGCGAATACTATTTGATCATCGAAGAATGAATCTCAGGGGCTATCTATTATTATTCAGTTTGAGGTACATACCAGGCGAACACGGAGACCCCATAAAATCTCGCATCTCCCCCTCGACCTCGCCAGCGTTCTCGAACTCCCGCTCAAACAAATCATCCACCTCCTCCTCCGAATCCACGCTCCCCTCCAACCCCTCCGTTCCCTCGCCACCCTCCAACTCCTCCCTGATCACCGGCCAGTTGTCGTGCCGGTCGTGCCGCGTGCACAGCCAACCGCGCCTGCCCAGATCGTCTGCGCCTGCGCTGGTGGCGCCCAACAGACCCAAAGCGTAGAAGGCCGTGGCGCGGATCGAGTAGACGGTAGCCTTGGTGGCCAGAGCGATGATGCGGTCGGGTATGCCGAAGGCGGCGAGGTAGTCGTAGCCGCGGCGGGAGCTGCCCACGTGACCCACCGACCAGACGGAGGCTTTCAGTTCGAGGATGTGGTCGTCGGTGTTGCATCTCGCTTTTTTGATCACCTGAAAGGGGCTTCACGTTTAGATGATTTTGGGAGCAAAGAGAGAGAAACTCAAAAGACTTTGAGTTTCTCTCTCTTTGTGACCATTGCATTCCACTTTGAGTATTTGGCTGTTTCCCTAGTTGATTTTGGGAGGTTTTTCTGGACGAGCGCAGAGTTATTGAATTACTAAGAGAATATTATTCGAATAATATACCCATTGACAACGAAATCCTCGGGGCTATCGCGTCATCCAGTTGTTGTGTCATATGTTGAGACTTTTGATATTTGGATCGAAGATATAGTTCCTTAAAACTCATATTTTCCATTTAAAGACAATTGAATATCACTTCCGGTTTCACCGAAAATAGACCAAGGTCGAGAATTCTCAGTAAGACCCTGTAGATATTTTTACGGTATTCAATAAAGTAAAAAACTCCGTTTCAACTGACATCACAAATGGACATAAAATAAATACGGCGACTCTGTGATGACATCGATGGAATTTTCGTCAACCAATTTGCCAATATGAGAGTATGCACTTAAGACTATACCTAATCAATGAAGACATTGTAAATCTGCATTCTGTATTATTATTATCCAGTCTTACTAGAAGAAACAACATTATATGTATTATGTATATGATTTAAAAATGATTATCTGATTATCTAATTTTTGTTTTTTTTAGTTGCTCTTTCATAATTTTCCCTGCTATAAACATGTATGTTTCTTGGGAATAATAATAAAGATAATAACATGGAATATTCATTTCACACATTGTACACAATACTCCAACATACAAAAATGTAATTAGAAAACTGGAAAATGAAGAAAAAAGCTTGATGATTTCGATAAGGGCCCGTTCTTTTATTCACCGGTGGCTCCATCAATCCACCAACTGACGTAACCACGAGTTCATGTATTACTGGTGTGTCAATCAAAATTGAAAACCATTCCAGCGATGTACAGAGATGGTGTACGAATTTTGGTGGCTTCCAAAATGACAGCTACAGTATTTGTGGCATAACCTCGAAAAAATGAGATCAAAATATTGGATTTGAAAGCTGTTTGCCATTTGCCTGAGATAAAATATGGATGAATGAATCGAAATCAGTCTAGAATATTGAAATAAAAGAATATCTGCATTATTGACACCAACAGAAATTGAATAAATTTCGAGTGGTAGGTAGGTACTTTTTTCTTTCTTTCATGAATTTCATGAAACTAGGGCAAACATTCAGGAAACTTGAGTACCAACAGAGAATTTTCATTATTGACTATCCATATCATAATTTGATGCAATGTTTTGTGTATAGGAAGTTGAGAATTTTCAACCTATCTCGTCTACTCCCCAACATAAACAATATTCCATCCTCGGAACCATCAGAAGAACTGCTGAACTTCTGGATCTGGAGACAAAGGACTCCAATAACACTTTTATATAATACATCATTTTCCATTTTACGTAAGTTTTCGTCAATTCTAAGCTTCTAATTGAAAACAACCTAAATAACCATCAATCACGAAAAGAAAAATAAATAATGGAAGAAACAGTTGTGATTGTCGATGTCGAATAACTGCGTCTTTCTTCAACACTGATGACTCCAACAATTCGGTGCATCAGAGAGTGACGTCACTTCCATCAATGATAAAAAGAACATACCTATATATTTAAAGAAGTGGCCCCGTTGTTGAGGTAGGTAAAATATTAAAAAATAAATTGGGTTTGCTCAATACGAAATTTTTGGCGTAGAAACAACAATTTTTATACACATATTTTATGATCATGTCTGCACTACTGACAAGAGTGTAATGATTAATATATTAATATGTTTTGGGAGATGACAGATGACACATCGCATGAATTGAAAATTTGAACTGTTTGTCATTTTTTCAATTTTCGTATTCATTAAATTGTCTTATTGAAGATGCGTTGAAACTCTCTTAAATCTCAGGGTTTTTTGGTTAGGGTTCACACTGTATATATTTGCGGCAAAGAAATGAACCGAGTCAGACATACCAGTTTTATTTCTCCCAAACTTGTTAGGTATCTGCAAACTGACAGATAAAACTTTAAATTTTGCCGCAGAGTCGTTACCACCGATACAACAAGGCCTGCATGCTCCGTGGGTGACGTCACTTAGTCAGGCCTAACCAGCGGCTCGAAACGACAAGCGCTTATAGCGCTATAAGGCGACCGCGTATTTCGATTTTAGTTCTAGATCATCATTGAGCCGATTTTGCTGTTTTTTGAAGGGCTTCCGGTTAAAAAAGGATGCCAGTCGTCAACTGAGCCCTTCTTCGCACCCCATTCGATTTTTTTATGGAAAAACGAAGTTTTAAAGAAAAACCAGGATAAAACACAAATATCCACCTACAGCAACCCATTCGAATTAAATATATTGGCAAAAATTGTGGTGAAGGTAAACTTCACACCTATTTATACAGTATACAGGGCCCGCAGAACATAAACTTATCGTGAGATTGATCGAAAGAAAATTGCGGAAAATGTATTTTATTTTGATTGACATGCCGTTAGTTACAATTACCTATATTTATCTTGGAGAATTCCTATTACCTGAAAAAATAACCAGTGAGTGTTTTCAATTTTCTGTTGTTGGATTTTCCACCCAAGTGGATCGTTACACTTGGAACCGTAATTTTTAAGGGTAAAACTGCATTTATCATGCGATGGTTTTTTTTTGAACAAACCACTATTTATTGAGATATTTCAAGAAAAAGTTCGAAATTTCGCCTTCTTTCTCCCCTTGTGTTGGGGGCATTTGAAGCTACTTGCTCTTATTTTGTCATTGGACACTTTATATACTCATGATGTACTTCCATGGCACATTTTTATATAGAAAATTCAACAGGAAATATGATTTTTATGGCGAGTTTTTCATATTAAGTGAACAAGCATTCCAGATGACGACCATTTAATCAATAGTGAATCAAAATACGAGATGTCAAATGTCAATAGATTGCTTTCGAATGACATTACACACGCGATTATTTTGAATGATATTCTTCCTTTTTTTCACTAAATTGATTGATTGATTGATTGATTGTCTTTATTACCCCAAGAAACATTTCTGTTTATGATAGGGATACATAAATACATATAAAAAAATAATAATAAAGGGTTAACTATAATGAATTCCACTCAGTGGAAACGAATTAATATTGTGTCATAAGATTGAAGTTATATTTCATTCCTAAGTAATCAAATCATGCCACATATTTTTCTTTCAAATTGTCCTGAGCAAGTATTTTTTAAGATTGATTTTGAACCTTCTTGCATCATGTATATTTTTTAACTCATTCGGTAATGAATTGTATAAAATTATTCCATTGTGAAAAACAGATTGTTTGCCAATGTTTGACTTGAATGTATTTGCAATCAAGTAATTCAATTGTCTAGTCCCATAATTATGGACTGTATTGACTTCATTGAAAGCTAAATTTGATATTTTCAACTTATTCCTGGCAAAATGAATAAAGCAACATATTTTAAGTTTATATAACGAAATCAGGTTCAGAAAATGTCTTGGTTTGTATAAATTTATCGTTGGTTCTAGAAAATGTAGATGAAAAATGCACTTAATTGATTTGTTTTGTAATTTCATTAGTGGTTTCAAACGTGATATATTTGTACTCCCCCAAATAGAAATTAAATATTGCAAATTTGAATAAATGAGGCAAAAGTAAATACATTTCAAGTATTTTATGGGAATAATATTTCGGATTAATCTCAAGAAAATCATATTTATAGTTGAATTATATACAAATTGTCTAATATGATGAAAAAAGAACGAAAATTTGTTCTAAATGCCATCCAGAAGACAGGTGAAAAAGGTGAAATTTGGAACTTTTCAGTCAAATATCTTCATGATAAATATCATGATAAATGCAGTTTTACCTTTTTTGAGTAGAGTGTTTGTAGTTCATGTTAATATGAATTGCAATTTGATCAATGGAATGAATTCTGCATGCATTGTCAGAAAGAAATTTGAGAATGAGCATTAAAAATGCCCGTTTATGATGAACATTCAAGAAAATTTCCTCGAATTCAGAGATGATTTTGTTGACTATAATATACGAATACAAAACTAACTGCACAATCAAAGCTTTTCTATTTTTCCTCTACTTATACTTTTTATGAGAGAGTAATTGTCTTCTATTATTAATTCATCATTATAAATTAAGCTCTGTTTACTACTGAGCTTAGATACTTAGATGGAGTAAAATCCTCACGGTGAATTGCATATACTTACCCACATTTTCGATAGCTCCTCGTCCAACGGGAAACTAAAAGCATGAACTTTTGAACCACCCACATAATTCCCCCGACAAAAGGGAACACAACATTTGAAAGGCATTGTTATTTCGCCGATCACAACACAAAATATTTCACAAAACAGTAATTTTTCCGCCAATTATTTTGATGAATAAACAACAAAAGAATTCGGGACCGTTTCAAAAACATACGTGAATCACCGATGAATTAACACGAACTGACGCGTTAGTCGACAAGCGATAAAATAAAACACTGGCCTCACTTGGCGACGTCACGAGCTGTTTACGTCAGAGTCTGCTGGCCTTGTTGTATCGGTGGTAACGGCGGAGACCAGTACGTAATTGTTATAAAGATGTTATTAGCATCAACTCACCTGAGACAGATCAGGCATACTGCTACTCAAATAAACGTATTTCAGCGAAGTTGGAAACCACAACATTCTTTTGAATATCAGACACTTCGCTGGGTATAAAAGGAATTAATAATCGTAGGTGACACTCTCTGATACGCAATGATCGAAATTCACTAGGACCACGAAGAACGACAATTTCGTGAAAATAGTAATCCGAATTATTTAGCTCCAGTGCAGTACTCGAAGGGGTGGTGATAAGCCAAATCCAGAAATGAAAAGGATGAAATTGGAAGGTTGTATGCTACTCTATATCAGTTTCGCTACAAAGATTACACTCGGCACTCAAGCTTTTTTTTGGGTAGGAGTGAACTTGACCTTCATAATTTGAGTTTGGTTGCCTTTAGGAAATATAACTCAACAAAATTCTCATTGAAATGTCAAGTTCATATCGACAAAAATAAAAGCTCTCATGTTAAAATTAGAAAAACTTACGTCGACAATTTTTTCGACGCGTTCCTGATCGATGAGCACCTCGAACCCGCGCGCATGTTGACTCAGCTGGCCGTACAGGTGCGGCGGCAGGAACACGTCCCGCTTGTTGGCGTTCCTTAGAGAACTGGCTCGCTTGTCGTACCTGCCGTCTTCGTTGCGCTGGTGCAGCGTCAATGCGTCGGAGATGTCACCCTCCACCAGTTTCACGTACCTGCCACGGGAAATATCCATAGAATAGAATTTTATCCACTGAATGTCACAATACAGGTAAGTACAATACATTATGGGACACGTCACAAACAGATAAGCTAGTTCGCTTATTGGTACAATAGGAACCTGGTTCGTATGATAAAATAATGTAAAAATAAAATCCAGACTTACAATGGCACATTTTTTAAAATAATTCATCATTTGCTAATTAAAATGACAGATCTTAATCTGTACTGCGGCGAAACTCAATTAATCTCAGGGGGTAGTTTATATGGGTCCACATTGTATATGTGGTTTCTGGGTAAGAAAAACTCGCTAAGTCGGACAGACCAAGTTTTAATTCCACCCAATCGTAGCATGCGTCTAAAAACTGACAGAGAAAACCAAATACAACATTTTTTCCCACGATATGATCCGAATACAATTGACAAATAAGTAGCAAAGATAATCGAGTCCAGTAAACTATAAGCAATATATTTTAATGACGTAACTCACCTGACAGATCAGGCACACTGTTGCTGAAATAATTATATTTCAGGACAGATGAGAACACAAAGATTCTGTGCAGTCAATGGCAAACACTTTCGAAATTGGGGAAAACTTGTTGGTTGACGATATCAGCTTGGATATATTTTACGCACTGAACACTCCCAAGAGCCATAACGTTCGAAATTGTCACTTTAGTATAAAACAGGAGCTCGCTTCTTTCGGTATTCGACAAAAACTAGAAACAACTAATTAATTTTGAAACGAGGATTCGGACACAGGGGAGTACCCGTGGGGATAATGATAAAGTATGAAATGCTATATAATTGGGGTGATTATTTCGGGAAATGACTGGAATATAGCAATCTCGTATTGGTTTCGCTACAGTACGGTGTGGTCTAGCATATAATGCAAATTAGACTACCTACTACTCTCATGATCTATAATGTATATGATCTCAGTCAGAGGTATCATTAAGAAATTCCTGCAGTGAGTAATTGCATTTCTGTACCAAAAAACTTTTGAGATATTTCTTGAGCAATGTTGTTTCACATTCTCTGAACTCCTTCATCGTGAAAATTTTATTATAGAATTGGATCCCCATATAATTGGGATTTTCCTGTCCAATTGATAATCTGGAGAAACCTAAATTGATTTCGTCCTTCTTTCGGGTATTATGATTGTGTACCTCCTTTCTCGTCTTTGAAGTGTCCTGTTTATTAATAATGTAAACAATCAATGAGTAAATATACAAACTTGGTAAAGACATAATACCCAATTCAACAAAGTGGTTTTTACATGGTTCTCTATTAGGCAAGTTCAGCATGCATCTTATAATTTTGTTTTTAATAATAAATAGTTGGCCAGAGTTATGGGTTTTTTCCCAGAAAACTAGACCATACAAAAGGGACGAATGAATAAGTCCAAAGTGGCCCCATGGTATATCCCAAATAGATTTATCTATAGGGACCTGAACATAAACCCAGACTACACATACATAAGACAACACGCGGAGACTACATTCGGAAGAACGGAAACCCACGAGAACCCGCTACTACACGACCTGACCAACAGACAATTAAATCAAGACCCGCGTTTCGGAAGAATAAAGTACAGGCGCCCAATTCACCAAATATAAGGTAAAAGAACGGAATTAAATCAATATCAATAAAAGTTGCATAATAATCATCTCCTTTGATACCCTATAAAAAAGTAAACCAATAATAATAAGACATAAACTGAATTTTGCTTCCCATTAGAGTAGGGAACCACCACGCAGTCAGGCTAGGAAACACACATTAGACAAAAAGGTTTGAAAGTCGGAAGACTGAAACCAAGTGAGGGGTTTTATAAAACATATGCAGATTGCCAAATGCATAAGGTTGAAGTCCACTCGTTAGTGAGTGGGGGTGGATGGACATGGGGATGAGGAGCTATCATATAACGTAAGCTAGTTATATGGCGGCACTTGATCCTGGGCATTCAACCTTTCGGGGGGCGTGGTGTGTGTGTGTGTGTGTGTGTGTGTCCAAAGTACAGTAGTTTGAGCACGTCGATCGATACTGTATTCCATAAGTTCCTGATAATGAAGCAATATGAACTCAGTTTCAAGTGATACTACCTACTTCTAGGAAGGATAGTATAGGCGATTCAAAATAAGCGATACGCCCTGAAATGATTCTGTGAACTGAGATTGGTATATACTTTCTTGTTAGAACTAAAAACATTGAAGTATTGAAGGACATGACTTTATTCATTTTCTGATAGTATGTCACAAAAGGTCGCGTGCACGATGACGGACCCTGGAGGTCAAATATTGAAACACAACCTCACTTTTTTTATTTGTTTACAGTGGAGTCAAAGAATTGAAATAGTTTTTCACAATATTTTGGCATACGAATCGTGTTTTTTGGGCTATTCATTAATTCAAGCATGCCTTCTCATTGTGCTGTTGTACAATAAACAAAAAATGCAGCAAGAGACGAAGGAATATGATTTTTCAGGTGAATAGTAATCTCACATAGTTTTCATCATGGAATTTTGTCATTTCTTATTAAAATTCCTTCTGCCACTTCTGCAATAGAAGCTAATACTGCTAATAGATTGAAAATATCTACAATACACACGATCATATTTCGTCAGCATGTCAGACCAGTCATCCCGTTTGATTGCATGAATCCAATCTTCTTGCATTATTTTAGAAATTTCACGTGTATTTCTATTAGCTCCTATTGCAGAAGGAATTCCCAAGAGAAATCAGAGAAATTACCAAATTTCAAAAACGAAAACTATATGTGAGTGACTATAGTAGGTACTTACTTTTGAATCATAATGTACCAACCGGATTCCTTCGTCTCTCGCTGCATTTTTTGTGCATTGTACAACAGCACAATGTGATGGCATGCGCGAATTAATGAATAGCCGAAAAATACGATTCATATGCCAAAATAATCGTGAAAAACTATTTAAATCATTTGTAAACAAATAAGAAAAGTGAGGTTGTGTTTCAATGTTTTACCTTCAGGGTCGGTCATCTGGCAGTACTTGCACGCAAGCCATGGGTTTTTCGAATCTGTACATCAATATAGTGGGGGTGTCAACATTCTCCCCCACTTATTTGGAAAATGGATGCATATGAAATTGAATGAAAAACTCTAAATTTATATACATGAGGAATACTCATTAACCTATCACTACACGAACACTTGATTCTTCACGTCATTCTGTAGTCTTTGGACCAAACAGGTGGACGTCTGTCTCTTTGTGGTCGTGCTGTTATTGGGTCGGTGGTGGATCACCTATGTATATTATGACGATCATGGTTCAGTGGTTCTTGATCAGTTCGTCGTGCTAAAACTGTCGGAACCCTTGGAACATTGAATGACTGACTGGGCCTGAACGTAAATGTCTTTTTAGGAACCAGCGTTGATCGCAACTGGTTGAAAGAATTCCACACATACTATAAACATAATAGAATGTTCCAAAAGTTCATTGCTCCAGGACATCCGGCTACAAATGGAATTGCGGAAAGGAACGTACAGACTTTAAAACACAGATTGAAAACTGCTGCGAATGACTGTACGCCTATTCAAGACAAAGTTCAGAACATCATGTTTTGTTATCGTGCGACACCTCTTGCCTGTGGTCAATCGCCTGCAGAGCTGTATCTGCATAGGAAAATACGGATCCGTTTGGATGCAATTTTTCCTCATCGACCTCAAGCCTTACAGTTTGTATCAAAACCGGTACGGTTCTTTCAAGTGGGGGAGAGGGTACAGATTAGACTTTTCATAAATAACATGGACTTTTCACCAATAACAAGGACTTTTCATCAATAACAAGCATATTGAAATGATTCTGTGATCTGAGAATGGTATATACTTCCTTGTTGGAACTAAAACATTGAAGTCTTGAAAGACATGACTTTATTCATCTACTGACAGTATCTATGTCACATTCTCTATCTGCACATCATCAATAAAGTGATGGTTACAACATTCTCCCCCACTTATTTAGAAAATACATGTATATGAAATTGAATGGAGAACTTTGAATTTATATATATGAGAAATACTCATAAACCTTAACTACACGAACACTTGATTCTTCACGTCATTCTGTAGTCTTTGGAACAACAGGTGGACGTCTGTCTCTTTGTGGTCGTGCCACTATTGGGTTCGGTGGTGGATCACCTATTCGCGATAGAAAATAAGCGTACGCCACCTATCGGAGTTCTTGAAAGCTGTCAAAGTGGCCTGTTTACTTTGTTTTTATTGGTACACATCTGTTTTTTGTTTGTGCTTATTGGTCATATCATCAAAACAAACCGCTCAGAAGTGTTCAACGTGTTGCCATCAGGAGGGGGCGACGTGTTATTTTCTATCGCGAATATTACGATGATCATAAAAAATGCTTTCCATCCAACCCCAGCAACCGTAACTATGTTTGAAATGAGCTGAACTTATTATCACTAGCGCATAGAAGAAACATTTCAGACGTGAAATTCCTTTATAAAATCATAAATAATTTAGTTGATTCGCCTGCTATCCTCAGTAATATTTATCTTACAGCTCCTACTTATATTACAAGGAATCATCACATTTTTCGTTACGAACAATCTCAAACAAATTATTTTTTGAACTCTCCAATGCATAGATGCAAAATATTATACAACACGCTGTCAAATTCTATTGATATTGATATTTTCTCTTACTCACTTTCCAAATTTTCTTACATTTTGAAAAAACATTTCCTCGCTTCACCTACTTGATTTTGATAGATTTTAACGTTTTTTAATATGTACTGAAAAAAATTATTTCACTTTTGTCAACACACTACAATCACTACATGTTGTACCTACTGAATCATTAATTACTCCAATTATTGATTTTCATCAACTTTGTAATTGATATTCGATTTGTTTAGTATTAATATATCTGTATGATGAGATATGACATATCTGTGAATACTGCTTTTGGGTTAGTCCCGTTTGTATTCCTTTTCGTAAATAAAGAAATCATGGTTCAGTGGTTCTTGATCAGTTCGTCGTGCTAAAGGAACTGCCGGAATCCTTGGAACATTGAATGATTGACTGGGACTGAACGTCACTGTCTTTTAAGGAAACAGCGTTGATCGCAACTGGTTGATATGTCGTTTCAAGGTCCTTCCGGAGTATGTCACAATGGGTTTTTTTAATCTGAACATCAATATAGTAAGATTTAAAGAACGCCCTCTAGCGGATATTCAAGTAACTAATGGAAAGTACAATGAGTGTTTGTTCACATTCAAGTTTCCATGCATTTTATCGAAAGTTGTGATAGTAATCGAGTTTGAATACTTCAGTAGAGGTTCTTGAACCTTTAGTGCTCGGTTTCACATGTTATTCATGAAAGTTTTGTCACTGCATTTTGTAGTGAATGTTACTTTAAACATAAGTTCCTAACTATTGGAATATATCTCGAGCCTGTTCGTAATGTACAGTTTGATAATCTAATAAAGTCTTGTCGATACACAATTCGTCGTGTTATCATTTATTAGATACATAACACATTTCACAGAAAATGATAATTTCAATCAATGTAAAATTGAAAGATTTTCTCTCAATTCAGTTGCATTTTATTCCCAGAAGTGAAAAGTTACAGTAGGAGTTTGAAAAAAAAAAGAAATCATTACTCAAAAGCAACCCACTAGGTAGAGATCAATTATTCGCAGATATATCCAGCTTTGAGGACTTGTTCTCTTTCATGAACACATCTACGTAGATGAATCGACTACAATTTATATGTCAGGAACAGTGTTGTAGGAACGTAATTGAAATAGGCACTACACTTCACTACAATAAACAGTCAGAACAACCACTTCATTCTATCAAGGATAAACGTAGACTGACTAATACAATTCTCTCTTATATCACCTCAACCTTAATCATCTACCAGAAATGTATGAATCACAGAACGATAACGATGATCACATACCTAACAATAATAATAATAGTAATAATAAAATACAAAATCGACGCAAATGCTCACATATACATCTCAAATACCTACTCTGTAAACTTCAAAATTATATTCACGCAACTTAATTTGCAATATTTATTTCACTACTGAATGGGAACAAATTGCAAACTGAGGTAACCTCAAATTGAGGCATTTTTATTTGCGAATCTCATGTATTTGAAATAGTGAAACATACTTTATTAAACGAATATCTGCTGAAAAGCTCCATCGAATCACAAGAGTACACAAATAAATAGTCAAAAGTGAAGTTTTCTTTGCTTAAATCACTACCAAAAATCGAAATAATACACACAAGAAAATGAACCATTTCAAAACAATGTACTTTCATATAGTTCCACAACCTGCCACTTTGGCGCTACGATCTTTTTGTCATCAAAAAATACCCCTAGATACCAAATTTCATTCCAATATCACAATTATTTTGAAATTTATCAACAAAAACGAAAATAAGAATTCAACTTTGACACTCTGTATCTCAGAAACGGATAACTTTCGGACATATGCTTATACGAACTTTTCTTCTTATTTTGATGTCTGCAACATGATCCTGAATTTTCTACACATACTCAAGAAACACCTTGTATAATTATTAAATAAATAAATTAAGAAATAATCGAAAATCACTATCACTAGTTTGATTTGTTGACTGAAACCAACCTGTATACGAAGTGCTCGTCCCACTTCTTCAGTTCCTCCAGCACTTTGTCTTTCGTCGCTTTTTCGAAGCCGCTCTCCATCGAAAGGAACCTGATCGACAGCAGCGAACCCCTTTCGCCGAGCCTTTTCAAGTCGGGATCGATATCAATAAGAGCCTGTAGAAAAAAATCTGAACTACACATTGTATAAAAACATTTTTCGTTCCTTGAAACTTTTCTTCCTATTTTTTGTCATAGGTGAAGTTTGTTAGGCTTATTTCGGGACTCCTCATCAAGATTATAATGACATCATGTATGCAAGGAAGAGAACAAAAATAGCAAAACAAGAATGAAGTATACTCTCAAAAAGGTTTGAATAAAGTTTCACTATAATCTGTAACTATAACATATAATTTAATACTTGAATAATCATTTTGAGATAGAAAATAGAAAAGGACAGAAGTTCAGCTGTGTCCGAACTCTTATCTATATCTATCTGCTAACACCATCCAGTAACTCTACCAGAAACCATACTGAATATTTTGGCACTTGGGAGTACAAAAAAAAATCCATCACAAAATTGGAAAAACTACCACTCCTCCTCTTGGAAGGCTCTTCACACCGAAATGCAAAATACAGTATTTAGAAAAGTAATGTTCTCAGAGAGAACCGATGATGGAATAGGTGACCATAATATGAGTAGGAATTGACTTCATCGTCTGGTCATGACTAGACTTCCGCCCATTTGCCCACTGTGATATTGTTTTTTTTTTTTTGGGGAACGAAGAAAAATTATTATATCATGTTGACCTCCAATTCCTAGTTCAGTCGTGCTCTACTCAAAAAGGTTAGAAGTGAAATTGGTGGGAAGAATAGAGATACATTCTAGAGAAGGACATCTCGGCAGACAACAAAGTAGTTTATGTATCACTCTATAGTATTTGTTATTCGGTATTGTCACACCTACCTGCAGGCAATCAGTCACTTCGCACGCCTCGTGCAACGTTGCCAAAGCAGACAAATAGATCGCTCGCGATTTATCGAACAGACGATCGACCAGCAGCTTCACCCCCCACGTCGAGAAAAGCGGGTTGCCGCTCCTCAGCAAAATGTGCAGGAATTGCGTGGCGTACAGCCGGGAAGATTCAGAGCTGCAGGTCAAAACTGCTTCCAGGATTTCCCGACATGGCCCGGGAAATATGTACTCCAACGAGGATATTATCAGTTTCACGTAGCAGTCGTGGTTCGTCGTAGTCGCCAGTTCTTTCAACCTGCAAAAAATACGGTGGTTTCGATTTTCTTGATAAATTGATTTCATGCAGGATGTCTGATGAAAAATGCCACAAGTTGTAATTTAGCCACTAATCAATAGCCCCAAAGGTGCAGGAATTGCGTGGCGTACAGCCGGGAAGATTCAGAGCTGCAGGTCAAAACTGCTTCCAGGATTTCCCGGCATGGACCAAAAAATATGTACTCCAACGAAGATATTATCAGTTTCACGTAGCAGTCGTGGTTCGCCGTAGTCGCCAGTTCTTTTAACCTGCAAATAATACGGTGGTTTCGATTTTCTTGATAAATTGTTTTCATGCAGGATGTCTGATGAAAAATGCCACAAGTTGTAATTTAGCCACTATTCAATAGCCCCAAAGGTGCAGGAATTGCGTGGCGTACAGCCGGGAAGATTCAGAGCTGCAGGTCAAAACTGCTTCCAGGATTTCCCGACATTGCCCAGGAAATATGTACTCCAACGAAGATATTATCAGTTTCACGTAGCAGTCGTGGTTCGTCGTAGTCGCCAGTTCTTTCAACCTGCAAAAAATACGGTGGTTTCGATTTTCTTGATAAATTGTTTTCATGCAGGATGTCTGATGAAAAATGCCACATGTTGTAATTTAGCCACTATTCAATAGCCCCAAAGGTGCAGGAATTGCGTGGCGTACAGCAGGAAGATTCAGAGCTGCAGGTCAAAACTGCTTCCAGGATTTCCCGGCATGGACCAAAAAATATGTACTCCAACAAAGATATTATCAGTTTCACGTAGCAGTCGTGGTTCGTTGTGGTCGCCAGTTCTTTCAACCTGCAAGATATACGGCGGTTTCATTTTTTTTTCAATTGTTTTCATGCAGAATGTCTTATAAAAATGCCCCAAGTTGTACAGGAACAAAGATATTATCAGTTTCACGTAGCAGACGTGGTTCATTGTGGTCGCCAGTTCTTTCAACCTGCAAGATAATGTCAAGAAGTACAAATGCCCATGGAATAACATCACTCAAACTCGCATTTATTTCAAGATCTTCAATTACAAATTAACGTTTCCAATTTAAAACATACAGTACAGTGTAGTTTCGATCAGGTCAGTTCATAGACTTCAGTTCCTATAGAATTTGCAAAACCGCGTACCGTGCGAAAATACCTAGGTAAGCTCCATCGAAAGGTAATAGCCATTCCCATTATGGAAAATTGCAAACCTATCATCGATTCCGAATATAAATAGTACCCGATTCGATAAGGCATTATTATTATTAATACAAGTCATTAGTAACTATCAATTATCAAGTGTTGTTTTGCGTTGTGTTTCATTTGGCAAGCCATTATGTTCTTTTTCGTTGCTAACCTGCCATGTGGCAAGCATTTATCCACGATTTTTCCATTTAATCGATAAATGTCGAATTCTATATGAAAACTGTCTTGACTCTTTATTTGTGGATGAATGTGGTTGGGTGGTGAAATGATCAAAATCTCTCCTCAAAAAGCCAAGCGAGTAGCTTAGTTACGAACTATAGGAGGGTCAACATCTGAGTTGCGACAATATACGGCGGTTTAAATCTTTTTTAAATTGTTTTTATGCAGAATATCTTATGAAAAATGACGCATGTTGTACAAGAATTGCGTGGCGTACAACCGAGAAAATTCAGAGCTGCAAGTAAAAACTTCTTCCAGGATTTCCCGACATGGACCAGGAAATATGTACTCCAACTAAGATATTATCAGTTTCACGTAGCAGTCGTGGTTCGTTGTGGTCGCCAGTTCTTTCAACATGCGAAGTATAAATCGAATTCGATTGTTATGAATTGTTTTTATACAGGTCTTATAAAAAATGCCGCAAGTTGTAATTCAGCCACTGTTCAATCACTTTAAAAAGCACAATAAAAATAGTTTGTTAAAACTTCACAAACGATAAGATTTCCACAAAATTCTTAAACACACAACATGTTTCGCTAACACAGTAGCTTCGTCAGGTGATATACTAGTACAATGAACTAAACCAACGTTGGCTTGCTTAACTTTTATATATTCTACTTTCTCAACTTGAAGGATTAGTTACCTGCCGACAGTGAGTTTTCCTTTCCCAAACAGTTATTGTATTGTATTTCATTCAACTTTTTCAGATTTTGGCTAACCAGTTCACAACTTGGAAACGAGTATCTACTTATAAAAGAAGGTAGGTTTGTTCACGTTTAATGAATTGTATATAGTCAAAATGAATCAGTTCATTTGTTTCAGGTTTCAAGAGAGAGTTATTGCTTCAGGTTAACAGGAATCATACATATATCAAGTGAATTAAATGACCTATCATATTGATCTATCTAGTTGAGATAATCCAGAATAAATCTATAATTTAGAAATAACAGACAATCTTGTTCTTCCCAGTTGATGTCCAATTCCTAAAAAAAACTGTAACAAGTAGAAGGTTGTAAGCAGGATGAACAGAAGATGGTGTAGAAACTCCTATCGAATCCCATCTACTGTTTTTCGGTCAAAGTTCTTGACCTACGGCCAACTTGTCAGAAGGTTCTTTTCAATATTGCGGAATATAAGTCGCATTTTACCCGTTAGATGGCGAAATCTCAACCAAAATTCAAGGTTGGTAGATCTGATGATAATTAAAATTCCCCAAAATTACAGTTTAGTACTTTCAAATTTAATCTCATTTCATTCGAGGTTATGTTATGAATGTTATATTATATTTCTGGTGCAAGCGGTGTGTAAGCGCCAGTACTGTTTTCTCTCATGAAAGAAATCTGTAAAAAGTGTCGCCATCTTGCTGATAACTGAGAAATAATATGCCATTATTGCGGCATCTGCTGTCAAGTGTTTTGGGAGAAACAAAACACTGTCTGTGATTACACCATATTCTATCCACCTTGGTTGTGAGGCTGATTGTAGCTCCTCCAATATCATATGCATGATAAATAATATATATCATTTGTTTTTGTATTGTAGACCTTTCAATTAGGCTGAAGATGGTCTTTTATAAGACCGAAACACGTCCCTCATGATTATGTAACAATATCATTAAAATTTGTGGAGATGACTTCGAGCATTCCTTCCTTCCTGTGAAATAATATATACTTATTCCATATTTTACCTACTTTTTAAACATGCTTATATTCTCCAACACCTTGACACCAACATCGCTCCTGGAAAACTGGCCGATAAACAGAAAATAGCTCTGGCACTGCGTGTTGACCATATGCTGGGGACTGAAAAGGCAATCATGAACATTCCTGCTCGTCGTGATGGCATCGATGTTGCTCAGGATGTCCTTGAACAGGTCCAGGATCATGTTCAGCGGCTTCAGTCCGTTGAAATCCGGCTCTTTGAGCTCGGTGAGGAAATTGATCAGTTCTATGCCCGCAGTGGTGTAGACTACGGAGGACCTAGAGGTGCCGAGGTCCATGTGGGAGTATTTGTTCTTCGAGGGCATGTAGAACTCTAGGAGTTTCTTGACGAAAGTGCGGTGGGACGAGTCGAACAGATCGATTTTCGCATTGTTCTCGCCCTGAAAGTGGACTATTATGTCGTATACTGGGTGAGGAGAACTAGTATCACATCCCATTTTCGGAAATGGCTCCACTTTTGAATTTTTATGTGAATTTGAATGTGACATTTTTCAAAGTTTTTACACCTACTTCATTTTTTTAGAGTCGCTTTCATGATGTCACTTTTAATATTGCACCTAGATGGCCATTATCGGACGGAACCTAATCTGAAGACCTCAGGTGATGTCAGAAAATTACAATCCAGAAGTTTTAGTGACTAATATGATGGATAACTATTACTTTTCAAATGGCGACCAATTTTTAACAAGTACTTTCCGAAAAAAGGATTGTTAGACGGATCCTACGATAATAATTGAAGGAGCAAGTGGAAGAAGGAGTTATGTTACAAATATGAGTTTGTGAGAAAAATTGGTTTTAGTAGTTAGCTGGCATTTTTTAATGAAAGCTAGTTCAATAATTCGATTTATGCAATTGTCCGGAATAGTTTTAGGTTTTTTCATGATCTACCGCATTTTGCTATCATATCATTTTTGATGATAAGACATCTGGATTCATGCGTACATAACGCTTTCTTCCATTTCCTGACATGTAGAGAATGGGCACATAGCTCCTTCTTCCATTGAATCCTCCATGTTTAGTGTAACATAGCCCCTTCTGCCACTGTGTATCTACTCATATTTGAAGAATAGAAACAAATCCTGACAGGCCAAGTTATATATGAACGTAACACCTTTTTCCATGACATAACCGAATATTTTCAGGAAATGTTACTTGACCCCTTCTTCCACTTGCCCTTTGAATTTTATTTGTGATTGGATTGAAAATAAGAACACACATTACTAAGGAACTCACAGGATAATTAATTATTCATTTACTTTTGTAAGTGTGCTATGTATAGCCGTTTTGCAGTTATGCTCATCAAGTCTTTGAAAAATGAAACATTCACTTAAGTAATGACATTGACATGAGCCTTTATGAACCAAAAGTGAGTTCCTTCATTTTGTGCAATATTGAAAGTGATAAATGAGCTAGACGTTAAAACTTTATAAAATGTCACACTCTGATCCAGAATTGTCTCAGAAATCAAAAAATGTTACAATATACAGAGCGTTCAATTTAAAAATTCAAACCGGAGCTATTTTCGGTGAAACCGAAAATGACCGAAAAGTGAAAAATATGTGTAAGCTCTCCTCTTCACATACCCATTTAGTAGTAAATCTCATTCTGATATTCTAGAAGTTATGACTTGTCTAATAGATTTAATAGAATTTTATTTTATAACTTTTTTTAATAATACATATAATTTTCAACCGTGGTACATGTAGGATGTATGCATATTCAAATAATTTTGTAGTTTGTATCGCCACTGAGCGGTAATATTTCCTGCTGCACTGTGTAAAATGACATACTTGGAAGGGTAGTGGACTGATACGCGATGCAACATTTTTAGAAGTGTATTCTTTCACGACTCACTAACACTGGACTGATACGCGAAGTAGAATTTTTAGAAGTGTATTCTTTCACGACTCACTAACACAACTGACTTGAGTCACCTCATCGCTACTCGTTTGGTATGTTACATAAGTAAAATGTGTCATCACGTGAATCAGTTGAATATCTTAGTAATACATTTTTAGAAGTACTGGGTGATGCGTTTTAGAACATCCTTAATGATATTTCATAATCAGTTAGAGTAGGGTCCCTTGATGTAAATTGACGTATTTGTCATCTTAACAGGGTACGGACAGATATATCATACTACTTTCTCTTTTAATGATCTATGGACTTTGGTTTTGTGAATTGACGTGCCTGACATGACATTGCTGTCACGTCACATTAATAGGCGTTAAAAGAAATATTACAAAATTTTAATCAGTACTAATCTTAATACTTTGTTATTCAATTATGTTTTGGAAGGATGGTAAAATGTGCTGTGTTAGGCTGTATTAATCAGTTGAATTTGTCAGTTTTCCAACGAATACAAACGAACATGGAAAGTGAAGAGACCGAATTGGGAAAATCGGTGAATACATCAGTGAAATACACGAGGTAAATCTAACGGAACGAAATCACATATACATTCTCATTGTGCCTAATTAGTAGAAACAGTGTTGATTTAAACGGAGGATCAGAAGAAGCATATGCCCTACCATTTAAAAAAATAGGTATACCAACATTCAGAAAATATCAAGTGTCCATAAAAAACTGCCAAAATGATACCCAACAAGAATATATAAATAAACAGCACACATGACTTATGAGCACATTCACATTGTCACATTCAAAATTGATTTATTTATAGGTACAGCCTAAGAACCGTCCCATTTGGTAAAACATATTAAACTTTCAGAAAAATGTATGCTCACTGCCTCACAAAGATTATGCTGGAGTTGAAAAATCAAAAACTCCAAAATTATTGATCATCATTTGGATATAAAAAAGTTACGGTATATACAGAGTGAGTCATAACTAATGGGACATATGCTGAGGGCGGATTGTTTGGACGAAAATATGGCGATATGCCCAAATATGCCTTAATAAAATATTGCTGTGAAAAATGATACAGGGCGTTTCAATCGAAAATGTATCGACTATAAACTCGCACCAAAATTCATTCACTGACAAGAAAAGTAATTCACCAGCAACACTTATCTGACAGTCCAAAGAACACTCTTTATAAATGGAATATTTGAAAATGCCATCAGAGACTTTGAACTGTTCAATTGCGTTTTTCTCGAAAACGGATGAAAATCTCGCTTTCAAACAAGAGTAACATATTTTCTAATCAAAATAACTAAAAAGTCAATATTTCACAGGTGCAGTTAACATGTAGGTATGTGGGTTAAACCGTTTCGGAGATATTACGTCACCAATGATTTCATGAAAAACAATCCAGTCAACATGACTTCCTATTGAAATCAAAACTAATGGTAGCACTTTGCTTACCACTTACCTTGAGTATTTTGAAAAGGAACATTCTCAGATAAATTATGAACATGAAAAAAAAAATCAAACATATAAAGAAACACATTGAGAATTCGTGATTGGGTTTCAGAATTTTTCCACAGTATGATGAACATCAATTCACCATACCAACTGACATACCTTGAGTATGATATTTATCAGATTCCAATCCCAAGTATAAGCGTCGTTACTGAGCAATACACCAGTCTCTTTTACAGCATCATCTCCATCTCTCAATACAAGCTAAAAACCATTAAAAATCAGTTTTGTCCAAAGTTCATTTTCCTAAATTTTGTAATAAATTAGTATAGTTAGTAACACGTTAATATTATTAATTACCTGATGTAGTTTCTTTTGAAAACCACTACCCTGTTTAATTCTGTTGCTTCTAACATTCTTATTCTCCATTCTCTTGTAGTAACTATTTCTTATGATATAATCCAAATGCAGACTATAAGAGGCTGGTCTCCTTTTCATCAGCCTAAACAATATCAATCAAACATTGAACATCAGTTGATTGCCTAAAAGTCATTACTCACATATGGAGCTGTTCAAGAGCTGTAATAGCAGCTATAGCCTGTGGCTTACTCCTAGTAGCATATTCTAGAAGTAAAGGTAGAGAGGGTGATAAGTTACAACAACCAGGTGGCAGTAATACTTGGATGAGCCTCAACAGTTCACCTGGAATCATGAAAGTGTTCAAGACGACCTTCGCCTACTTCTTCATAGAGTTCCTTAATGTACCTAGACTTTTGTTTTCATGTATTTGTATATTCAGACTCTAGAGTATGGACACTCGACAAACAGTGACAGGAAAATATAACCACAAATTATTTTGAAGCAGCTCATGGGTTGCGTGCAAGAACTGTCAGATGATCGACCCTGGAGGTGAAACATTGATACACAACCTCACTTTTCTTATTTGTTTACAAGTGATTGAAATAGTTTTTTCTACGGCTATAACACAAAATTGCTCTTGTTTTATGTATGAGGTACTTTGTATGTCATCAATTTTATTTCCATATCTGATATCACAATGACTCCATTGTGTTATTATTTCAAAAAAATCTCATCGCTCATGGAATGTCAAATTGCAAGCAATGACAGCTCTGTCTCATAGATGAGCCTTACTTGACAGGAAATCAGATGGTTACAAGCCGAAGAAATCGAAAATGCCGCTGTTATCTGTTACAAAAATTATATTGCATAACTTGCACGGAATGCTAATTTCCTACTACATCAGTGAAAAAAACATTAGTGTGAAATCTGTTGTCAAGTAGTCTGCGCTCCCGAACAATCCGTGAAAAATGTGAACGTGATCTATGGTCATGTGGTAATAACTCTTGCTCAAACTGTATATGAAATGGATGAATCAATTAATCTCTGCAGATCCGATTCACTGTGTTTTTTGGAATTCCTGTTTGTCGCTGCACAGATCTGGTACTTATCTCGGGATTGTCATTGATTATTTCAAGAACATATTAGGTCTTTGGACTCGGGGTCTTCCAGCGTTAATTCTGACTGGTTTCAACATTCCTGTTTCTCGAAGACGTCTCTCAATTCGGGCAAAATGTGTTTTTTTATGTGGGCTTTTGAACCCTTCTCACGGACAAACGGTACATTTTGGCACATAAATAAATTAGGTCCAATCAACTTATTTTGACCTCCTCTACACGTGGTTGCTCTGTGTCCCAGCAATTTTGGGACACCCTGTATATTTATTCGTGGTTATGTCTGATTACAAACACGTAAAAACAAAAGTGACAGACACATCAAGAAACTCTACTCCTCATGAGAACGTTACCTAGAAGCACGGAAGCCCTAACGCAAATGAAAGTATCACTGGTGGCGATAACCTCGGTCAGAGCCGCCAACAGCCCGTTCTCCAAGAAGCAGTACAGCAGCAGCGCCAAATGCATGTCGGTGGTACTGGGGGTGGTTTTGGCCAAGTGGGGAAGCACCGATCTGCCCTCTGCCACGACGAACCCTTCGTTCAGCCTCCACGACGACTGAGGCTCGCAAGGGTCCACCGCGCAGAGGGCCACTGACAGTTCGTCGGTCCATTCGGGCTGAGGCAGTCCCAACAGTTCGTATAGCAAATCTAATACTGATTTCTGAAAAATAAGGTTTCTCAATGCATCATTCCACAGCATTTTTTACTCGCAGCTTCTCGTATCGTGCTTGCAAACTGTACAACAACCTGGAACCGATTTTTCGCCACTACTCTAGTCAACTTCAAGAAGAAATTGAAAGATGTGCTCATGAATCATAGGGCTGATAATCGTTGAAGGCATTTTTTGTTTCTATTTTTGTTTTTGCTCATTCTTTCTGGAATCATACCAATACTTTCAACTAAATATCAATTACTCTTACTACCTCATAGCATTGAGGGTATGATTCATTATCGGCTATTAGTTCATCACAAATTTATTTTTCTAATCACAGAACTAAAATGGCATTTAGCGTACGGATAGGTACCACGCTAAATGATCGATTAATCACGGATTGACGATCTTTGATTTATTCAAAATATTAAACACGTTACCATGGCAACACGATTTCTTAAACACATTACCATGGCAACACAGTTCATTAAACACAGCTTCAGTAATTTCAAACATGTCTGGCCTGTCAATTGTATTAACTGTCAACTGTTATTTTCGAATTTTGTATCAGAATTATTCAAACAATATTCGTTTGTATCAGAATTCTTCATTAAAAATATACGCGAAATATAGACGAAAGTGAAATTGAAGAGAATGTTCTGGTACTTGCATATCTCCTAGAAGTATAAAAATGAAGCATCCATCTTTGAGAACAATTTATTTATTCTAAACAAAGGTTAGTATAAGCAATGGACTGGACACATCTACAACCAATATCACTTATACGTGTCTCGCTGGTTGCATGCAGTTGCATGTATTATGTTCTCAATTCACATTCCTTTCGAATTATTTCGTAGGTTAGCAGGAATAGCAGGTATGTTGATGAAATTTTCGGAGTTCGTAGAAAAAGCATAGTATGTAACGCGTTTATAAACTCTTCTAGACACTCGTTCATTAAACACTCGCTCCGCTCTGCTCCGCTCGTGCTTAAAATACTCGTTACTAAAAGGACGTTTATAACACTTGTTACATAATATACTATTAATTTATTAGGCTCTAAGACCGCACGACTTTTTGTCAAAAAAAAATCGTTCCATATTTTATTTCACCTTCCTATGGTTCTTTTCTGTTAAAGTTTAAAAACATCGTAAGCTGACACTTCACCATTTCATCACACATACCTTTATATTTTCAAATTTATATTTTACAATGTGTAGTACCTACCTATGTTTTTTTGTGATGAATAAAGACGATTTTTTATTATTATATTTGTGCAGCAATATGAGCTCTTTCCGCATCTTCCCCACTAACATTAACTATCGTCTAGACCACTGATGTCATAAGAAATAAGCTATGCCCCTCATGAGATCGAACTTGAGAACATGAATCATGCGCATTTAGGACATGTCATATACATTACTCACTCTTACTTATGTTTCCGAATACGGAGAAGCATGGCTCGCTGTCATGAACGACAGTTTGAGGATGCCTGCGCATTGAACAGCAGCATTTTCACTGATCTTCCTTAAACTAGTGAGTTCTTGACATCGATTGCGTGAAATTTTCAGATACTATGAAGAGTTTTCAATGATACCAGTCATTTCAGTAGTATAAAAAAGATGAAGAAGAGAACAAGAAGAAAAAAGAAGTTATAGAGGGGCAGAAAGGAAGAGACACATATAGTCGCTGTAGTAGTGGGGACTGGGATACCACGGTTTATTTTGGTGATACTGTTTATCATCTACCATTTGTCCATGAAAGTTGCAATAATTTGACTAACCTCCGATCTTGATTTGGAATTTGACTATAAAATTTGTTATTTTCTATACAGGATGCTATCGCCAAGTGGGGAAGCACCGATCTGCCCTCTGACAGTTCATCGGCCCATTCGGGCTGAGGCAGTCCCAACAGTTCGTATAGCAAATATAATATTGATTTCTGAAAAATATGGTTATCCATTGCATATTTGTGCAGCATTACGGACTTTTCCCGCCTTTTCCGTATCTTCCACACTGACATCAACTATTATGAGGGGACTAATGCCATAAGAGAGACATTATGCCACTCAAGATATTGAACTGGAGAACATGAATCATGCGCATTTAGGACTTGTCATATACCTTACTCACTCTTACTTATGTTTTCGAATACGAATAAACATGACTCGCTGTCATGAACGACAGTTTGAGGATGCATGCGAATTGAGCAGAAGAATTTTCACTGATCTTCCCTCAACTAGTGCGTTCTTAACATCGATTGCGTGACATTTTTAGATACTATGAAGAGTTTTCAATGATACCAGTCATTTCAGCAGTATAAAGAAGATGAAGAAGAAAACAAGAAAAAAATGCGTATGCAGCAATATGGTCGGTTTTCATATATTTTTTCTACTATTGCGTTCCAAACATGGGTTTGGTGAAAAATCAGATTTCAGATGATATGTAGAGAGAGCTCTTGATGAGACCAGCATTTTCAGCAGTATAAAGAAGATGAAGAAAGGTAGGAAAAATCAAAGAAAGACACATAGGCGCCAGAGTAGTGCGGACTGGGCTACCAAGACCCTTTCTGATGAGACTATTCATCAGCAACCTCTTTGTCCAATGTATAAATTCATGACATCTGAAATAATTTGGCTGATCGCAAAAAATTCAGATTTCAGATAATATGTAGAGAGCTCTTGATGAGCAACATTTTCAGCAGTATAAAGAAGATGAAGAAAGATAGAGAAAAACAAGGGAAGTAAGGAAGATGAGCAGAAGAGCAGCAACCTTTTTGTCCAATGTATAAATTCATGAAATCTGAAATAATTTTACTGATCGCAAAAAATTCAGATTTCAGATAATATGTAGAGAGAGCTCTTGATGGGACCAGCATTTTCAGCAGTATAAAGAAGATGAAGAAAGGTAGAGAAAAACAAGGAAAGTAAGGAAGATGTAATGGATAAATTCATGAAAGCTGAAATAACTTGACTGATCGCAAAAAAATCAGATTTCAGATAATATGTAGAGAGAGCTCTTGATGAGACCAGCATTTTCAGCACTATAAAGGAAGATGAAGAAAGGTAGAGAAAAACAAGGGAAGTAAGGAAGATGCAATGGATAAATTCATGAAAGCTGAAATAATTTGACTGATCGCAAAAAAATCAGATTTCAGATAATATGTAGAGAGGGTTCTTGATGAGACCAGCATTTTCAGCAGTATAGAGAAGAAGAAGAAAGGTAGAGAAAAACAAGGGAAGTAAGGAAGATGAGCAGAAGAGCAGCAACCTTTTTGTCCAATGGATAAATTCATGAAAGCTGAAATAATTTGACTGATCGCAAAAAAATCAGATTTCAGATAATATGTAGAGAGAGCTCTTGATGAGACCAGCATTTTCAGCAGTATAAAAAAGATGAAGAAAGGTAGAGAAAAACAATGGAAGTAAGGAAGATGAGCAGAAGAGCAGGTATGATAAAAAGATAGAAAGAAAGACACATAGGCGCTAGGGTAGTGCGGACTTTCTGATGAGACTATTTATCAGCAACCTTTTTGTCCAATGGATAAATTCATTAGAGCTGAAACACTTTACAGTGTCAAACTATAAGCAGCACAACTTCCAAAGAGAAATATTCTGCATTTTCATGTTGAGAACGAGAGCAAATTCGATATTTTTTCAATATATCTATATTTCTTTCCTTCAAACATTTTTTTGGAACAAATTGTCACTGAGAAGCTACTGGATTTTTCTTTTCGGCTCCCTGATAGAAAAATTTGTTAAACGCAGTGACATTTTGGGGCAAATCATGCATCTGATTTGTCCCACAACAAATATATTGAAATAATACGCATATTTTTATTTTATAGAAACGACGAGAGAAAAACACAAAAAATCAAGTAAAATGGCATGCCATATATTTTGTTGCACATTTGAGTGCTTCTAGTGGTTAACTACATACTCCTGGAATTTAATTGAAATCGGTTCAGTGATATTCACGTAAAAAGAATATAACAAAAAAGTTCAATTTTGCATCACTGGTCAAAAACATTAATAAAAAAAAATTAGTGCCTGCTCATAAGAATCATAAGATATACATATCAAATAAGGCCTAAGAGGATCACTAACCGAGTTGGCTTGACACGAATCATCACAGGGTGTGCAAAATTTAGTGGCAAATTTTTCAAATTTCAAAGCACAATATTTTTCTTATTCCATATTGGAGCCCCTGTATATTTTTATGTTATTCAATGCGTGAATAAAAAATAAACTTTTTTTTCATCAACTATTCTAACAAAATAAAAAACGAAAGACGCTTTGATAAACAATTTCTTGATACAACATATCAGAAGTTCAACAGAACTATTCGTCTAAATCTTATACACATCATCAAAGTATAGAAAATCACAGTTGTTCTGGTAATAAACTTTTCGAAAACAATTATTATTCTGTTATGATGAAAATTTCGATGGGGTTGTAATAAGAAAAAAGTTTGCTCTATATTCACGCATCGAATGCTATGGAAATATACAGGGGCTCGAATTTGAAATATGAAAAATATAGTGATTTGAAATTTGAAAAGTTTGACACTAAATTTTGCATACCCTGTGATGATTCCTGTCAATCAAACTCGGTTAGTGATCCTCTTAGGCCTTATTTGATATATATCTCTCATGATTTTATCGAGCAGGCACTCTCTTTTTTGTTAATAATGTTTTTGACCAGTGGTGCAAAATTGAATTTTTTTGTTATATTTTTTTTACGTGAATATCACTGGACCGATTTCAATTAAATTCCAGGAGTATGTATGTAACCACTAGAAGCACTCAAATGTGCATAAAAATATATGGCATGCCATTTAAAAAAATATATCATTATAATGTCACACTTTTTTGGGACACCCTGTATAATCAAAATTATTTTCCTGGTATGCGCCTTATGATACAATTGAAGTCTGCAAAATATCAAAATCCTGACTCAACTGATAACTGAGCTATAGAAGACGGGAGTTGAGATGAAGGAAACTGTATATTGGTCAGACAGCTAGAACGAGTGACCACCGCATTCAGGAACATAATTTGAGTTTTTCAATAAATTCAACATATGGTAACCATAAATTAGCAGAAAATCATAGTTTTGACAAGATAATTTCTAAATTTCACATGTCTACACTGTTAAGTGGACAAATTTTGTCTACTCAGAATCAATACTTACCTGAGGGTTTGAGCAAAAAGTTTTTTTTTTTTTTCATCAAATAGCAGACATTCAAAATGGCAGACTTATTTTGCCATTCATTTGATTGAAAATTCAAATTATATTATAATTATAAAAAATTGTAAACTTTTGAGGAAATTCAAGGAGTCCATTGAGTGAGAATGGATAATTTGAGGTTTTAAAATTAATGAACCAAGATGCTCAAGCAGTATAAGATTAAATACACAATTTGATCTGGAGGTAGTTTTCATGGTCAGAAATGAGTTCAGAAATTTTTAACAAAATAATGTTATGGAGCACCAAATAGAAATAATTTCATATGATAAAAAATGATGTTTCATTCAGTAATTGACAAAAATTAGGTGAGGGAAATTCCATTGTTAAGTTTTTTAAAAAAATAGCAAACTTACCCTCACTTCTAGTTGTGGCAAATACAGAACCTCAACAATAGACCTGAATCCACCTTTATCATTTGGACTGCAGAAATGCAAGATACCTGACCAACTTCTCAAGATGGTCAACATAGCTAGCCTGCCACAGTTCAACCTCAATTCACGCTCATCTCTCCTAAAACCACAAAAGATATTCAGACAGACCATTCAGAAAACAGTTCACCATTTACTTGTTTTTATCCTTGGTGCCATGCTTGTAGTGAAAATCACAAAAAGGGGCTGCAGCACAGTGTAAATCTACAGCTGCTGCAAATCTAGTGAAAGGCTTGTCTAATAAAAGCAATAAAACTCCACATAGACTCTCTGCTATCTTGGGTGTTTGGCACTCCAACAAGTTTCTAGATAAAGCTGTCACACCACCTGATATAATGAATAACTTAGGATTCAAAACACCTGGAAAAATGTATTTAGAACTCTGTAGATGCATATCCATTTAGAGCTGTTTACCTAATTCTGAAAGGGTAGCTAAGCAGATTCTGAGCATCCTATCCTTTGCCTCAGTACCTTCATATGCCAAAGACACCAGGCACCTTGCCAATGACATATCAAAACTGGCAGGTGAAATAATGAGTGCTTTCCTGATTAATTTCATAGCCTCTATCCTCTCACCATCATTCCTTGATATAAGATCTAAAGATCTGGTTAATAAATAGGGTATCAATAAATTATTCATATGTACAATATCATTTTCTGATTTAAGCACAAGTCGTATACATCGTAGTCCTGTTGATCTTATCTGGGCAGATACATGTGTTAAACAAATCCTCAGGCTGAAAAGTCATGAATGATTTCTAGCACCTGAAGAATATAAATTGTGATTTACCAGCACAACAAGTCTTCTATATGATAGCCAATCTTGTCTAAGCTGTTCTCATGTCTCAAAGTCAATTTCAACAGAGCATTCAGATGGTTGAATAAAACAGATTCATCTACATCCTCTTGGCAGATTGTAGACAGCAATTTCTTGAAACATTCTTGAGCAGCTGTGCAATAAAGTTACATAGAGTACACATTTTCTATTATAACTGGCAACAAAAAAATGGGAGTTGATCTACTTACACAAATTTTGTAATGATGCCAGTACATCTTCCTGTCTGTTTTGTTTTACTGTATTGTATCTGCCAGATCTAATAATTTGCATTTGATGCCTGATCATCCAGCTTCTCACAGCCATTATAATAGTTTTTAAGTACCTAAAATATTATTATACCTACTGGTTATCCATTACAGGAACGATTTTGGAATACTACATAACGATTTAAAGCATTTCAAGGAAAATTATAAGAGGTTATGCTTTTGCCTCGGCTTTTGCATTCCGAATTTTTTTCAAAGCATAAGAAAAGTGAGCGTTACATGAGAAATTTGAAAAATTTTCATATTTTCATTTTTCAGGTCGTTCGATAACACGATAACAACATGGAATTTTAGGTTAAGTTTTTGTGATTCGTCGTCGTTACTCGTTTCGTGTAGTCACTGTTTCGTGTTGTTTCGATACTTCACGCGTGACGCCGGGTCGCAGGCAACACACACTACAATCAAATCAAGGTTAGTAGAGCATTTAGTAGAAATTAGTTTACTGAATTCTATAAGTTGGTTCACTTGGTAGATGCCTTTTAACAGGAGTAGTTTTCTAGTTTTACCGAGACGTCCGTATAGAAAAAAAAAAGTTAGACCAATCAGATTCATCGACTTGCTTTCAGTTATAATTCTGTTTTGTAGATATTTTTGTAGAACTGTGATGGTTCAATATAAAATATATCGGAAGACCGTCCCTGCTCTTGCGTCTACCTTGATATTGACAATGGTTATGATTAAAACAGGTGGCATTTTCGCGTTTCGTCAAATTTTGTGTCAGGTTAGAAGTGTCTAGAGACAGGACGGAAAAAATAAAACCGCGCAGGAGCTCTTGGGCGTAGTTTTGCTGAAGTTTCGCGAGTCGGTTATGTTTGTTGTGTCCTGTTTCTAGATGCTAGCTTTATGCTGTGGTTATTCTGTTCCACCGAGGTCTTGTCAAAGAGGAACCTATAATTCTTTGGTCTTGTGTTGTGTTCTGTCTTTGGTTCTGTATTACTGTATTGCTTGTTTTGTTGTTATTTGTTATTGTGGTGATTGTTCGACGTTTTTGTAATTTTTTTGATAGCATTTGATGGCATTGACACAGTAGAGAGCTTACTACTGTGGCATTGATGGCAAGATAGGTACTTGACTTTGAGGTAGATAGATAGAAACATTGACGCTCATATACCTGTTCTGCTACTATATTAGCGGAGATGTTACCATGTTTATATTATCCAGTATTCTATCGAAATTTCTATTTGTATGTGGGAAAGACCATCCCAAAACCATTGAATTTGTAATTTCTATAATTATAATCACAGGTATGAATAATCCTTAAACACGTCGTACAAGGTCTCCCAACTTTCACATGATAGATAACTATTTTACCATTTATTTAATACCTTTATATATATATATATCCAAATGTAACTGGCGGTAATGAAAAGTTGAGCCTGAAGTTGTTCTTATAGGTTATTTAAGGTACACGTCCCAATTATCGCCACCTCTTTGCTAATTATATATGGGAATACAAATTATAATAACAGTTATAGCTTCAAAAACTGGATTATTATAATATTGAACTATTGATTATTCCTATATTCAATGCTCAAATTATATTAAAAATAAAATAGTCGAAAAGTTCCATTTTTACCCAATTATCGACCTGGCAAAATTTGTGTCATACCTAATATCGACACATGTGAGTACATAATACTGATACTCAATAAAATTGTGTTGATGTAAATATACCTACTTACTAAAGAAACATATGCAATTTGCATGAATTAATAATAATAAAGTAAAAACACAGAATATAATCTCAATGGCGTCTACAACATATTTATTAAAACAGAACAAAATAGACAAAATTGTTAGATATAGGCATTAGTAGGTACTCAACCAACGAATCAGAAATCTCCAGCATCATTTTTTTGTTGGTAATTTCATCAAGAATATATCGCCTACATATTATACCAAAACTCATCCCTTCATATTCTGATCTTATATTTCTTATAATAGTCTAAATAATATTCTCAATGTTATATTTTCTCCTTTAGCCCTATCTGCAACTTATATAACAGAGTGACCCATATGAAAGCGGGCCACCCCTGTATCGGCTGTATCTCACTTAATCGTTGGGTAAGGATCATGAAATTTGCTGGAGCGAGAGATATACCAAAAATGCACTCTATGACCAAGCGGGGTCATCTTCAGTGATATACACTGCTCGCCAACAGCCATGGAACCACCCCAATTTCCGGAAAATGATATTAGGTGTCAAAATAGGTTGAAAATCACTTCGGATTCGGTATCAGGACGCCCAATTCACTAACTCTCCATATTTTTCCTTGAAAATTTTCAGTTCTGAAAAATTGAATTTTGTCGCACTTTTCACGGAAGCACCCCCGTATCTCACGTAATAGACTTCATCTTTGGACTTTCCGTTCCTCCTGCAAATTTTAGAACCCTACCACAATAATTACGTGAGATACGGGGGTGCGCTTCCATGAAAAGTGCGACAAAATGTAATGTTTCAGAACTGAAAATTTTCAAGGAAAAATATGAATAGTTAGAGAATTGGGCGTCCTGATTCCGAATCCGAAGTGATTTTCAACCTATTTTGACTCCTTATATCATTTTCAGGAAATTGGGGTGGTTCCATGGCTGTTGGCGAGCAGTGTATATCACTGAAGATGACCCCACTTGGTTATAGAGTGCATTTTTGGTATATCTCTCGCTCCAGCAAATTTCATGATCCTTACCCAACGATTACGTGAGATACAGGGGTGGCCCGCTTTCAAATGGGTCACTCTGTAGTTCATTCATCACCCTAATTCAAGGATTCCTCAATTTTTTTATCTTGCATCTCTTCCTGTTCAGCCTTTCTCTCCTTCTGCTTTCGTTTGATTCCTTATTTTTTCTGAAGTTGGGTACAGTGGAATACTGTAATCTTTTAGCATTGTTCATATTATATTTATTGAAAAAATAGTGTACCAGCTGATAACTGGTGTACAGCATCAACTTATTATGATTTATATTGAATTGTTCAAACACAACAAGAATGATTTCTTTCTGTATTTGAATATTCATAGGGAAAGAGAAAGCTGTATATGTATGGTACAAAGTTTAAAAATTGATGTACCAGTTATTGGCTGTACAATATAATGAATTCATACTCATTTCATGCCAAATGATTGTGAAAAATAAATTTCAGACGTAGTTGCCAGATTAGCAATTGAATCTTCCGGGAATGAATGCTTGAGATACAGGGTGGCCCACGGTCGATGGTACCTTAGACGTATACGGAAAACGGTACATTGTATTATCCTGAAAATCTGGTTACTCTAATAAGCGTTTGTGATCTAACGATTCAAAATATTTTCAGCGAAGCATCGTTGCCACTTTTACCAAAAAGTAGCATCATCTTTGTTATTTCAAATAGAACACCCTGTATTTTATTGCGTTTTTAGATTCTTCTCGAAAAGTTGATTTCATCAATGTATCACACTTGGGGTCAAGCAGGAATTATTACAGAGATATAGGGTGTTCAAAATCGAGATTTTTCAACTTTAGGATTTTTTAGTGTCGAAACTATTCATCATTGGTCAAAACAGCTTACATGTCCCTGTATTAACTTTTGATTAACTATCTACCGACATTTAATTGGAAAAAATACAGGATGGTCCAAGATTCAGAATTTTGATCACCCTGTATCTGTTCCAATTAAATGTCAGTAGATAGTGAATCAAAAGTTAAGATAGGGACATGCAAGCCGTTTTGATCGATAATGAATAGTTTCGACACAAAAAATTCCTGAAAAAGAAAAATCTCGATTTTGAACACCCTATATCTCTGTAACAATTCCTGCTAGACCCCAAGTGTGATGCATTGATGAAATCAGCTCTTCGAGAAGAATCTAAAAACGCAATGAAATACCCATTTGAAATAACAAAGATGATGCTACTTTTTGGTAAAAGTGGCAACGCTGCATCGCTGAAAATATTTTGAATCGTTAGATCACAAACGCATATTAGAGTAACCAAATTTTCAGGATAATCCAATGTACCGTTTTCCGTATACGTCTAAGGTACCATCGACCGTGGGCCACCCTGTATACTAACACTGTTCCATTTGTTGATTATAACAATTAGTCAACCAAATTTCAACATAACTAAAACAAAACTAAATATAGTATAAGAAGTGTCTTATTGTTAGATAACATTTCATTCTAGCTAATCTTGAAACTAATGGAATACTTTGGAGTTCATAGTAAATCAAATGTGATCAGCAGTGAGTTACCAATCATCTAATCAGCTACTACAAAGTAATTTTGAATTATTGCATTCCGTGCAACATTTTGCAGATAGGATCAATTCAAGAATTTTATTGAGATCTGGCAACAGCGGAGTGATTCCCAGCCGCCAGAAATCCAACCAATCAAATTGCAATAGCATTTTCAATAATAAATATAATTAATTCATTTGTCGTTTGATCTCGATAAATAAGTGGCCAGGATAACGTTTTTAACTTCCCTTCATAATATTATAGCAAAAAGGGTCAAATTTTAAGACTGGAAAGGCACATTCTGATGCGGCGTTGTGATAGATGCAATAAGTATTGCTGATTACAATGTCTGCTGATCTTCGTTTCAATAATTCATAATATCAACTGAAATTCTACTCTACAGTGTTCGTAATTCGAGTAATTCGACCGACAACTCTTCACAAGTGATGGCCTGCGATAGCTCTCCTGATTTGATGAAGTCTTAGAGATAGGAATAAGGTTCATTGAGCGGCTAGGTAGTTTTAGAAATACCGGGAAGTTGAAAAATTAAATTCGGTTCTCAGGAATAATATCTTCAATTGTTTTGATCAACAGGAATCAACATCCTGTGTCAATGAAAATGGCGTCGTGGACATTTTTTTCTAAATAATGGCCCTTCCAGTATGCCTACAGAATTTCAGAACAATATTTATACCTATATTTATACAAACAATTTCAAAAAATAAATAAAATTCCGAATCGGAGTGTTTTGGTATAGAGTACAGTTTGGTCAATCACCTCAATTTGGCCATTTTGTACAGACCTCTCGGGGACACCCTGTATAACTTTTTTTTATCGCTTGAAGCGCATGATAGGGAATCCTCGAAGAACATCGTGCGTACTTAGGGAGGATTAGGAGAGGAGGTAGGTATTGGATTTTTTCTAGAATTTTTTGAGATTATAAGTTCTACTTTCTCAGGAAATGAATTACAGAGATTCGCCGTTCTATAGAGTTTTGATAAAGTACTGTTCTGACAACAAAAGGATGTGTTGACTGGGCACTGGGCTTGTCGAGTGCGTTTAATTAGAGTTAAAAAAAATCAACCTGTCTTTTTTTAGGTGATTTAGTCAACAATCTGAAAAACTTGAAATTTAGAAGAAAATAATTTGACTTGTAAGATTAAGGCAGTGTAGTATTGATTTTTGTCACGTTGTCCTGTACTATTACCTCAATTACCACTATTTTATAATTAATTAATACGGGTATTTATTTTAGTGTGATAAGTCAACTCATTGTGTAAAAATGTCTCAACTTTCCAAAGTTAAATCAAGAAGAAAATTCATCAGTCCTGTTTTTCATTTACAAACCAAAGATGAAGATGGTGAACATATAACTGAAGATGTTATAAAGAATGTAAAGCAAACTGGAAAATTGAATTTATCCTCTAGGCATCTTGCTTCAGGTAGGATTATTTTTATTTGTTCTTGATCTTGGATATGTACCTATTGAATAACTTTCGACTTACAGTTCCTGAAAAGATGTTCAAAATATATGACGTACGAGATAAAAATGAAGTTAATGTTGATTATAGTAGAAATATCAGAGAAGAAGAAGCCTGGTGGAATATCAAACCTTTAACAAATTTAGATCTGAGTTCTAATGTTCTAACTAGCCTACCAGACAAAATATCTATGTTTCAAGACCTAGCTGTGTTAAATGTAAGATCATGTACTCTCATATACTCTTGGAACAGTTTTGCAAATCGTTTACTTTTCAGTTACAAGATAATTTATTAACAATGTTACCCCCAGAAATATGTGAATTGACAAGATTAACAAGGTTATCCCTAAATCGCAACAAAATTAACAAATTGCCTAAGAATATTAACCAACTAACAGAATTGAGGTATTTGTGTATAAGTCATAATTGTTTGGAGTGTATTTCAAAGAATATTTCCGATTTAGTAATGTTAGAAATGTTGGTGAGTAATGATTTCAGTACCTACTGTAAGAAAACCGGGTGACCAAGAGATTGTATAATAGTCTGCACACATCCTTATCATCGACCCTTATCGGCTTCATATGAATCAGTATACCTACACAGTGTGTGACGTCTTGTGACCAACCCACTCGAAATAGGGAGCACCATTAAGAAAATGAAAAAATTTTCAAACAATTTGATGGTACCCTGGGGCAAGTTAGAGTTCCTAAATGTACTTATTGACACTGCTGTTTTAACGTTTTTTGTAACAAAGCAGTGTCAAATACATTTAGGAACTCTAGGGCAAGTGGAACCGCGAATTTCAATAGCTCCGCTATAAACTAAGAATAATAATAATAATATAATAATAATGGGTCATTCTCGTTCCAATCACGTCAGCTTACTGATAGATAATTATTTGAAGGATCTGGAAATGTATAACGAGATAAGTGCTCAAATCTTTGACCGATTTTTTTTTAATTATAGCGGTACTTAGGAATTGAGACTGTCCTTGGAGTATTTCCAGTGGCGCCTTCTTCTTACGTAGTTTAGTTACGCAAAATGTCTGGAAGAAATTTATTGACTTTGCATTTGAAGATCACGAATATTTGATGCACGATTCAACATGGGCAAGTGAAACCTAACATAGGTTACAAAGTGGTTACAGTTTTCCCTAGACGTTATTCTCAAGGGGCAGGTGTCTTTTCCTCCACGTGAACAATTATACACGTCATTCATAACTTCAAAATACAAAGAAGTATTGTTTTTGAGCTACTCACTTCAAAAACTTTGAATATATTCACAAATTTTTGAAGCTAGCTCAGTATGCGACGTAAATGGACACTGTTTGAAATATCGGCAAGGTCGAACCGTAATTCTTGGGTTAGTAGCTTGATATATCACTGAGCATTGAGGGGATATGGGTAGGTTCATTGTGCGATTTAGCCACCTTACAGACAAAAATATAATGATAATCAGCCTGGGTTCCACTTGCAACAAAATTACACTTACCCCGGTGTACTTTACAACTGACAAATTGATTAATTATTGTCCGATTTTTGTGGAATTTCGAGCAGATCATAGATTCGTGACTTGGAATGTTGGCCTGAATTTTTTGTTCCCCAGAAAACCTGACGATTTGTTCATTATACGGGAAAAACAAAAGTTACTCTTTCACCATAAACTTCTTAAGGCCCTGTGGCAAATGAGAGTGTTTGCTTTCATTATGTTTTGGATTGGAATGTGATCCCTTCTCAACACAATTTGGATTCAGGATGTTCAGCACTGTTTGAGCACTTCTCTTTGAAACAATACAACTTCCCCTGAATTTAAAATGATAGGCTGGCTAGTGGCTGGTAATCTCGTGCTCACCCGGTATGGTGTTGTAACAACTAATAATTCCTAATGAACTCATGATGTTATCTGGGATGTTGTTTCAGGATATTTCAAACAATATTATATCAAAACTACCACCTGGGATAGGGTTTCTGGTTCGTCTTACAGAACTGAATGTGTCAAATAACAAACTAACTGAATTACCACCTGATATAGTCAACCTTAGAGGTGACTCATTTTTTTATATTGTAGATACGATTGATAATCCAATAATATTTTGTAGCTCTACTGAAATTGGACATAAGCCACAATAATATTGAGCACTTGCCAGAGTTTGGGGAACTGAGAAAACTTCAGATATTTTATGCTCAGCATAATGATATTCAAGAAATTCCAAGTTTCAGAAGTTGTGAACAAATTCAAGAAATATACCTCGGAAATAATTTCATCAAAGTATGATTAAAGGCTGTGTAATGAAACAACGTGCGACAAAAGAGCACGTGACAAAATGGCGTGCGACATAACAACGCTCCTACAAAATGGAGTGCTATAAAACAACGCCGCTGTTAAAAAGGTTGGGTTAGCTTAATAGATTTAATAGTTGAAATTAAGTATTCTTCTTTATTGCCGATGTTTCTTGTTGCAGTGCTTATTATATGCCTCATAAGAGAAATCGGGTTTGAAGACGGCCAGAGTGTCCGTTACTACCTTTACGATCAACCTATAACCTAACTTTGATAAAGCGCCATGTTGTGACGCACCATTTTGTTTCCTGTTCTATTGTCAATCGCTGTTTAATGTTATGATTTCCCTAATTCCAGGAGATACCATTAGAATTCTGTGAGGTCATGTGCCATTTGAAAACCCTTGAGTTACGGGACAACCAAATAGAATCCGTGCCATCCGAAATAACTAATTTAGTTCACTTAACTAAGTTTGATCTTACCAATAATGATATCACAGAGTAACTATAAACTTCCAAACTGCCAATCTGGACGCCTTCTTAGATATTTTTTCTTTGAGGTTACCTTTTACAATGGGACTCATGCCACATTTGCAAATATTGAAACTAGAAGGAAACAAATTGAGACAGATAAGGCCAGATATCATTCAAGGAGGGACAAATCGTATTCTGAAATATCTAAGAGAAAAAATTAGTGAAGAAGACCTCAAAACCCTGAATGTGCCATCAGATGTATCTTATGATAACAGAACATACCCAGATAGGTAACAATAATTACCAATTGATTGAACAAGATGTTCCTGGATTCTGGATTCAAGTGACGAAAATCTTGGGAAACATGTGCAAAAAATCATGAGATGAAACATTTCGTTTCTACTGGTTTATGTAGAAAAAACTACTTATTTTTATTGGCAGAATCTTTCCTAGGTTTTTATCATTTAATTCAACACCCTATATCGTCATATAGTTTTTATATTTTCCGATGTAGGTTTAGTATGAAAAATGGCAACATTCTCAATTTGGCTATGAAAAACATAGCAGAGATCCCGGATGAATGTTTTCATGAAGCTAAAAAAGCTGAAGTACATACTGTAGATTTGTGTAAAAATAAGTTCACCGCAGTTCCATTGGGGTAAGTTCTATTCATTCATTTGTACTGGAGAAAAAAATGAATTCTTTCAGGTTGAAATTGATATCAGACCTTTTGACTGAATTGAATTTATCATCAAATCAATTGAAGGAAGTACCAGAGTTCCTCAAGGATTTCACAAAACTGAAATTTTGCGATTTGAGTAACAATTATCTGAATTCTTTGCACGAAAGTTTCTCATCCATGGTATCTCTAAGAGAGCTTATATTGAGTAATAACAGGTGAATTTATATCTTGTTAACACTCCATGAATGTCGTGTTTTGATTCACTTTTAGGTTTGGCAAAATACCCGAGTGCATTTTCGGAATGACTGGTCTAGAAATCCTTCTGCTTAATGACAACAAGGTAGAACAAATACCAATGGAAGGTTTGAAAGAATTGAAAAGGCTAGCTACGTTAGATCTATCCAACAATAATTTACATCAGATTCCGCCGGAGCTAGGGAATATGATTCAGTTGAGGTAACTCCTTTATTTAGATATACTTTTCGCCCATATGTTTTTTGTTCACAAGTTTGGTTTCAAATGTTTCGATGCTTAAAGTAATTGTCAAATGGGTGCTGCAGTGTGGTGCAGGGTTGCAACATATTGCTAATGCAAAGCAAAGCAACCCCACAGGCAATGATGTAAATCTTCGTGGATCTTTCTCTTCCAAGCCCTCATGAAAGGAGGCCAGAATGGTTCCTACTGATTCCTGTCACTTGTAACACATCAAATCAAAATGAGCAACTGAGGAACCATTCCGGGATAGTGAGAGTGAGTGAAATTTCTCAGATCATCTCAGGCATCTTAAGTAAGCTACACAGTTACACAGAAGTCTTTCACTGTCGTCTTTTCAAAGAGATATAAGTACAAGTACAATTCTTAGTAACCAGAGAATCAGGTAGATAGCCAGGCTTTTTTGAAAGCACTGCTCCAGCAGATTTAAGTCCACAAACTTGTTTGAGACAACACGATATTTCTAGGAGGGTCTTGATATCCATAACAGGGAACCTCTGAGGCCAACATAAAGAACGACATGATAATCAAAAAGGAAAACGCATCGGATCCATTTTTTATCCGATATACCAAAGCCGCACAATCATTCAAAGGCGATTCTACTCAAACTCTTGGAAGAGATACAGTTTCGGTACAATCTTTAAATCAATCATTAGTTCTGAGTGAATAAATAAAAAGTTATATTGATGGTCGATATTGAGGTTATAGTATCTTAGTGTTTGTGGTTAGTGGACCGATAACTGCTCAATTTTTGACTTGGTTCATAGACAGCCGACCGGTAAACTATCCATACTTTCTCTGTTCAACCCCACATCTGTGGGATACCCTACCCTTATCGTTTACTACCCGCTGTATTTTAAACTGGAATGTACTACTCATAGGAAAAATTGAAATGAAAAAATTATCGGCAACGGAACGGCTGGACCCAATAACTTCCTGTTCTGATCTAGAGATAATGAGCATCGACACATTTCATCAATTTAGAGCAAGTAGGTCAAAAATGAGGTCACCTCATTCAGTAAACTCTTGAAATCCCTGAATTAACTACATGCATTATGTGTAAAAAGATTCCGAGTTTGGAAGATTGCTAAGGTCACCAAATTACAGGAAATTGTGTATTTCACAACTGGAGTGTGTTTGACAAGTAGTGTCAATTGTTATCTACTTATATATCTCCGAAGTGTTACTGGTAGAAGTGAGGGATGATTGATGATGCTGATATCTTTTGCATGTAAGGTCCATCAGGCCTGCTAACCAACTCTTAGGAGCAGTTGATCCCCACAATAGGTAAGACCTGCCTGAATGTATACCTGGTAGCTTTTTATAAACCCACCAACTCTACCTGCTCTCAACAGCATCATTATATTTTCCTTGTAGGATTTGTTACTTATTCCTTACGCTTCCTTAGAAGCCGATTCTAAAATTTGAATGCAACAGTGATATCAGAACTCTCTCATCGAGCAACGGAATTTTCAATTTCAATCTGATACCCCCCAAAACTAGGGAATGTAATAAGTTCCGCTCAGAATGTAAATTCAGGCTCAACAAATATTCCCGTACGACGTCACAGGTTAACACAGGGAAAACGTCCAAAGCACCATCTGTATGTATTTTTCTAATTTGTTTGTAGGTGTATTGAGCTTAGAGGGAATCCATTTCGTCATCCAAGGCCTGCCATTTTAGGTCAAGGAACAGAATCAATTTTGTCATATTTGCGTGATAAAATCCCAAGATAGTTTCTCTACACTGTACATTTTGTAAATAAATATGTAGGTATACTGCAGCAACAGATACAGTATTACTAGTGTAAGATTCAAAATTGTGCTGTAAAAAGCATTTGTGGTTTTGGCTTTCATCTTTGAGCTTTTGCTTGTAGAAAAATAAAATTATTCCACTAATAACATTTTTATTACTCATGATTTCCTTCAAACAAATCATCATGGTTTTCATTAAAATTCATGTAACTGAAAAGCATTTATTAGATTGATTATTTCAACAAGTTTAGTCATATTTATAAAAATATGTTTTTTGTGCAGTAAACATGCTAAGTTATTTGACAGCTTGAACATATTCAATATTTATTTATTTCCAATATTATAATGTTAAATAGTCATCGAAGTTGAAGCATAATCATTTTAATTTCATGTTATGATTCAAGCTTTGATGTTATTGACATAAGAAAATAATGTGTTGAAAGACAATCTGTATGTCAAAGAATCAACCCACTCCTCATGCCAAGAAGATTCCATCTGGTCCTGAATCCTAGTTTTAGTGGCCTTATGAATGTGATTCAACTCAGGAGTTTTGGAATTTGAAATGGTGTCCAGATAATAAGGAAAATAGTCCAAAGTTATACCTGCTGTGTAAGTAGTGATTGCGTCAGATGATTTAGCAAGCCAGTCCATAATTGGTATGTTCCAGTAGTCCCAGGTGATGTATTGAACATCATTTTCAATAGCTACATCTTCTGTGCTATTAGGTTGTATAGATGCCAGCAGAAAACTTGTTCTCAATACATCAATAATATCAGATTTTTTATTTGATACATATTTAGAATGAATCTCAGTCTTAGTTGTATTTTTGATGTCCTGATCCAAGTTTGTTTGTATATTCAATGCAGGTGATAATTCTTTAAGTTCAGTCTCTTTGGCATATAAACTAGTTCCTGGTATTTGGCTAGCTAGGAATACAGACCCTAAAATGGTAAGTAATCCAGCTGTGTAAGTAGCTGCTAAGATGACAGATACTGCAGCAATACAATGAATCAGATTGGATATATCTACTGTTTGAGATAGGCTTTGTAACTCAGTGTATGTAAAATAACCTCTAGAAGTTCCCTGCTTTGAAGCAAGTGTTATTTCAAGATCATTCAATTTTTTCCAAAAAGTCGGTTCACTGACGAAAATTTCCCAATCCTACAAAAGGTTTATAGAAATTCAAGGTGAAAGAAAAAATTAAACATTTATGGAAAATGGTAAAGAATCATACATATTTCCACCAAAAATAAACTTACCATAGCTTTTAAGAAATCCCTTTCTAAAAGAACCAAATCTCTGACCTTCACACCTCCTGAGGTAGCCCATTCATCTATAAAAACCTCATCAGGTTCACCATCATCAAACAAAAATTTGCTGGAAACCATCTGAAAACTGTAACATTAAGACTCTCATCCTTATCAAGTATTTTTGGTACATACCAGTGATACAAGAAATAAATCAGAAGGCACAGTTTTCTCTAAATATCCTGGATTGCGATTTTTAAGTCTTTCCAAATAAAGCATAGCTAGCACAAGAGAGCAGGGTGACACACAAGTATTCCTGGAAATGTTAGCAGCATCATACAAATGAAGTCTTTCAAGGGATTTACCAGTGTGGGCTTCTGAAAACAGTTCTGCAGCTAGCTCTGTAAAATGGATATTTCAAAGAAATTCAAAGGAATCCATCATGGCAAAACATTGTTACTCACCTGTTACAGGAAAACTGAGACAATCAGATTTTGGCAATTTTCCATAGTACAAGGTTTTAGTAATTCGTGACAAGTACTTTTGGTGGTCACCAATAGTCTAATAACAAAATAGCTTCATATCAAAATATTCATTACATAAACTTGTGAAATAGTTAATAATAATATGCTTGGCAACAGAATATGCAAGTGAATAATTGTTGAGATTTGAAACAAGAACATTAATTAATTAATTATCATCAAATATGTTGATGGTGTAGCTGCACCAACTAGCAGAGGAAAGAACCTATAGATAATTAATTTCTTTTTGAATACTGATAGGTAGGATATTCTTGGAAATATTCATGGAAAGCAGTCAAATGTGAAATGTGACAAATCATCAGTAAGATTTCTTCATTTTTTGTTGAGCATTCAAAAAGTTTATTTTCCAATGAACAATATTTTATTGTACAGTCGTCTTCAGAGATCATGTCGCGGTTAAACGGTGTCAGCGCTCTTATTGCAGGAGTTATTAAAAATGCTATCATCGTCCATGTGCGACATGTTTTCTGAAGATGACTGTACATATATGTACATCAATGAAAACTAACATGAAATTCTATATAATCAGTAAATAAAGGACATTAGTGTAGAAATAAAATGAAATAGTGTATCAAGCTCATCAAGGTATGTCCAGAAAAATGTCTCCCAGGAATATCCAAAAGTCATGGAAGCTTTTCTTTCCTTTTGTAGTTAGCTCATTTGTTTTCTTTCCTTGTACTCAAGAATGGTGTTATTCATTAGCTTCTCCTCAACCCTATTCATCCCTTGTACACTGTGCTTGTACATACTTCTCTCAAATGTGCATGGCAAAAGTATTGGAGGTACAATGTACAAAGCTTACCTTTGGTGACTTCTTATTAGATATTTTAGACATCTTGAAATACACTTTCAAGGGAGAGCCACCTTTTGGATTTATGAAACGGTCCCAAATCCAAAAATAACACTATATTATTATACACTTGACTTGATTACACAAATTTACAATTTACATAACCTTCAAAGTTGAACCATATTTTTGACAATGACAATTGACATTGAAGTGTGATGTGTTACACAGAATCATAGATCATGTTGTTTACATAATATGAGTTCTGTGATTTCATTGAGATCATGAAGAAATCGAAACAATCGAAATTTCTTCTACCAACCTTGAATCGAAACTACATGGAATTGCCACATATACCAGGGGCGGACCGTTTGTGGGGCCTGCCTATATAACCAACTAATTGCCATTTTCCAAAAAAAAACGTTTTCGATCATGAGTATTAAACTGCTCAACACTCGAAACGTAAAATGGAAATTCTTCTTAGAATCACATCATACTCATTATAACTTTTGACTGCCTCAGCCGATTTTCAATTTCCTTCTGAATTATATCGAGTAATATATATGGGATAGTTCGTAAATATATAAGCGGAAAATAATGGTACTTGGCATCTTCGAAATTCGAGAAAATGATTAAAGTGCGTAGTCCATTTCGAATATATTTTTTTAGGTGAAAAACATATCGTACCATGTTTTCTCTAAACGGTTTTGGAAATTTTTGGGGATTGTCACACTCATTAACTGAAATATGATTATTTTTTCAAAAGAATTATGAAAAACAGGGTGTTACAAATTCCATTTAAAAAAATAATTTGTGGGTTGTCCGCTTTCAGGGATGACCCTATAAAACTTTTGAAGGGCTGTGGAAAGGCCCCATTGCCGCATTCAACTTCCACACATTGCTAATTTTTTGTTAATAAGAAAATAAGGTAAATGTAGGGGTGACAATTCCTTCGATCATACAACATATTCCAACAATTCCGAAACCGTTTCGAGAAAACAAATGGTGCGATGTTTTTTATTATAGCCCAAGAGCCGGCTGCAAGTTTCAACCGTCATCTGATAACCAAATGAAAATATGTCCCAAAAAACATTGTATATAGTTTAACGAACGGTACCTGTGCCAGTCACTGTCATCAGCAAAATGAAGAAAAAATTGCACTTCTCTGTGCGGAAATTTGCACTCGATTTCGCGATTTGGTAACGAGATAAGAATTCAAAATACTTGTATTGTGAGCACCACATGAGTTTCATAGTGGTCCATCGGATATTATCTTTCGACGAAGGTTAAATATTCATGGAAATACTGACGCTCTGCCACTAGCTTGGATCAGTTTTAATCTCGGCACGTTTGGATATTCGCAAAAGGGACATTTTTCCTTTTCATTTGCTTCTTGTTTCACATGACGGAAGTAGTAGTAGTAGTAGTAGGTGGGGAGGCTGTAGCCAAGTAAGTAGGCCCCGATGGGCCCTTTTTGCTAACCCCTGCTCTCCACATATCTACGCTTCCTTCACCAAGATTTCCTTCACGAATCTCCCTGACCTTCTGAAGAAAGCCAGTATGTCCGTCCACTCTAATATAATCAAGTCCTCCTGTTGGAGTTTGTCTACGCCAAAGATTTCAAATCTCAGCCTTCCGTACGCCTCGCACTCGCCGAGGAAATGGAGTGACGTTTCCTCGTCTTCCCCGCATCTGCGACAAGTGGGGTCGTCCTCTATTCCCATAAGTGATAGGTGTCTGCCTAGCCTGTTGTGTCCTGTGAGTACTCCTATGAGGAGGCGGAGTACTTGGCGATCTCTGCCAAGCAGCCATTCCTTCCTTGATTCGCTTGGACCGGCCATGAATTCCTTGGCCTGCCTGCAACCTGTGATATTTCTCCAGTATTTTCCTAGTGCCTTGTCCGCCCATTCATCGAGGGCTGACGTAATTTGGCTATGCCTAGTACAGGCTCTGGCCCCAGAAACGGCTCCGCGGATCCGGCCCTAGCAAGTTCGTCTGCTGTTTCGTTTCCGGGCACCCCACTATGAAGCGGGACCCATACCAGTTCAACTTCCTTTGATTCTGCTAATATCGCAAGGGCATTTCCACACTCCTGTACCAATGCTGAGCTCGGTATGGGATGACAGCCTTGAGTGCTGCCTGTCTGTCCGAGCAGATGTAGATCTTATTCTGCTCTGATCCCTCTTTCACCTCTGGTCTCTCTCTGCTATTTGCTTCTCGTATGTTTTCCCCTTCGAGATAGATTCCTGCACCCGAAGCCTGTTTGTCAGTCAAACTCTACTATATTGTTTCTCCATTCCTCTCTGCTTGGAATAGTAAGTTTGAACTTCCTATTCCATCTCAGCTTGTCCTGCACTTTATTCACTCTGAGAGTGGAGATAGGAATATCTCTTGCTCCACCCACTCTGCTATTTTTGCGTGCCCTGGTATTGTTCCTTCACTTGGCCAGTTTCCTGAGTCCCGCATCCTTAGGTGGGCCGCCATCGCCTCCTTCTTTAATAGCAGCAAATATATCGCTGTGCCGTTGATTTGGCTCAGACTAAGGTGTAGCACAAGTAAGTTTTTGAGATCTATATCATTCAATTTTGGTATAAGATGGCATAATTCCTATCTCGTTATCAAATCGCGAAATCGAGTTCAAATTTCCGCACAGGAAAGTGCAATTTTTTAATGATTTTGCTCAGGATAGTGATTGGCACAGGTGCCGTTCGATGAACTATATTTTTACTTTCCTTTGGGACATATGACATATATATATCATTTCGTTATCATGGGACGGTAGAAATCTGCAGCCCGCTGGCTCCTTCTATTAGATTTCAATTCACCGGAAAGCAATATGATCATATCAAATTGTATCTTCTCAATTAACAACCTGTCATTTATTTGAATATCGGGTGTTTCTCAGAAGTGGCTCACCCTTATAACTTTTTTGATTGTACAGATAAACAAATGAAATTCGGTGTGTGAGTGTAAGTATATATAGTAAATAGATATGCATTTTTTGACGTATTCAATTAATGTTTTATGTCACTCCAGGTTTTACCTTATTACTTTCTTATTCTAAATGGAACACCTGGTATACTTTTACTTATTTCAGTAGAAAACCATCACTTTTTGACATTCATCAAATTTTCAATCACGAGTGTCATTATAGCAGTTATGTTATTCAACTTATATGTCAAACATTGTGTGATATCAAATTGTTCATAACAAAATGCCCTTATCAGATATGGTAAATGAGCCACCTTTTGTACATATGAAAAAAATGAGGTTACATCATAAATACGGTTTTTTGAACTTTGAATGAACCTATAAAATAAATGAAAAGTAATAAAACTTCTTTGAAACAATTTTTCCCTGGTAACTTGATCCAAAATTAACCGTTTTAACTCATTCATGGCACTCTAGATTTAAAATTGAAATTGAAAATTTCGGGATAATGACAAAACGTGACAAATGGGGTTATTTCATTATACTCACAACGTGATTTTCTATTGAAAAAAGTACGAATATATCGGGTGTTCCATTTAAAATAAGGAAGCGAGGGCCATTCCTGGTCGCGATTTTACTAAATATACTGTACGCTAGCACAAACCAGGCCCACCGTAATATCTCATCTTCGAAGTACTCAGAGACTATTTATCCTTAAGGAACTAACCTATTCCTGATTGCAATATTTTTGAGGAAGGAAAACCGAATGGAGTGTAGAAACACATTGATTAATAATATATTTCAAAAGTTGAGTTCTTCAACAAATTTGAATAAAATGAGACTGTTTATCCTAAACGCACTAACCTATTTGACTTCAAATATTTTCTGAAAAAGGAGAACCAAAATGAAGTAAAAAAACATTGGTGAAAAAAAAATTGCAAAAAAAGTTCAAGTTCACAGCGATTCGAACCATGGACCTTATCCAGACTGAAAGTCGACAGCGCTAACCAGTAGACCATTTGGGTATATGAATTTACTGCGTACAAGAGATTGACAACGAAAGAGCTTCAGTCGAATTCATGTCAAAATTATAAAAAGTGTATTCTTGCGTTGGAGCACAGTATATTTAGTGCGATGTGCTGACTCCGAGTATTTCGGTAATGTTTGGAGATATGACGTATTATGGTGGGCGTGGTTTGTGCTAGCGTGCAGTATATGTAGTAAAATCGCTTCCTGGTCAAACATGAAGACATAAAACAATTGAATACGTTAAAAAATGCATATTTATATATGACACCTAATTTCATTCGTTAATATGCAGTAACAATAAAGTTATAGGGGTGGGTTACTCTTGAGAAATACCCGGTATTTATCATATTCATGCGAATATCCCTCTAAAATCATCCATGTGAAAAATTCTGATTTGAACAATAAATAACCAGAGAGATCAAAGAAGTTATTTTGTATTTCAACTTTTGAATTATGGGTACAAAATTTATCATCATTGATGAACGTATTTTCAATCATATATGATTAATTTCAAATATTATTCTCAACAAATCTCTTATTAATCACAAAAATACCAAGGTATAAAAAAGTTACCTATACCTTCTTATTTATCATGAACAATTCAAAAACTATCTTGACTATTATTATCCCAGGCGAGAATCTTATTCATATTTACAATATTTTTTGTACTCCATGGCTCCAGAGGATCTGGTGACTCTGAACCTTCAGAATCAAGTTGATCTTTAGCTGACCAGCATTGTCTCCCATCAGTTATGGGAGCCACCCTGTACAGGGAAAAATAAAGTTAAGTATATTCTGTTATCAGATGTTGTATACCGGGGGTCCTAGAGCTTTTAGGTCAGCAGGCTGGGTTATCTAACATAAATTTGTGGAATTTATGTGAGCAAAAGCTCTCCAAAAGGGAGAGATCATTCCACCCTTGTGCCAAAAAATCTACTAGAAGCCACCCCTTCCTTTGGTTTTTCAAATTTGCCCCCCATGTTTATTTTGGTTCATTTTATAGGACTTTTCATTCTCATTTTGACAAGTGAAAAATGAATGATTTTGCAAGCTTGTTATACAGTGTGACCCATTTAAGACCGGAGCACCTTCATAAAATCTATAGTTTTTGACCGATTTCTTTTTTTTTTTTTTTCGTTTCAGCAGAAGGACTATCTGGAGATCTACGTTTACACAAATTTGCAAAATAAAATTTCAATCTACAGGGCATACTATATTATTATTTTCAAGATAAAAATTGCCAAATATCATTATCGATTTTTTTCAAAAAAAATTGACCCCACCACTGAAGTCAGCATCTTTCAATTAGGTTGAGCGCGAATTTTCATTGAAAAATTTCAATTGGCAACAAAGTTATAACAACATTAATTTTGATGGCTCACCATTTTTTACGAATATTTCAGACAAATTTTGAGAAGCGGCAACATTGTCAACACAAATGTTGGAAATCATCGAGGTTTCTGGTATACATTTGAATTGATAACACAAATTATTATTGAGTTATAATCTCTAGAATGGTACCCTTTTGGAATGAAGTGATGAAGTCGGAAAAACAGCATTTCATAATAAGTTAATTATCAATGTAAACCAACAATTTCTGAAAGCTCTTGATGTTTTTGGTTTCTGATATTATCTTACTATACAGACTATCTCGATAATAATTTGTGTAATCAATTCAAATGTACACCAGAAACCTATTGATGATTTCCAACATTTGTGTTGTCAATGTTGCCGCTTCTCAGAATTTGTCTGAAATATTCATAAAAAATGGTGAGCAATCAAAATTAATATTGTTATAACTTTGTTGCCAATTGATATTTCTCAATGAAATTTTGCGCTCAACCTAAATGAAGGATGCTGAATTCAGTGGTGGGTTCGATTTTTTTTGGAAAAAATCGCTAATGATATTTCGCAATTTTTGAGGTGAAAAAAATAACATAGTATGTAATTTGTGTAAACGTAGATCTCCGGATAGTCCTTCTGCTGAAACAAAAAAAAAAGAAATTGGTTAAAAACTATAGATTTTATAAGGGTGCTCCGGTCTTAAGTGGGTCACACTGTATATTGTTACACCCGAGGTTACACCCATCACTTATTCCTTAAAAAATGAGAGCTACACACAAAATCTGAATAGGCATTATGAGGTATAATAAGTGTAGCAAGTGATTAACAGTCATTTCATCCAATGAAAAAAATCGATATTTTATCCATAAAAAATATTGAAATTTTTTGACATCTCTGAGGATGAGTTTCTTGCTAAATCCGATATATCACTGAGGGTGAGTCATAACTATTGGGACATATGGGTTAAGGGCAGATTGTTAGGACCAAAATATGGCGATAAGACCAAATATATGCGCCTTAATAAAATATTGCCATGGAGAAGGATACATGGCGTTCTAATCGAAAAAATATAGACTATAAACTCGCATCAAAATTAATTCACTGACAAGAAATGTAATTCACCAGCAACAAGTATCTGACAGTCCAAAGCACACTCTTCATAAATCAAATATTTGAAATTCCCTTCCGAGACATTCAAATATTCAATTGCATTATTCTCGAAAACGTATGAAAATATCTTTTTATCAAACAATAAGAATACCAATATTACGTAGAAATGATGTTCATGTCACATTGTTTCAATCTAAATCAGTGAAAAGTTTCTTTGAAAAAGTTATATCAGTCGATTTCATCATCAGGAATCATTCACGTGGTGCCCCCTGTAACAAAAGGTAGAATATAACACATAAAATAATATTCCCTGTATATAAAAGTATGCCTCTGTGCTGAATTGATAAATATACAGTGAAATTATTCGCAAGAAAAATGTTCAAGTTTAACGCTCTGTATCTTTTTCCTCACCCTGTATAAAATGAAAAAAAAGCATTGGGGTGCAATTTGAAAAACCAGACTTCCTCATGATAAAAGAAACATTTCTTTCCTCTTCACAATTTTTCTACGGGCTTCCGTTTTCAAGATACAGGGCGTCAAAAAATCAAAAATGTTCAGTTTAATTAAACACACTTCACAACACTAAATAAACTTAACACTCTGAAAACCAGCATCGAGACCAGCATACTCAAGAATCTGACATTTGATTGAACATATTATTAGACAGATCAGAGGTGTTTATTTCCAGAGGACTTTTAGACGATTTTTGGAGATACCATCAGGATTCTGTATGATCTTATTCCTAAAGACCCATTTTTCGCGAAAACTGTTCACTTTAGAGCATTGAGACAAGAGGACGTTTTTTGTGTGAGAGATATTGGCGCTTCAAAATCTACTTTGGAAGTTAGAATTTCTGCAGTGGCATAAATGTTTGGGGGGTTAAACCCTTACGAGGAGTTGAATTCTCCTCCACTGACATGTTCGAGGAAATTGATCAAGAGCCCTAATAGTAGTCATTATTGATAATGGAGTGTGTACGAAAGCTTAACACCGTAGCTCCGACGGTTCCTGAGATAGTGGCAAAAAACAGATTTTTTTTGTATTTTTTTGACGCCCTGTATCTTGATAACGAAAGCCCGGAGAAAAATTTCGATAGGGAAAAAAATTTTTCTTTTTTCATGAGCAATCTACAGTTTTCCATCATGATACTTATTTGTTCACACCCTGTATTTCACAATTTTTCGAATTTTTTCGTATGTTAGATACTCAACCCAAATATCCGCTGGCCTAGAAGCTCTGGGACACCTGTTATAGATGTTTTTCCGAACCTATTGTTACATCTGGCAGTTCTAGGACGCTTTTTACGTTTCTGTTTGACAGATTTCGTTTCAGGTTTCGAATTAGGTTCTTGTGTATCCTCTCCATTTCCGAAACCTTTTATTGTGATAGTTTCAGAAATTGTGATCGATCTGAAATCAGAAATGTACTTTTTCAAAAAGGAGAAGACCATATACTGAGGGATGAAATCCTCAAAATCTCTTTCAATCGATGAAAGTTCAATAGTGTTTTGAAATCAGCATAAATATTCCATTCAATATTTCAAAAGGCCAGATATGAAGGTGGAGCTGTGACGTATTAGGCCGACCTGTTGCTATCTCACTCTGATACAGTGATACCTTGCCATTCTGCAGTGTTGCAGTGTGATTGGTCAGCTCAAGGACAATGCGTGCTGGGACTAATACGTCACATCAATGAATTGGTACCATTTCAAATCGCACAGGAGGTGTGTTTTGAAATGAACATACTTTGATTTATTTTGTTATCGTCCTAGTATGAATGAATGAAACCAAAATTATATTTAGGTACTGGTATTTTGATATAGGGCTCACAATTATGTCGTTTTGAAAAATTAGTGCTCTCTCTCCCCCTGTACCTAATTGCATAAAAACTGAGTATCAATCATTTCGTCAACGAAACATTGACATGTTTCGCTAATAACACAGTAGTAGTATACCGGTGCGATGAACATTGTACCGGTATCTGAGGAAATATGATCACATTTCTCAATATGTACAGTTGGAATGGCTTAGAGTTTCTAATGTATTTAAATACCATTTCCTTATTTTTCCGCACAAACTATTAAATACTCAAAGTCCGCCATACCTTTCTCATAAACTGGTCTAGAAATAATTTACATAATCTTAACACCAGACATTCACAGGTACTCAACATGCCAAACCATTCGACTGCTCTGTTTGAACGCAGTTTCACCTATAATGCTGTAAAACTTTCCAATTCTTTCAAACCAGAATTAACAACACCATTGAATAAATTCAGAAAATTCGTTAAAAATGAACTGCTGAATCAACAAGACTAGTCACATTGTTACTTTCTTAGATTAACTTCCTTTTTTTTTCTATCTATGCATATATAACATACATTTTTTAGATCGATGCATTTTATCTATTCTCTTTTATCTATACATATACCCTATTAATAACATTGTATAATACTTTCATTTTAGTTTTTTGTTTATTCTGCAAACTGAAAAGGTTAAGAGTTCAAGAGTAGCTATTTAGCTAATCTACGCCTTTTCAGGGCAAATGCATGTACATTTGTCAAATAAAGCCAATTTATTATTATTATTATTATTATTATTATATCACCTGACGAAACTACTGTGCTAGCGAAACATGTCGTGTGTTTGAGAATTTTGTGTAAATCTTATCGTTTGTGAAGTTTTTACATCTGCCATGGATTTCCATCAAGTAACGGCCAAGTCAATTCAAAACTTATTATATTCCTTATTTTAATTTTTCGGGAAATACCTCCACTTCATTAAAGATTAAAATACATATACATACTTTCGAACATTTTTCATATTCCTACTAAAATAATATACACTGTGTGCGATTTCAATCCGCAACACCCTCTTAATTCATGATCCGTTAACCGATTTCGAAGAACAAAAACTCGGGGACGAATTTTTTGTAGCTTCACCATCGTGATCACTATGAAATAGTTCAATTTGCCAATTTGGCCAAGTTTGTAGCTTCAATATAGTAACGGAGTTAGCAATGATATTATAGCCGACTCAAATTAGAACATGCTGTAGGTATATGAGATAACCAAGAACAAAAACAATAAACATTCCTTCGAAATTATTGTACTGTATGAGTTTGAAGTCTGATGCATGCTCACTCTAAAATATTAGTCTGTTTTTTTCCATTGACTGAATAAAAAATGTGCTATACTGCATTTTATGTACCAGAAAATAAATTACCCAAGATCCCCTACCCATCGCTCATTCCCCACGGGTCAGGAATTTTAGTACCTTCATAACTATATAACTAGCTAACCCCACAAACGTTTTTTTACTCTGTAGAATATTTTTTTCAGTTGAATATTCATCAAAAAACTATTATTATTTTATTTTCTACTTCTTTTTAGTTTGGCTATCTATAAAAGCCACACATTGGATCAGCCATCATGAATTTCCTAATATTGGCATACATATAAAATGAAAATATTATAATCCATTACAAGTCATCAAATTGTGAATGATAGTAGATATGGAAAATTATTCCATTATGGAATATTGATTGTTAACCGAAATTTGACTTTTAATTTTTTGCTATCAATAAATTAAATTGCATTGTTTCAAAACTCGCCCGCCATATTGGTTCCGCCATTTCGAATTTCCAAATTTTGACGAAGGAATCATAATCTCCAACCCCGAAAACTCCCAGATACCAATTTTGAATAGACTCGGTTCATAATCACAAAATCTGCCATATTGAATCCACCATCTTGAATTTACTAATAGTACCGGGATAAAAAGTATCCGATGTCTGTTTCCTGGTTCCAAGCTACCTCCCCACCAATTTTCAAAAAAGTCGGTCCAGTAGTTTCAGAGCCTATTCAATATAAACAAACAAATCTTTCTTCTTTTTAATATTAATATAGATGGCTCTCCCCTACAAATCTACGAAGATTTGGGACTACACGAATTATTTTCCCTATTTTTTGGTCGTTCACTGCACAGCCAGGAAGATAATCAATTTGACAGTGCTGTCATCATGAATTAATACATTTGTATATTGTGTAACGGCATTTGAGAGTTTTGATTAGGTACGTTTGGAGTATAAGAAAACATTGTTAGTTTCATAATAGTGATGCAGACACTGATTATTTGGATTGCATGGCTCTTGATGGTTTATCGACGCCAAGAAAGCATACTGAAGCCAATATCTTCAATACTTCCACGAAAAGTTATATTTTTTTATCCTGCACGAGTGAACTGACAGAAAGTAAAAGCCTAAATTTGATTCAATCAGCAGATAAATATATTCTTCAGCCAGAAGCCAAGAGTTGCCTTGCCATGGCGACATCCATGGATTTATTTTATTTATAATTGAGAACTATATGCATAATTAATTTTTTTCAATAGATAATCCTAAAGTAGAATGAATTATTTTCTCACGAATCTTCTTCTTGGACACCAATGACATCAACAGCTGATTGAAAATTATCATTATCTATACCGGCTCCATTGACATCCGTCAAACTCGAATCCGATTCTAGAAATAGCTTCCTCTTGTCGGACATTTTGGATCTTGCTGAAGAATTTCGAATATGAGCCGATTTAGCCCGTCTGGATCTTGATATCTTCCCCAACAATGGTTGTTCTGAAAAACTATAGGTTAGGTTCCTACTCATCAGAAATATAGATAGTGATAGTGGGTGTTCCAATTAACTTTTCAGGGATCTGATTGCATAATATTTTACTCAGGATTGAAGGACATACAACACATACTTTTAGTCTTCCAGCTGTACAGGGTGTGCAATATACCAATAACTGCCAACATAGTTTTTTTAACATGATCCTATTGGTTGGTCTATTTTTAGTTTAATAATGAAGATGATGGAAAGCCCTAATTTCGAGTGACAATGGAAAATGAAAAAACTCCACCGCCTCGTGTGAGAGTCGAACTCACAACCTCTGGGTTACATGCCCAACGCTCTGCCAATTGAGCCAACGGGTCGTCCGTCGATCAATCGGCAGGGAGGTCGAGTTCTCATCACACACCAAGCGGCAGAATCCTTCCAATTCCCGAAGTCACTCGAAATCATTCACTATACGAAGCATCGCTGGCAGGATGGTACTATACAGTCTCCATATTTCCCCCTCCGTCCTCTGGCATTGTCTTTCCTTGTATACGGAAATGCCCGCAAGCAATCTATACATAGGAGTGGGTGATTATTATATGTATCTTTTCGGTCGAGTAATCGAAAAAAATCATCATACAAGGAAAGACAATGCCAGAGGACGAACGGAGAAATATGGAGACTGTATAGTACCATCCTGCCAGCGATGCTTCGTATAGTGCATGATTTCGAGTGACTTCGGGAATTGGAAGGATTCTGCCGCCTGGGGTGTGATGAGAACTCGACCTCCCTGCCGATTGATCGACGGATGACCCGTTAGCTCAATTGACAGAGCGTTGGGCATGTAAACCAGAAGTTGTGAGTTCGACTCTCACACGGAGCGGTGGAGTTTTTTCATTTTCCGTTGTCACTCGAAATTAGGTCCATCATCTTCATTATTATTTGTCTTTTCGGTCTAGTAGCCGACAAAAATTATCACCCACTCCTATGTATTTTTAGTTTAGACGACTCAACTTGTCTCTGAGAGTTTTAGACTTTAGGAGCTCAAAGTCAAATCTGTGGAACAATAATCAGTTGGAAGTTTGGACTCCTGATGTCTCATTGGTGGTTATATTTATAGTTCAAGTATCGCAATAAAAAATTGTCCGAAAGTCTTTCGGTCAGAGATGTTCTCATTCAAACTTGAATAAGTCAACTATGAAAGGCCATTAAAAAAACGATGCGTGATGATGATGTTATTGACTTAAGACATCCTTTCCGATTACTGAGATAAACATGATTTATGTAACCGAAATTTTGCACCATTCCAGTCACGAATAGCTATACAGGGTGAACAGAAGAAGAATTTATATATATGAAAATTGAACAATTCCAGACATATATTTATAGTAACTTTTAGTCCTAAACCAAGCCCAGAAATCCCCTCCTCTGATATGTACATGACATTTGAGAACACCCTCAGTATAGTAAGAAGATATCCACATTCTTTATCAAGGCGGATATATCCTCGGATATATCAGATGGTGAATCAGCTCTCACTTATACCGGGTGTCAACGAATCTATTAGACAAGTCATAACTTCTAGACCATTAGGTGTATCAAAATGAGATTTGGTATAGGTAAATGGTATGTGAAGAGGAGAGTTTTCACATATTTTTCACTTTCCGGTAACTTTTGGTTTCACCTGAAATGGCTCCGGTTCTAAATTTTTAAATGGAACACCCTGTATATTGTAACATTTTTGGATTTCTGAGACAATTCTGAATCAGAATGTGACATTTTCGAAAGTTTTTATGCCTACTTAATTTTTCCGGAGTCACTTTTGAAATTACATCTAGGTGACCATGATCGGAAGTAAACTAATCTAATAGGACCTCAGGTGATATCAGAAAATTACAATCGCGAAGTTTTAGTGACAAGTATGATAGATATGAATAAGACAAGTTGGCAAACTTACATTTTCGTGTCTAACTATTATTTTTCAAATGGCGACCATTTTTTGACAAAATTTTACCTTCTGCTCTTGAAGCTTACGTCACTGTCATAACCTAAGTGGGTATTTTGTTCTTCCAAGAAGACTTGATCGAAATAACTGCAAAATATTATGCATTATGCCTATCCTCGGCACACTTGACAAAAGTAAATAAATTTTTATGAAGTATTTTCGTCAGTGATATTTAATTCATGTTCTTATTTGTAATCCAATCGCAAATAAATAAGTATAGTTAGATTCGTCAAAATATCCTTATTTCGGAAAGTGCTTGTCAATAAAATGGTCGCCATTTGAAAAATAATAGTTAGACACGAAAATGTAATTTTGCCAACTTGTCTTATTCATATCTATCATACTATCACTGAAACGTCGCGATTGTTATTTTCTGATATCACCTGAGGTCCTCAGATTAGTTTACTTCCGATCATGGCCACCTAGATGTAATTTCAAAAGTGACTCCGAAAAATTTAAGTAGGCATAAAAACTTTCGAAAATGTCACATTCTGATCTCTGATCTAGAATTGTCTCAAAAATCCAAAAATGTTACAATATACAGAGTGTTCCATTTAAAAATTTAGAACCGGAGCCATTTCCGGTGAAACCAGAAGTGACCGGGAAGTGAAAAATGTGAAAACTCTCCTCTTCACATACCATTTACCTATACCAAATCTTGATACACCTGATGGTCTAGAAGTTATGACTTGTCTAATAGATTCGTTGACACCCGGTATAACTCTATAAAACATTGTAGACTTTCACCTACCTACTCAATTGATAATATCGAATTTGAATACTTTTGCAAGATAATATTTATTTGATTATGACATTTATTCGACATTGTGAGCGCCACAAAAACCAAAATACTGCTGTCAGCTGTCTGTCTTTGTCAGATATTAAAATTAGAAAAGGTTTCAGTGGTTTAACCGATCAGCGATTGAACCGCCATCTTCATTCAAGTCAGTGAACCCTTACTATGGCCCTCTATTGAGGTCTACAAGTTTTGGAGTATTTACACCATCTTCCTACACGTTCTGAACCATTGCTTATGTGCAACGAATTGTTAAATTACATATTTCTTCATTGAAAAATGCAGAAAAGAAGTTGACTTTCTTATAATAAAGAATTGTGTGGAAGTATTCTAGAGGATGTATTAGCAATCATACCCTCAAAAAGTTTGAAAGAACCACTTCGATAGTGTGATACCTCCGAAACCTTCGCTGTCGCTTGGGTCTAGAGCAGAGTACTTTTTCCTCAAGTTCCCTTCAACTTTCTTCACGAACGTCTCAGTGCCAGTGAAAATGCCTGCCAGAACTTTCACACTTTTCGTCACTTGACCTTGACTCTTCTCGGCCTCCTCCAATTTCGCCAGATTTGCGGCCGATTGAGCTAAAAATTTCAACTTCTCTGGGTCGGCAGTTTCATCGCTTGAGCATAAAACCAGTTCTTTGAGTGGGTCGTCTATTTTTATTGGAGTCACTGTGGAAGAAATCGTGAAAATGTCTTGCGGTATGGAGGTAGTTTGACTCGGTTGCATCAATCCTTGTGATTCTGTTAATTGACTGAGAGCACCTAGCATGGCAGACCCTACAATTGATTGAACATAATTATCATTGTGATTTAAAAAAACAAAATAAGTGATATTGAGATATTAATATGGAATCAAGTGGAATAGAGTCTCACTTCTTACATGGAATGGCCCGCTAAATAATAATACAATGAAGAAGTTTTCTACTCATATTTTCATTTATCCGTGAGGGCAATAACATCTGAGTGGTGTGTTTAGATAGATGTGACCAATGAGGAGAACCAAACACAACATTTAAACATTATTGTATTTAAATATAGAGAGGTGTGATTACTCTTTCCTTGTCCAATAGTATGTGCCACTGAACTCTTATCGATGAAATTTTCATTTTTCATTTTAGAAATTATTCCAAAATAATTTCCGACTGGAGAGTCGAGTTTATGACTGTTTTTATCTCAATGACAACCTACTTCTGGCTCTAATAATAGCCCAATATGCTCTTATCGTGATTGCAAAAATTGCGCAGTCTAAATCTTCCGAAAAATTTCATAGGCATAAACCTTGATAGGTTATGCAAGAATCTGACATGAAAAAAAAAATCAGTGGTACAGAATAGATTTACAAGGAAATAGTTGTCGGACCTCCCTATATTTTAATACGGCTACGTTGGTAGCACTGAACAGAAATATGGAATTCTGCTCTCTCTCGTTCATGATAGTGAAGAGCTCGTTCATACCAATTTGATACCAGGTCGTTAGTGATTACAATTTGATTGGTTCACACAAAAGATCTCGAAATTAGGCTCATAGAATTTGATTGGGTTTAGTGTCACTCTCATGAGTCTTATGACCAGTAGACATTCAAAAAGCTCTAATATAACGTTTGCGATAACAGCATCCCACATAATTTTGCATAACAATATCTTTCTGTTTTTGTATGCTCACCTGTTATTGCTTCCGAGCTAATACCAGTTTCAAAGTTTATCTGGTTAATAGGCGGAGTATCCTGAAAATTGATGTCCAAAGAAAAAGATTAGGTAATTGTTAACCGTCATGACTTTTTAAAATAAAGTAGAAAAACTTCAAGTCCTGTGGAAGTATTCCCAACAACATATAATCTCCAAAAGTTCAAAATAATTCCAATACCTACCTCCTGTCCCTATCCTCCCTAGGAACGCACGATGTTCCTTGAACATTATAGGGATTCCCTTTCGTGCGCTCCAATCGATAAAAAAAACATTTCGTGCCAATATAGGCCGATTTTCTGTTGAATATATAGGATAGAGCAGTTCATCTAGCTTCGAGAGAGAAAATATGTGTTCCCCAACTGTCCTCGTCTTCAGTGTTCCAACGTAAAATAATGAAAATTTTATATTGGCAACAATGAAAATGAGAAAAACGAGAAAATTATCGTATTATCCTCAATATAACAAAGGGTTAGAATGGTCTTCTCTATTTCTTCTCATTTCCAATCACCAACATACAATTTTCACTATTTTACGTAGGAACACCGAAGGACAGATATGGGGAAGACATATTTTTACTCTCTCAACACTAGCTCAACTGCTCTTTTCTACAACAATTTTAATCTAATTGTAAAAAGCAAACGTTAAGATCAACCAGTTTCATGGAAAAGGGAAAAAATAACCTACATTGTCATTTGTACTAAATGTTCATTATACAGAGGGTGTGGAAAATTATGAACTGAGAATGTGAATTGACAAAACCCAATCACGAATCTGTGATTAGAGCTCAGTAAAAGCACAGTATATTGTGGTAAAGGCAATAGTTCATTATTCAGTTTCATGTTCATAATATATCTGAGAATATTCCTTTTCAAACAACCAATATTATTTTAAAATTGTGGATATAGAAAGCGTAAATTTACTCATTAATAAACTGTGTTATGTAAAATTAAATCCTCTCAACAAAAAAAAATTACCCGAAACATATCAGCGACAGGTCAATGATAAACTGATAAATTGAAAAATGTTTGGTGAATGAATGAATGAAATAAACTGACACGCAGATTTGTATTGAATATAGATAGGCTCAGAAAATGTACCAAGAATCAAAGATCAATCAATCAACTCGTGGGGACAAATAGAGTTTTTCTACTTCTGATCGAACAACTCCACTTGAGATGGACCCTGATAATAATCACCCACCTTTTGTTTGGTATCTTTGGAAGCCGGTTTGACATTTTGAGCCAAATTCAAGCCCTGCGCAGCACCGTTAATGTCAAGTTCGTGCGTGAAGGCCATCACATCTAACGCTACAGTCAGTGCATCTCCAAAGCCGCCTGTCAAATCAGGACCTTGGGGGTTCATCAAAGGGTCTTTTTTGGGCCTGAAAAAGAAGGTTTACTGTTATTATCGATTCGGAAAAATATGACAAATTATGACTGGTTTCAAATTGGACAATATTTTATGATGACATCATTTCATTTTACATTCAAGGTTTATTGGCAGCTGAATAGATTTGTATGTATGGATATTCAATCTCGTTGAGACATTTTTATTTTTTGGGCTTTTTTCAAAGGCCAAAACAATGTTATATAATGTGTTTTCTCGAAATAGCTTTGGCATTTCAGAAATAAGCAGTTCCTTTGCTGAAATAGAATGAATTGATTGTACACTATCAGGCTCATATTGTGATCTATAAGTTGAATTTGAAGCATGATTGGCATATCTGCTGGAGGAATAAGAAACAGTTCGTTTTTTAATTAGGTGTTTTCAATACTTGACAGATATATTTCAATATTCTGAGCTATTCTATAGTCAGGAAAATAGTTGTTCATTTCAAAAATGATTTTATTTCTCGAAAAAACTTGATTATTATCTTATATAAAAAAATTAACAAATAATAGCAGAATATCCCACAATCAGAGATTATATAATATGAAAAATTCACTGTGTATATTATAATAATCGACACATGATAATTAACATTGAATTTGCAAAAAAAACAACAAACATAGGGAATTGAAAATTTGAAAGTTCAGTCAATATCTATACATATCTCGTATATTTTTGACTATTTAATTGAAAGTTTTTGATGATCAGTTCAAGAAATTACCACCTCACTATATTTTGTTCAAATATCCATCTACTCCAAGAATCAAGCTCAAAAATAGCCATCTCTATATACTTACCCTTTAATTTTAATAGGGGTGTTGATTGATTCTCTTCCCCACATCATGCATCTCATCTCTTCTCCAGTCATGCCCTTCTTCTTCAATGCTTTAATCGTCACTTTTCCCACCCTCTGAAAATATATTCCACAATTTGTATGCCACCCTTGACCATTTACACTAAAAAGATGATCAATCCTTATGAGAGCAATGGAGCCAGAAGTTCTATTCAGTAAGTGGTATCTATCAGTGACATAGTGAACTACTTTTTGTTCAGTAGCGTGAGGCAGAGATCGGTTATGAAGAACATATTAATTTTTAGGTGTTTTTATGCAAGGATTGTCATATCAGGGCTGGATAAAAATATTTTATTTGATAGCCTTCAAAATATCAAAGTTAGTGATTCCTGCTTCAGGAAGCTGCTTACTAAAGCCAAATTTGACTTCAACATCTCACAAGGAGGTGGATCATAAAAAAGGCTTTTATTTCCAACAGGTTTTACACCCAATAACAGGAAATGCAGGATACTCACCATAACAGAAGAATGACCAAAACATGATGTATAACTATAACTAGTGCATATAATCTCACAATTTATTAATCACAGCTCTCAATGAGTCATGATATGAATTGGGGATTTCAGCATAATTCTTGTTCTAGTAGCAACATTGTAGAAAATGTTTGATTGTCTACTGTTCAATCTTGGAATGAGAAAGTTTATTTGATTCAGAAGTACGGAGCAATCGATTTGGTTATGCATTAATTTGTAAAGAAATGTCACACTCAAAATTATTCGACGTCTTTCTAGAGAGATCATTCCGAAATTATCCAGAAGAATTTGGTTATCGATTCCTCTAGACGGGTAAGTTCCATACACCTTCATCCACAAATATTTCAAAAATTTTCTTTGAGTAGGTACTTTCAATTCGGTTAGAATGATATTGTGTTGTTGGATACCATATTAGTATACCATATTCAAGTTTAGATCTTATATACGAGTAACAAAGAAGTTTAAGTACAAATATATTTTTGAAATCTCTACAATAGCGGTAAATGAAACCTAACATCTTCGAGGCTGCAGAAATTACAGTGTCGATATGATTGTTGAATGTGAATCTCGAGTCATATACAATACCCAAGTCTTCAGCTTCCTCATTTCGTTTCAGTAAATTATTATTGATGAAATAGTCATATGGAATTACAAATTTCTTTCTGGAATATGACATACTGATGCATTTAGATACATTTGATAATTTCATTCAGGGACTGTTGTAAGTCATCACAGTCATCCAAATCCTCTATAGAACTGAATAATTTCAGATCGTCCGCAAAAAATAAGCTGGGACAATTTATCGATGTTTCCAAATCGTTTATAAAAATCAAAAAGAGAAGAGGGCCCAAATTCGATCCTTGCGGAACCCCACACGAGACTGTATAAATATCCGACTTGAAACCCATATATTCGACAAATTGTTGCCTACCAAAAAGATAGTTCTCAAAAAATGAAATAATCCATCACTGAATCCGACCGTTTCCAACTTATTCAGTAGTACATAATGATCCAATTGATCAAACGCTTTCTGAAAATCTAAGTATATAACATCGACTTGACCCCTATTGTCCACCTCTTGACAAATTAATTAATTGAGACATGCTAAATTGCTTATACACGATTTTTTACTCAAAAACCCGTACTGATTTGGTGAGATTATTAATTTAACACTATTATAAACTTGATTATACATAATAATTTCAAATAATTTGGAGAAATTACTCAAAATTGATACAGCTCTATAATTCTGAATAATACTTTTGTCCCCTTTTTTAAAAATTGGACATACTCTGGCAACCTTCCACCTATTTGGAAACGTTGAACACGACAGAATCATATTGAAAATATATACCAGCGGTTGAGCTAGTACTAGATACAACTTAACAAAAAAACTAACATCTTGTTAATGTAAATAATCAAGAATGTCGCCCCGAAAGAGTTTATGGAAATGATTTGATACCTTCCAGTTTGCCACAGCTCCTTTCCTCTGCTTGGCTCTCGTCTTATTCTTGGATTTGATAACCATCACCCCCCTCTGCTCGGTACTTGGGTCTTCACTCGGACCCAGAGAAATACTGTATTCTTGCAAGTAATGGTGAGCATCTGCTTGGGGTACTGCCCTTTCAAGGGTTATCACAATTTTTGCCCACTGTAAACATCAACCAACTGAATACTCCTTCTTGTGTTCAAGATGATATTTAAGTCACCTGTTTCATCCATTCTTTCTCACTTTGTTCGATCACGTGGGCATATGTATTCCCCATCATGGCTATCAACATGTTAAGCAACAGAATCGGTACAAATACCATGAAAATGGCAAACACACTTTTTGCTACAGCAGGATAAGTAGTTGCGCCAAGTTCTTGATACTGAAAGACTTGTTAAAATTAACCAAATTGAAGTTTTCTATTCTAGACATTCTTACATCGTAGTTCCCTAATGTTATCTGGAATAAAGCCATCCAAGTTGAAGGGTAACTGTGATATAGCGTAGAATTGACTCCTGGATATCCTTTGTATAGAAAGTAGAATGATTGTGAAAAGCCAAACAGCACTATAGAGTAAATCAGACCAAATGTCAACATATCTCCTGTTATCATACTGTATATCATCGTCACAAATGGTCCAGTCAAACGTACCGCCCTGCAGGAACACATCGACATGTCTCTTTGGTATAGGTTGCGTGCAAGAACTGTCAGATGACCAACCCTGTAGGTGAAACATTGAAACACAACCTCACTTTTATTATTTGTTTACAAGTGATTGAAATAGTTTTTCACAATTATTTAGGCATACTAATCGTGTTTTTCGGCTATTCATTAATTCGCACATACCATTACAGTGTGCTGGTACAATGCACAAAAAATGCAAGAAACGAAGGAATCCGGTTGGTAAATTATGATTCAAAAGTAAGTACCTACTATAGTCACTCACATATATAGTTTTCATTTTTGAAATTTGGTAATTTCTCTGATTTCTCATCGGAATTCCTTCTGCAATAGGAGCTAATAGAAATACTCGTGAAATTTCTAAAATAATGCAAGAAGATTGGATTCATGCAATCAAACGGGAGGACTGGTCTGACATGCTGACGAAATATGATCGTATGTGCTGTAGATATTTTCAATCTATTAGCAGTATTAGCTTCTGTTGCAGAAGTGACAGAGAGAATTTTAATAAGAAAAGACGAAATATCATAATGAAAACTATGTGATATTACTATTTACCTTATAAATCATATTCTTTCGTCTCTCGCTGCATTTTTTGTACATTGTACAACAGCACAATATGATGGCATGGTAGCCCAAAAAACACGATTAGTATGTAAAAATATTCTGATATAAATCCTGTGATTCCTTTGTAAAAAAATAAGAAAAGTGAGGTTGTGTTTCAGTGTTTCACAGGAAAGTGAGGTTGTGTTTCAATATTTCACCTCCAGGGTCGGTTATCGTGCACGCGACCTATAGATAATGAGGTACAGGGACGGGCAAAAAGGATTCCACTCTTTTTGATAGTGACAAGATTTGCCATGGCATATTTTTATATTAACGGCTTGAGAAATCATATTTTATAACGATTATCTATGGAATCTAATGATAGCTCCCATGAACCCACAGATTTCGATACATTTCAGTTGAAGAAGGATACTTGTCATTTTGTATCCCTAGTTTCAATACATCTTACACATGACTAAATGAATAATGAAATGAAATTGGAATTCTGGGAGAAACGATGGAACTCAATCCTTGATGAATCGTTGATGAAGGCCTGTTACAATTCAAGGCATATAATTGCCCTTCCCCCGCTGTCCTATGATCGGACTGCATTTATTGTTTTTTTGGGTTACTCGGACATACAAAAATTAGCACTGACATTTATACAATCCTCCATTCACCTTTGTAATGCATAATATACAGCTGGGTATAAGAGGCAGACATTTCATAGAATTCAATTGTTGTAAGATAAGTCTAGTTTAAAAATTCTGAATGTATACTCAGTTCATAACAATCATTTTTAATTATCAAAGTGTGAAGTCGTTTTTGACAGTCCATGTAACGTTTTTTTACCCAGCAAAAAACATCAAAAGGAACCAAGAACCAGGAACAGCGAACAGTAAGATGGCCTCCTCAGTCTTTCTATTTTCCGATAATCTATACGGTATGCACGCAAGAATAAGGAGGTTGGATATCAAAAATATCGTTTTAGGTGGAGAGTTTGACTGAAACAAAATTTAATGAATCTCTGTCCTCAAGTGTGACAGCAGAGTAACTCTACTTGTTGCTTCAGAAATGTCCATAAACCTTGATTGCGAATTTCATCTCCTTGTTGGAATATTACGTAGCTGAGAACACCCAGGAGTGTTCCAACCTCACAACAGTACCTATGGAAGATATCAGTTATGATTGTTCATTCACTTTTGGACACACCAAACCGAGCAATAGTCGTTGGATCGTCTGTCCATTCCAAAAGAGGAACGTCAGGGTCATCAGGCCTCAGATATACCGCTAAAGACAGGAAGATCAGATGCACCACAAGAATGAGCAGTCTTTTCAAAAACTGATTCTGAAAAAAGGAAGATATGAAGTGAAATTCATTTGTCTTTTAATTTTGACATTACTCTCGCGAAAGTTTTCCACTTTTCTTCCAAAAGTCTTTGAATTATGCCTCCATCTAACATGTCTAAATGTTCTTCTTTGGTTCCATTGAGAATGATGAAAAGGGCTGAATTCCAATCTCAAAACAGAAATGTTAAGTAGTTAGATTGTGTTCTTGATTTTTTAATTTGCACTTATGCTGGAAGAAAATTTCCGGCATATCAGATTCCCAATTCGTTTTGAAGTGAGCCAATAGACCAGAACATAATATACTAGCGATGTCAGAGTGAAGACGTGTTTTAGTTGAGCTCCGTTTCAAAGTGAATTTTAGTGATTCGTAACAATCAAATTTTATTGATAGTTTATAGTTTGTTCGTTTTGCAAGTACCTTCAGCTCCCATCGTGAAGAATTGTGAAAAAACTATAGGAGAACCAGTTTTTTCGATTTATTGTGCATTAGCGTAGTTATCAGCAGAAAGTTTCGCCTACCTGTGTGCCTGTATTAAAGAACAAAATGACTAGAGGACGTCAACTGAGTCAAACAAACAATGATGAAGCAGCCGATTCCATAGATGCCATTGCAAATAAGGTCTGTGAAAAGTTTGCTAGTGTAATGGAGGCGAAAATTGATAAGAAACTGAATAGTCTTGAATGCAGCATCAACGAAAAATTCTCCGAACTTCAGTCAACCATGTCGAGTCTCAAAAAAACTGTTTCTTCAAACAGTCACACTATTGATAAGCTTGAGACTCAAACGGAAAGACAAATTCAATATAACCAACGTAGTAGTCTACGATTCTTAGGGTTGGAAGCTACAAATGGAACTGAGGATATAGTACGAACGGTACTTAATTTTTTACAACAGGATCTCAAAATAAAATGTGATCAGCGAGATTTGGATTCAGCTTATCGAGTTGGGCGTGCTATAAGGGTTCAATTCATATCCAATTTGATGTGCAATCAAGTATTCAATGCCCGCAAGTTGATGAGGAACTCCAAAGTTTCTATCTTCGAAGATTTGACTAAGAAAAATTATGATCTCCTGAAGAAAGCAAAAGAAATATATGGAATCAAAGGAGCGTGGTCACTAGGAGGCAAAGTTTTTATCCGATCCAAGGATGATAATACCAAAAAACTCGTTCTCTCTGAAAACGATCTATAAGTGAGCAGCCCGTTCAAATATCAACGCAGATGTTCTTTTTTTGTCTTTTTTTTATTTACCATTCCTATCTGATCCAACTTATCGTTATCGTAAATTATTTATGCTTTTTTGCATGGTGTATTGGTGTTGAATTTCTTCAGACTTCCTAGATGTAGATAACTTTTTTTTTCTTTTTAAATCATTAATAATTATTTCTATGAATCACCATGACATGCAGGACCGTATTATGTTGATTTTGAAAATAAATGTAATCAATATTAGATTGATTATTGTACGTTTATTTTGTGTATATTTTTTTATATATTTCAAACTTGGAGCTCATCTACACACAGCACATTTATTCAGCTACACGTAACTTTATCATACACCTATATATATATACATAATTTTTCCAATAATCTTTTGTAGATATAGCAGATAGAAGGGTTATCATGAAACTGAGAATTTACTATCAAAACTGTAGAGGCTTACGCACTAAAACTAATACACTTTTCCAGAATACTTTAGCCGAAACATATGATGTAATAATATTAACCGAAACTTGGCTTGATGATAGAATATTCGATGCGGAAATTTTTGATGAAAGGTACGTAGTATTTAGGAAGGACAGGAATTTTGCGGAAAAGGTAAGAGCAAAGGTGGAGGTGTTTTAATTGCCATTTTACAAAAATACAACTGTTCTCTGATTGAGGTAGACACTTACTTGGAGGCCATATTCATTAAAGCTAATATTTTAGGAAACATTGTAATATTCAACGCAATATACATACCTCCGAGCTCTAACTCGCTTATATATATTGATTACTCAAACTTATTTGACAAACTTGACGTTTCTACGGAAACACATATTGTAGTATTGGGTGACTTCAATATTCCTAGTGTATGTGGAAAGGATTTTGAATTCACAACCAACAATCTAATTACTTCTGCGATCTCTCAAATTATGAACATTTTTGAGTTGAAATCCTTTAATGATTGTCAGAATGAAGACTTCAGAACTCTCGATTTGGCACTTTGTAACTCAACATTGGACGTGACTGAGGAATCCTCTCCACTGGTCCCTCTGGATAAAAAGCATCCTGCTCTAAATTGTGAATTAGAGCTTGAAAAAAGTAAACAAAATTGTGGAAGAACAAACAAACTTCGAGACAGGTACAACTATAAACAAGCAAATTTTCCTTTGTTACATGAACTTTTGAGAGACACCGATTGGACCCTCTTAGGATATTTCGAGGACGTCAATGATCAGATTAGTTATTTTTATAGTGTCATTTATAGTATACTGGATATATGTGTTCCCAAATTTTCAATCAATAATGCTTACTGTAAGAAGTCTTATCCCCCATGGTTTGGTTCGGACATAAAAAAGAAACTCAAATTAAAAGAAAATTTCAGAAAGAAAAAACATCTCTCAAATTTTTATCTAGACAACTACAAAAGACTCCGCTCTGAAATCAAAAAAGATATAAAAAAAGCTCACAATGCATACATTATGAACATAGAAGCTAATGTACATAATAGCCCAAGCGTATTTTGGAACTTCGTGAAAAACTATAAACAAAAGCGACATCCTGAAATGAAATTTCGGATTGATGATGAGCTAACAAATGACCCCAGAGCGATTTCAAGCGAGTTCGCGAAATACTTTTCGTCAGTATTTGATGGTAATTCTGCAACGTATGATATGATGGAAATAAAAAAACATGCAAATGCGCTTCCTATAGTAAATGCTGAGCACTTGATGTTCAAAAGAATTACTTATAATGATATGGTAAACGCGTTCAATAAGCTAAAATCGAAAAAATCATCTGGTCCTGATGACATACCATGCTATCTGATTAAATCTTTTGAAGAATATTTCATTTATCCTCTCATGATAATATTTCAAAAATCGCTAGATTGTGGTATTTTTCCTAATGACTTTAAAGCTACTAAAATAACACCTATCCATAAAAGTGGCCTAAAAAGTGAATTCTCAAATTACCGGCCAGTGGCCGTATTAAATTGTGTAGCCAAATTATTCGAATTCATTATTTTTGAAAAAATATACAATCATGTGAAGCATAATATTTCTGTTGTACAACATGGTTTCTGTAGGAAAAAAAGCATTGAAACAAATTTAGCAACCTTTGTTGACAAAATTGAAAATTCCCTAACTGCTCGTGACCAAGTTGACGTTGTATACACAGATTTTGCCAAAGCATTTGATCGAGTTGATCATGATATTTTACTATCTAAACTCTTATCTTTTGGTTTGAGTGAGCAGATGGTGCAATTACTGAAATCATATCTGAGTAATAGACTACAAAGTGTTAATTTTCTTGGTCATAACTCACCAACTTACCTGGCTAAATCTGGAGTACCTCAGGGTTCCAATCTTGGTCCCCTTCTCTTCTTATTATTTATCAATGACTTGCCTGATTGTGTATCTTCTGAGAGCTTGCTTTATGCGGATGATTTCAAAATGTTTCGTCCAATCAGAGACATTAATGATTACATTGTATTGCAAGATGATGTTGACAAAATTATAGAATGGTCTAATGTGAATAAATTATATTTCAATTTCGATAAATGTAAAATTATGACCTTTCATAGATCCAGAACCCCTAATTATTTGATGTATACTATGGACAATTCCATTGTTCAAAGATGTTCTTCTATGAGAGATTTAGGCGTTCACTTTACAGAAAATCTGAAATTCATAGAACACACCAATATTGTCAGTAAGGAAGCTTTGAGAATGTTCGGTTTTCTTAAACGTACAACTAGCGAATTTAGAAATATTGATGCAATTAAAACGCTCTATTACTCTCTAGTTCGTAGTCGTCTCGAATTTGCATCCATCATTTGGGATTCAAATCACCAAGTCTCAGTTAAAACATTGGAATCAGTGCAAAACAAATTCTTGAAATTTCTGTACTACCGTAGTTATTAAAGAAACCCACCCTTAGAATCGTATCAACCTATTCGTGACGAATTCAAGATTTATCATTTAGAGCACAGAAGACAATAGAATTGTATTTATTTATAAGTTATTGAATAGCTTAATTGATTGTGAGTACCTTTTATCTCGTGTTATGTTGTTAGTACCTATGAGTATACTTCGTCCCAGGCCTAATCTTTTTCATGTTCCCATAGCAAACCACTGCCTAATGGATAATATGCTCCAACTCTGTAATAAATACACTGGTAGGATGCCTTTAGGTTTTTTTGATATCAAACTAGCCAAGTTTCGGAAAGAATTATTAAATATCTTCAAGTCGGTTCCTTGAGTTAATTTTTTTTTTCTCTTTTTTTGTAGCAATAACGTTTTTGTTTCATCCTAATAATCTTAGTTTTAGCTGAAGCTATTTCGAAATCATAATAGCCCTTCAGATCAGTGATGACTTTTATTCTTATTGGTAATTTAGATTTAAGTTTGAATAAGGAAACTTGTAATTAGGCATGAGCCTGTTAGTTTTCTATTAATAAATAAATAAATAAATAAATATAACAGATATATGAGATGGATAATCAAGAGTTCATATCCTTACTAACATTTTCACTCTGAGAGAGCCTGTTAACAGCAGCACTATGAAGTGGGGACAAAATAATGAAGAGTGGACAAGTGGAATACTTGATTATGCATATTGTATAACTGTTATTTTTTGTGCTGGTTGAGTGACTTCTAAAACCTATATGAGGATAATTTTCTTCCAGATCTGTAATTGGACAGTTTATTATTATTTTAATGATAGATCATGTCAATTATGTTCCTCATTTGCTAAAAGGAGCGAAAAAATAATTATTGCTATTGGTAGCACTCACTCGTACTTCCATCTGGTAGAAGGGTATCCAATGCATTCAGGGTATATGCCGAACAGGTTATATTACTGTAACGCCAGAATTCCTTTGCTGATAGTTCCAACATCTCTCTAAAAACTTCAGCTCGACCTAAACACCGCATAGTAAAAAACAACAATCCTCCATTTGATTATATTTTTTTACCTAGTTTGCATGCCAATGTTAGCGGTGTTAAACCAGCTTTATTGACTATCCCATTTGAAGCTGGTAATTTTGGATGTCGTAAGGCATAACCAAACATATCCTATAAAAAAATGTGAAATAAATTAACAAATTCGGATTTCTTGAATGGTTTTTTGCCCAAAAAAGTTTATATTCCACTCTTGCTTTCAAGAACCAATTAGCTTTTCCTCCTTTATTTTCTGTCAATATTTTTTGTTTACTTAAAATTATCGGATTTGTTATACCACTACAGAAGCCGAATTGACCCACATGTTACCAATCAACCTCGTTTTCCAGCGATAATTTTTTTTACATTTATAACGTCAATTATGATGAGTAGGTATTCATTCAATTTTAACGACACAGATTGCTGACTTATAATTTATTGTCATATTCAATCATGAATTCGTCGATTGACATACTCCAGCTTGCTGCTTTGATTCCGTTCATGATATTGATTCAAAAGTACTCGACTAAGGACGAGTGATCAATAGTTCTTATAATAGTTATTTATTATACAAGGGGAAAAAGTAGTGGTTGTGTGAAATATTTATTGATCCTTTCAACTATCGGTAACAATAGATAGGATACATCGATGTGACATGTCATAAAAGAAAGAACACTGTAATTAAGGAATTGACAAATAAGACAAAACAAAATAGTGAGACGAAATGAAAACAATTACAGTGATGACTAACATGAATTGAGAAATCCTCCGGTATTATTTTAAAATTGAAAAGTAGAATTCGAATTCCTCAACAGTACAAAAGCATTCTCTGACTAGGAGTTCCAAAAAGTTAACACTTGAAAACAGCCGGGGATCCCGTGTTTAGGCTTGCTCAGTTTGATATTATTCTTATTATGACAATGTATGTTGAAAGTTTCATAAAGTAAATTGATGTTACTGTAAGGAACCGTTTTGATTTAAAGACCTGTCTACATGACTGGCGACTACTTATGTCAAAAATTACCCTTATGATTCGTTTTTGAGCAACAAAAATTCTTGTTATATCCGATGCCTGACCACATACTATGATGTTGTATAAAATTGTGGAATAAACAAATGCATAGTAAACCTGTAATCATGAATCCGTGCTCAAAATATTTCTTAGTGTAACCAAAATGTGGAAGCTTTTGTCGATTTTTTAGAAACCATTTGAATTTGATTCTCCCATGTTAAGTTACAGGCCAGGCCAGGAAGGTACCCGTGCGGTCAGAGTGTCAGTATTCTAATCCGCATTCGCTTTTCGGTCGTGGGTTCATTTCCCCGCCACTGCAGAAATTTTTCTGATGGCCCAAGAAAGTGTTTGGGATCACACGTTGGTAAGGGGTAAGGTAAGGTCCCCATCATTCCTTGCTACTCTCGAAGACTTCTGAGGGTTGCTCGTATGGGGGCAACCGAATGACGGATAGAACAATTTTAGAATCTATAAGCGTTCCTAAGAATTTTATGTTCGGTGCTCTGGTATTATACCGATTTTTTGTCGCCGACCCTAATGAGACGCAGTGCTTTTGTACTTCGTACAACTTTAAAGAGAGTGAGTTAACTAGTACCCATTCCCTAAACTGAGCTACTATTCTAATTTGTGATGTACTTACTAATTTATCACAGACGACGACCATATGCAAAATCATGTTCCCAAAGTTATCCTGGTAATCCGGATTAGCCCCACTGTCCAAAAGTAGATTGTACACGCTCTCATTGGCGCAACAAGCTGCCCAAGCTAGGGGATATTCGCCGAGGTAGGCCAATCCCTCGTATTCGGTGTGTTTCGCGGGGCGCGGTTTCTGTTGATCTCTTGGTAGGAAAAAACTACCTGAAATAGGTATTTATCCACGACTGTTGTATAAAATATTCATGATACATCAATGAACTCAATATAAACACCTGGAAGGGAGACTACCGGTTTCTCGAATAGCACAAAGTGTGTCATGGGCAGCTGCAACAAAGATAGCTTGTGTTACGGTAACCTATCTCTTTCACACTCGTGTTGTTAAATGGCGGAATGGATAAACAGGCAAAAAAGTGAAGACAGAACTTCATTGTTTTTTGTTATGTGAAATATAGCTAAATTTGGCATGTTTTGTTTCTTCAAGAGGACTGAATTATTTGGTGTGAATTGATTATTGTTGAAAAGATTTGTGATTTTGAATCAATAAACAATGGTTATTCATATTGTGTTGCCTTTGGATGCAAAATAAGCAAGGTAAACAGAAACTATCTTCCATGGGTGAGTTGAACTGTGTTCAGATTCTTAGAAAAACTGAAGTAATTTATTTTCAGGATGTGTCTGTGGATGTTTATAACTTGGATTCTAATGAGGATAATGTTTTTCATATGGACATTGATTTGCTTGCAACTTCCAGCTCCCATGTAGGTTTCATGCAAAGTTTATTGATAATGAAACCCACAAACTGTTTCATTCGAGAAGGCCCATTCTATTGCAAAGAAAAGTGAAAACACTGAAACAAAAAGAAAACAGGAGAAAAAAGATCTTGATGAGGTACTGAAAACATTTTGAAGGTAAAAACTACAAGTACTTCATAATATCGTCTCTTCAGATTTGCCTTTGGAGCTTCTCCTTCTGCAGGAAGGAAAAAATGAAGGTGTACATTCTCATTCACCTTTAGTGAAATGTTTATGGAAAAACAGGTACTCTTGAAAATTAGGCTCAAAATAAACCTTAGGTACTCGATACCATTCAAGAACCTCCTTTCGAATTTTTTCTATCGCTTTTCTATTTCTTCTGACAGTGCTGATAGACATTGAGCTTCGCCCCCCCCCTTTACAATATATTGTGACATTTGAATGAGAATATATAATTTCAATTTTGTATTCATTTGCCTTCCTAATCCTGTAAGAATAGAAATGGAATTTCACTTTTGTGTCAATAAAAAAATCAATAATTATTTTCAAATAATGACTGATGATTGCAACATTATCCTTTTTCCTGAATGAATATTTATATTTAATCACATATACTCTTGAATAAAAGCAAAAAACAAGATTCCCATTAGCCAGCGTAAGATAGAAAGAGATAGGTGTCCGTAAACACTGCGGGTTGCCTGCCTCACTCGTCGTTCACAAAGGATCCCTTCCAGGTGTTTACATTGAATCATTGTGATACATGTACTTCCTCAAGCAAAACGGTAGCAATTTTTCACACCACTGAATAATAGCAGTGAATAACAATAGTTCACTGGTCTAGAGTTACTAGGGTACGCAAAATATTAGGAACTTTAGACCGGTGAATAATGGTTATTCACCGCTATTATTCACTGGTTGCGATTGTAGGTAATGTATTTAAGAAATTGTGTTGCCATGGTAACGTGTTAAATTTTCCGATCAAATCACAGATCGTCAAACCGTGATTAATCGAAGGGTCAGAACCATTTTCCGGATTTCACTGGAGGATCACCCTGCATAAACTAGTTTAAATCTACTCACCAATGGCTCTTTGATTAACATTAGCTTCTGCTTCCACTAAATCTTGGACCAATTCGTTATTATTATACGCTATGGCCAAATGTAGAGCACCGGCACCTTGAAAAACCAAAAACAATCAATAAACTTACGAGCTCTCTGCAAAAACAAATATTGCAAAATAAAATAATTTCAAAACATACACATGAAACAACCGGTACTGATACTACACTGTTTTACCACTAACCAAAATCGATTTTTTATACGCCTCGACACGTGTTTCGCTATGTTAGCATCTTCAGGAGAAAGTTTTTATCTTCTCCTGAAGATAGATAGATAGATAGATTTATTGTATTGAAAGAATTACAATTCTTATTACAAGGGTCGGGTAATCTGTGATTAATGAATACATGAGAACTAATAGCTACTGGTACTGGTACTGGTGGGGGACGTTTCCACGTCAGCAACTAGTCCCCAATGGGACCTTTTTGCCAACCCCAAGTGTTTTCAATGACTGATGTGGTTCGCTCAAGAGAGCTGGCTAACATCCTTCTCAGGCACCGCCCATCAGCTCTCTTTTCAGAGTTTTTCAGCTGTGTCTTGTAGGCTAGTAATGTACTCACTACCATATGCGCAGTGGCAGGCCTGCTAACTATCCTCGTTAACCCCCGAGACCGAGGTCTACTTAAGCAGCTGGCCCGCTCTCACGCTCAGCTGGTAGTTTTTTCCACACCCACCTACATACACCGTCCTACTTCTTCTCTGACGCTCACAACCACATCATCATATCTTTCTGCGTGTTCTGTGTAGGCTTTGTTACTAACTCCATGCGCCACTTTAGGAGCAGCACTGTTAATTGGAACGCAACAGCGAATCGTGCAGGACTATTTCCAGCTGATGCTCCGAAACTTCACAATAGGTATTTAATTCGTAAATAAAATATTGAAAAAAGTTCCTTGCCCGTGCTGGAAATCGAACCCACGACCTTGCGGTCGTGAGACGGACGCTCTTCCACTGCGCCAATCCCGGCCCGAACTAATAGCTAAAACGAACACGAAAATCCTTCCTGCGGGACCTAGATAGGCATTGAAACAATAATTGATATGCAAATTACTCATTCACAGCAAAAAATCTAAGCTTCAACAAATTGATCAGAACCTGTACTAGGAGTTTCAAGTCAGCTAGGCCACCATAATTCAGAAGATATATTAAATCATCTAGAGATTCAACGTCTTGAAATAATCGACAATCCCTGATACCAGCATAAACTGGACATTCAAAGAGAATGTGTTCCAAAGATTCCGATCTGTGGAGATTGCAAACAGTGCATTCTTCTTCAGTATTTATTCTATACACTATTCGATTGAAGGTGATTCTAAAGAACGACTTACTGCATGTCCTTAGTTGAGCGATAATTCTAGTTATATATATGGAAACGGGCGCTTTGAGGTAATTTTGAACATTTACCCGTAGAGAGAGAGTTTTTCTTCTCCTGAAGATGCTAACATAGTTAGCGTGCAAAGGCGTATAAAAATCGGTTTGGTAATGGTTAGTGGTGAAACAGTGTGGTGTATTATCGTGCCGAACGTAAAAGCCCAAGGTCGTCGATATAAGAAGAGGGGTAATAAGGGGTAATTACCCTCTCAGGACAGGTTATCACCACTGCTTTTTAATAACATATATGCGTCAAAGTTGTTCAGAAACGTTATAGTACTTGAGACGTCAGTATATTACGAGATGAATTAAACTCTAATAATAAATTAATTAAATAATTAATGATGTTTTAATAATGATTTTTTCGCCTTCACGATGTTTTGAAGTAATTTCCACGTGAGTACAACCTTCTTATCTATGGTTCGCCATTTTGTTGTCAGAATTTTTGATTCAATAAAAATTTTGTTTTTTCACTTTTTACCATCAATTACTGATCAATTATCATTGTTTTACTTAAAAATCACCGTTGCTCTTTTATCCTACTGAAATTTGTTAATCAATTCAATTTTGAATTTACAACTGTTGTTGTCTTTTCCATTTCAATTTCTTCTTTATATAAAATCATGTTTGGTTTCTATTGTAGATACACTTTGTTGCTAATTTGACTGAAGATGGCCATTTGAATGGCCGAAACATGTATCAACCTTATTGAAGCAGGATTGACTGCCTCCTTAAACATTAAAATTGTGGAGACGACTTTCGAGTTTTATTTCTTGATCATTCCACTCCACTTTGAGTATGGACTACTACAGAAGATAATATAATAGATAAACATTATAGCTAATGATATTCATGAAGCAAAGGTGCCAAGTCACCAATTATTAATTATAAAGTTATCAAAAGATGTTTGAGTCCTGTCGTTGAATAAAACATAATAGGAGGTACCAATGATATTACAGTTCATTATTGACGTATTCGAGCAACCAGCATGTCCAAATATTTCTTATTCTCCATAACAAGATATTATGTGAATGTTGCAGACTTGGCAACATTGTGCTGAATGCTGAGAACTGACAAGACCACGCCCACAAGTCGTGCGCCGTGTTGTCACGTTCACCGATTCAAATGTCCTCTAGTGTGAATTAATATAATTATTGTTTACACTTTTTTTATAAGCAATACGTCACAAATCATAAGGGAACTTTTTGAGACAATTGCATTTTTATTGCGTATTGGGAATATTACCAATACATAAATGAGTTTATGAATTATTGAATAACTAATATTTCTGAAGTTCCCAATCGTATTTCAACACATGGCAACTGTGCTATGGTCTACCCCTAGTTAGGAAATCGTGGCGGTAAATTTCTAGCAGTTTGAAAATCACCGTGGCATTATTGATTATTTTAGCACCTAAAAATCGACCGATAAATTTTTAAAAAATATGAAATTGAGAGGTATTTGAGTGGTGATTCTATTTAAGAAGTAAAAAAAAATTGTCCAATCGCCTATTGTACTACATTTTCGTCCACAATAACAGTTGGAATGTTCGTCGATAATTTTCAACAACTCATAAATATTGTCAGGGTCGAAATTACAAGAATATAATATGATACATAATTTATTTCATGCAAATAATTAAATGCAGTACTCACTCTATGTTCAATCACCTGTTTTTCAGACAATCTTCACCTATGGATCTCCGCGGATGTCTTTGTTGCTGAAGCACAAGATCACTAGTGTTTCACAATTGTTTATTTCTTGGCATTCGGGCACACTACACAATTTCATTTCTGAGCTATCAGACTGTGAGTATATAATTACTATACAATTCACAAATTGTTTATTTCTAGGCATTCGGGACCATTACACAATTTAGTTCACATTTCTGAGACTGTGAGTATATAAACCCTATTCGAAGGTTACTATTTATACACGATGTGAACTCAACAAACGATGAACGGTTAATGATCCGCTTTGTCTTCAAATATTTTAACATTAGTCATATCACGTAACAACCTGATTCATATCAGCAGAAATATCAAATTAATATAGGGGGTAGTGCGATTTTGTTTCTTACAGGGTCATGATGGATAGAAACATTTTTGTGGAGGGTAATCAAAATACAAGGCGAATTTGAAAGTGAGTTTTGTTTTCAAACAGGATATATCACAGCTATTTAATGGTTTAAAGACTCCAACTATGAAACATTTTGTTTACATTTTCTCTAAAAAAAAGAACGCAAAAAAGCCGTTATTAGAACAGTATTAGATACCCTACAGTTGCATTATTTCATCAGAAAAACTAATCAGGAACCTCTTCTTACATTTTCAACCTATTAATTTTCGTTTTAAAGTGAACCAAAAAACTCTAGGAGGGAAATAAAGCAATAGGCCAAACAACTTATTTTGGCGAGATATATACCCTGTTAAATAAAAAACCCCACTTTCAGATTCACCCTGTATATTGTAGGTGAGATAAAAATAAATATAATGAAATGGAATGAGTAACAAATAATTCAAACATGGAACTATGCTTTGCTAAAGAAATAAATCGATGATGCCATCCACATGTGAGATAAAGTAGATATAGATACATGTATTTGGCAGTCTTGAAGAGGTTTCTGATAAGTTTTTCTGATGAAATAATGCAACTGTAGGGTATCTAATACAGGACTAAAAACAGCTTTTTTGCGTTTTTTTTTAAATGTAAACAAAATGTTTCATAGTTGGAGTAGTCTTTAAACCATTAAATACCTGTACCTCCGTTATCTTGAATATTTTATCAGAGCAATTTTTTGCCAAACAACTTATTTTGGTGAGATATATATCCTGTTTAAAAACAAAACTCACTTTCAGATTCCCCTTGTATTTTGATTAGGCTCCACAAAAAGAATGTTTCTATCAATCATGATATCAAAACCCTGTATTGGCAGATCCCGATATCATCTCCTTATTTTGCACTTTGTTAGAAACAAAATCGCACTACCCTCTATATTTATTTGGTATTTCTTCTGATATGAATCAGGTTGTTACGTGATATGACTAATGTTAAAATATGTGAAGACAAAGCGGATCATTAATCGTTCATCGTTTGTTGAGTTCACATCGTGTATAAATAGTAACCTTCAAAAAGGGTTTTTATACTCACAGTCTCAGAAATGTGAACTAAGTAAAATCGTGTAATGGGCCCGAATGCCAAGAAATAAACAATTTGTGAATTGTATAGTGTTTTTATACTCACAGTCTGATAGCTCAGAAATGTGAATTGATTCTGTGAAATTGTGTAGTGTGCCCGAATGCCAAGTTATAAACAATTGTGAAACACTAGTGATCTTGTGCTTCAGCAACAAAGATATCAGCGGAGATCCATATAGGTGAAGATTGTCTGCAAAACAGGTGATTGAACATAGCGAACATGAGTGAGTACTGCATTTAATTATTTTCATCAAATAATTAATGTATTTTATGCACTAGCGGGCCGTAAAGTGCACTTTACCGCCCGGTTTTGCAGGCGTTAAGTTGCACTTTACCGCCCACGGGTTCATTATGGCCCACGGGCCGTAAAGTGCACTTTACCGCCCGCTGTTCTCAGTTTTATTATATCCACATATCAATTCATGAAGAACCTGTGATCATTTCCTAGATTCTAATATATCCAGTGGTATATCATAAACTTCTAGTTTATCTGATCACATAGTCTCGCTATTATTATCATCACTAATTTTCACTTTTCAATCAGAGAATGACAATTCAGCTTGTACATTGGAAGTATTGCTATAGACATCAACCATCAGCTTGCTTGACAACGTCAAAATTAGGTGGGTATATATACTGGGTATGCATATTGTGAAATTCTGAAGAATGAATCTCTTCTAGGGATCAAATAGTTTCACTATCACGATAATTGTTATATTCGTACGAAAATTTTTATATGTATTAATATAAATCATCCAGGAAGATTACGTTTCTCTTGATTACTGAATGTATAGGTACGTAACAAATCAAATTCGGGCGAATATAAGTTTATCGAAATCTATAGTCATAACTTTTGAGTCAGAAAATGAACCACTAGTGCATAAAATTTTGTATGTATCACGTGCGTGAAATGCGTTTATGGCCTTCAGCGTGTAATGGCCCTCGGCTAGCGCCATCGGGCCATTATTCACGCCACAGGCCATAAACGCCTACTTTACGCCCTTGATACATAAATAACTATTATATTCTTGTAATTTCGACCCTGACAATATTTATGAAAATTATCGACGAACATTCCAACTGTTATTTTGGATGAAAATAATCAATAATGCCACGGTGATTTTCAAACGGCTAGAAAGTTACCGCCAGTAAAAACTGACGCCACGATTTCCTAAGTAGGGGCAAACCATAGCACCTCAGTTGCCATGTGTTGAAATACGATTGGGAACTTCAGAAATATTAGTTATTCGATAATTCATAAATTCTCATTCATGTATTGGTAATATTCCTAAATAGCAATAAAAATTCAATTATCTCAAAAGCTTCCCTTATGATTTGTGACGTATTGCTTATAAAAAAATTGTGTAAATAAAAATTATATTAATTCACACTAGAGGACATTTGAATTGGTGAACGTGACAACACGGCGCACGACTTGTGGGCGTGGTCTTGTCAGTTCTCATCCTTTCGTTGTCAACCTCGAAAGATGTCGAACAGCACTTTATCAAGACTCCTTCATCCATAGAACGGCTAGGCTCTGGAATGCATTGCCTGTGGAAGTATTCCCAACAACATATAACCTCCAAAAGTTCAAAAAAAATTCCAATACGTACCTCCTGTCCCTATCCTCCCTAGGAACGCACGTTCTTTGAACATTATAGGGATTCCCTTTCGTGCGCTCCAAACGATGAAAAAAAAATCAGCACAATGTTGCCAAGTCTGCAACATTCACATATTTTGTTATGGAGAATAAAAAATATTTGGACGTGCTGGTTGTTGTTCGAAAACGTTGAGATGAGCTCTGAAATTCAACAATTTCGAACAATGCATCGACTCATTATGTGCAAAAAAAAGCGTGAGGAGTGTTGCAAGAATTAATTTAGGTTGCTAACGACACAGTGGAGTAATTGAATACCAATAATTCATTATCAGTCCACTCGCCCATTCAAAACAACAATTCAGAGGCACTGCTTGAAATTAGTACTGTTGGTACCACAATTTTATCGAAGAGGGATCTGATTGATTATTTCTAGGTAAAATAAAAATTGCTATTGAGGAAGTATTTGAGATAAATATAACTTTTTTTTCTCAGAAAACATCTATCATTAGCTATTATGTTTATCTATTATGTTTATCTATTATATTATCTATTTACATTATCAGTGTACAAATCTATTTTGTTGAATGAATATTATTATTATTATTATCATTATTATTGTTGATATTATAAGTTTCATTCATCCCGTAATATTATACTGACGTCTGAAGTACTATAACGCGCTGGTCGTTTGAAGGTAGTCGAGCATAGCCAGTGTTGCCGTTTCAATTAATTCATTTAGGTAATTCAGAATTTTCTGAATTCATCAGCTCTTTGCCCTCAAAATTCAGCTGATTTCAACAATAATTCGGTAATGCCATGAATGAACTGTACGAGACAATTTGAAACTCATTTGTTCTGTTTCCTCATATACTGAATTATGATATATGTATTATGATATAGATATTACAGTGATATAAGAATTTCGGGTTTATTGAAATGACAGGTATAACAAAATCATTTCGTTAGATTGTCGATCGTTAGAAATACTCGAGCGAGTCAGATTAAGATATAGTACGTTAATTACATGCAGAAAAATGTGCATTTCAATAATCTGACGATATGGAAATGGGAGAGCCACAAAGTTGCAAAAAAATCGTCCCCTGTACATTCTCGAGCGCGATCAATTTTTTCCTTATTTTGAAGGTTATTAGTCACGGATCACGAAAATAACATAATCTGCCGATTTGCACAAGCCGAAGTAGCGAAAATCATCAATTGCTTCCAGCCACTGGGAACTATGTATGTAATTTTGGTAACGTAGAAGACTAAAAATCACTTCGTAAATTGTTATCAATCAGCTTATAAGAGAAGGAATCTGAAAATGCAATAAAATACAAGGTGTGCTATAAGAAAAAGTATAACTTTGATACGCCACGCATTTTTGAGTATCCCTATATAACGCTGAATATTTCAGAAATGTACTGCTCATGAGACTAGACCATCTCAAGAATGTTTGTTCATCTTGGTATCTCAAACATCAAAGCCGTTATCTCACTTTGCCACACTATTGGTCCACCCTGTATGTCTACATGAGCCTTCCATCTCAAAATTGAGAATTCTTCGTGCTGTTGAAGTCCTGCTACAAAAAACTGACCCTCCCTGTATATTTTAGTTATTACATTCAGTTGACAAAATATCCAACCATTAGATTAAGGTAATCCCTCTACATAATTGTCAGATTATGGGTCGATACGACATGGACATTGAGATGAATCGTCTGTATAATAATCTGATGCGCTCGAGTAATTCAAGGTCACGATTTTTTTTTGTTTTTTTTTCATTTTCAAAAATTGTTCATGACTTTTGGTCGCGTCCAAATCGTCAGTATTTGGAATAGGAGCTACTTGAGGGTTTACTTAACGTCCCTTATCAATATCTTACACGCTTGAATACATTTTTTTAACCTATTCTCTATCCCTTCGTACTGCCACCCTCATCATGCAAACCGGCAGATTAATATTTTTCGGTTATCAGAAACACATGGGGCGCATACACTATCAATATCTGATGCGTTCGAGTATATCTATGTGACTGATTATTTTTACATTTTTGAACACCTGTACACGCTCTCCCCACCAGTGAAAGGTCATATATCATATAAACTTTTTTCATTTCCGCATCTAATCTTCACAATCTGATACGTCCCCACGACGCTCGAGTAAATCCCTATTCAGCCTCTTTGCCTCCCCTACTATCACGGTCTTCCCTACTGATTATTTTAGGAGTTTCTATCATCATTTTCTCAAGGTAGATAGACCTCAAATTACGGTATATTATTCGAAAAACTCACCAAGATATTCTTCACCTTCGACTACATCCAATGCTAGCTTCGGAAAACACTTTATCAGTGTTCTGGCGAGTCTGGTGTGGATTTTAGTATCACACATGATTAAAACATGCAGCAGAGTTTCTCCCAAAGAACCACGGTATTGCATTTGCCAGCAAGCTTCATGGTCTGTCCACTTACCGAGAGGATCATATCTGGAATTCGATAAAATGTACAGGATAATTCCATTTTTATTTTAAAAGCTTTTATTTAACTTGCAATGTAGTTCGTGTAGAATCTTTTAACTCAATTTTAAAGTAGATATCTTCAACCGATTGAGCCGAAATTTTGTATACACGTTTAGTTTGGATGACAATACACGATAAGGTGTGTGAAGTTATTCTAAATCCAATATGGCGGACCTTCCAAGATGGCGAAAGTTATTTTTAATGCACTTCTACAATATGGGTATCAAATGAAAGGACTTGTTGAGAGTAACTCGAAAAATAATGTGACGTCATTTTAAATCCAATAAGGCGGACCATCCAGGACGGCGTAATAGTTATAGAGATAAAAATTATGACATCCGATACCAATTCGCGAGATTCACGAAGTGGGCGACATCTAGAATACGAACTTCAAACTGGGGGAAAACAAACTGTTGTCTATGGATAAAGTGCATAGACTACATTGCATTCAGCTTGCTGTAGCTGTAGTCAAACTTGTCAATGACATAAAGTGTTGGCACTGTTGGTAGTGATGATGATGGTTGAGTTGGTTAATTTTTTCACATTATTACATTTGTATTAGTTCAGTGAACGGGTGAAGAATTGGAGATAGTTCAAACAATTCAAACTAATTATGACGAGCAAATCAATTGATATAAAAAAAAGAACAGCTACAACATGTTTACAATACCCAGATTGTCCTGCTTTGCATAAACAAATACAAATCCATTGTTCTACAGGAGTTCTTCTGGACCCCAACTTCAATTTCACTTCATGTGGGGAAGATTTCATCGCCGAAGTTTGTAGACAAAGTGCAAAAATGTGCCTTTTGTTGAAGTCTTCTACCTCACACAAAATCACATGATTAGCACGGAGAACTGCTTCTCCTTCCACTACTGGTCGGCTTTTTCCATCTAAATATAGCAAAATATCTGTCAAAAGAACATCTACAACCGGCGTTATTAGCATTTTCGATCGAATATTGACAATTAATGTCAAGAAATTTGAAAACTTATCACTCTTATCAGTACACAGTACACAAGCTAATGACACTAATGAGATTGAGTGAGGATTGAGTTTGTTTTCCCCCAGTTTTGACGTGGCTTTGACATGGAACGATGAAAACCGAGCGCCACCTGGTAACATTGATTCCCGCGAATATCATTTTGTTATCAGATGACGGTATAAATCTGCAGCCAGCTCTCCTACTATAACATTCATTGTCCAGTAGTGTTATGCATATAATATATAACCTTTTGATGTTTGGCAGATGATTACAATCGTAATTTGAAAACTGTACCTTTATTATTAATTTGAAACTTACCTGCTGAGAGACGCTTCTATAGGAAGTACCACCTGTTCATGATCTCGAAATTTCCATCGCAAATACTCAGATCTGTTGATTATTTGTCCTTTGCCATCCTGGTACATGAGCTGACCAAATTGTTCTCTTATCAGCTTTTCAACTTCAGCTTGTCCTCCCTTATTGTAAGCATCTATCAATTCTCCACCTAAGAACAATTTATCATCATCGCATCCATCAATTCTGCGGGGCAATTTTACACAAATATTTCAATACTTTTGCCATCAGCCAATTATTCTTACCTTTCTTATAATTTGCTAGTTTATATAATAAACACTGATCTTCGTTGGATGCTTGACTGATAACCCTGTCGAGTATGGACCCTCCAGGTAAGATTTTTTTCTTTTTTCTGCATGGTTTGCAGCTATTTGCTCCCATTTTGCAATCCGCGAAGTTTACTTTGTCTACATGATTGTCACTTTATTTTGATCAATATAAGGTCACGGTGAAGAATTGGTGTCAAGGGTGGGTATAAACGGTGGCAGGTACATCATAGTACAACACACAGAGGGGTTTATGAAAATCGAACTCCCAAGTTTCTTGACACTATTGCGAATTACGAATACCTATACAGGGTTAGAAAAAAGGATGGAAAGAGGTGAACATCTCATATCGGTAACCGTTTGTTAGATTTCTTGAATGTATATACAGGGTGATTTCAAAACGTGACGGATTTGAAAATTGTATCGCTTATGTCGCCACTTTTCCAATTATTCCGGAATTGTTATTAACTTCCTTATTTTAAATAGAACACACTGTATTTTATCGAATTTTCAGATTATCCCTGAAGATCTGATTTTATCAATCTCTATTATATATAGATATATAGGGTGTGAGTTTTTCTGTCAAAACTATTCATTATAGGTCGAAACTTTTGATTTACTATCTACTGATATTTAATTGAAATATATACAGGGTGGTTCATGATTCTGAAATCGGTTCTTCAGAAAAAATCAAAACATTTTTTTTTATCGCTTGGAGCGCACGAAAGGGAAGCCCTTTTTTGAATTTTTGGAGATTATATGTTGTTGGGAGTACTTCCACAGGCTTTGCTTTCTCCTGCGATGTTGTTGCTAATGTGCCGTCGGATTTGGACAGTGGTGGAAATGAACTATTAGTGAAATTTCTTCCGACCGCTTTAGCAAGGGACCAAAACGAACGGGAGCCATTGGGGCAATCTATGAGTTTCGATCTTATCTTGGCATTGTATGTTTCTTTCGAAGCATCTATTGTTTGGCTGCAGTTATTCCTGGCATCAACGTATTCTGCTCTAGTCGCGAGGTTAGGGTTTTTGCGCCAGCGATGGTAGGCTGTTTGTTTCAAGGCAACAGTTCTAGAACAGTTTTTGTTGAACCAGGGTTTCGAAGGTGATGATCTTTTCGAAAAATGAGGTATGTGTGTGTCCATTCCGAGCACGATGATATCGGATATTTCCGCAGCACACTGTGAAGGGTCCTCAGAGTCAAAGCATACTCTATGCCAAGGAAACTCGGAGAAAAACATGCGGAGACCGTCCCAATCTCCTGAATTCAATAAAATGTAGGGAGTTCTATTTCAAATAAGGACGTTACTAATAATTGATTGATTGTCTTTATTACCTCAAGAAACATAGTTGTTTATGATAGGAATACATAAACAATATACATAATGTTATACATACAATTATGAAGTAATAATAAGATATAACAAGTGGAAAAAAAATGCAAAAAATCATGCAATATCAACCTTGTCTTTCATAAGTATAGGTATTCAAATAATAAATGGAATTGGTGATGAGTTGTATTGAACGATTCCTGTATGAAAAATGAATTGTTCGCTGGCGATAACATTTTCAAATCCGCCACGTTTTGAAATCATCCTGTACATACATTCAATACAATCTGAACAGTTACCGAGATTTTCACCTGTTTTCAAACTTTTTACCTAACCCTGTATGTTTGATGCGATACAGATGGCGACAGGCGGCTCGGTGGTCGAGAGCGTGGAGGCGCTGAGTTCGTATGGGGACTTCCACCGATACATAGGTCCGAATCCTAGTTAGGCCATGGATGTTTGTGTTTGTATGCTCACCTAACCTCGCACAAGTTTCGACTTATGGGGCGTTTGGTCCCAGTGCTGGGACCAACGAGGTAATGCAATTGCAAAAAAAAAGATGAGTTATTGCTAACGAAGTCTCAAGAAAGGTATGAGAAGCACTACACGGGATTTTTTGAATGGTGCAATAGTAAAGAAGTGGAAACACCAAATAAAGAAGAAGTATTTTTGGCTCATTTCCTAGAAATGTCTGAAACCTAGAGGCCAAACACCATGGGCATGCTGGCTTCTGCAATAAGCTTACCTACATAATGCTTCAAACGGTACACACAATAGATATATCACTAATAATTAGAAGATAATGCAGGAATAACTGATTGAACAAGTCAGTAAATTTCCTACGCTTGTAGAAAAAATATTGTTCCTAACTCATGCGGAAAGTGTCTTTCCGGCATTCGACTGCTTGCCTGAACTTCGCTTCGCGTCCTTCGGGTCAACGGCATTCGCGTGCGGGAAAGTATCACTTTCCGCACTTGTTAGGAAAATAACTATTTCCCCTAAGCGGCATAGAAAGTAGTTTCACTTCACTCAAGTGAACTTTCGCTGCCTAGGCAGAAATTCATTGTTATGCGACGTTCCAAGATATTTGAATGAAATCGGTAATCAAAATTGACACTGACATTGGGTGAACACAAAATGATTTGAGTTTTCAATGAAAAAATTACACAAAATTGGAGCTACTACATTTTGAGAGTTCATATGTTATATGTTATATTGTTATTCAATTCTTGTTCAAACTATTTAAATTCTTTGTATGACACAGATCATGGATCAATTTATTTGACATATGTTTCAGTTTCAATCATTTTCCTAGGCAAATATGGGTCAAATTATTTAATTCCCAACTAAAGCCAAAGTAGGGAAGGTATAGGTAAGTGAAATACACTTTCTTCATTAAATCAATATTGGAAATTCTCATCTATTTGATATCTTCTTTTAGATCAGGTTGTAGCTTGACCACCTCCCATCCGAGAAGTTTTGGCTCACTTTTTCTACCGATTTTTTTTAGGAATAGGAATTATCATTGATGTGGCTGAATTAAACACAATATAGGTACTATTCAGTGAGTTCATTTTATAAAATCACAAAATTCAACATACAACTCTAACAACTCACACAAAAATTCAACATATTGGAGGAGTGATATAACAATATTGAAAATTGATTCACAAAATAAATAAGAGATCTGCAATAAAGATATTCGAGTCAACAATGTTGTTATTAAAATTGTTCAAACTTCAACAATAATTACTATTTTTAATAGTTTATGATAATTAAAATAATTTTCAATCCAATTGTTAAATTGATAAATTAAAAAGCTACATAATATATGTGTGAGATTATGACCTCAGAGATTCAAATAAAGATAAATATGCAATAAATAAAAAACAAACAACATGTACATAAATAAATAATAAATACCTACTATTACAAACATATAAAGAATATTTCAGGAAAACAAATAATGATACAGAATATGAAAAAAAAAAGAATTACGCTTTTAAAGAAATATTTTTTATATAATTAAATATAATAGCAGCTCAAGAATCTAAATTCATAATATTGAATAATGAAAAAAGAAAGAATCATATTCAGAAAATAGAGATTTGTAAGCAATGAATAAATCATCAAATGTCATTGGTGTTCATTCGATTCATAAAAATAATATATTGCATTAAAGAAGTACAAAAACCTCAATATTCAACAAACTTGAAGAGTTCAAACTGAAAATTTGTTCATAATTTGTAATGGCGAACCCAATTTTGACATATCCCGAGTTGAAAAAAATATAGATATTGCTATCATTACGAGTCAAAGGTTAATTATCGATGGAACTGTATATTTTTAAACTAAACAGGATCTGAACTGGTATGTGGCATTGCAGACGATGAACCCTTATCAAAAAAACATTCATTCACAGGTGAGACTGATGTTCTACCTAATCGGGATGGCTGCGAATGTAAACTGTATCTGGAACAAAAAATATTTTCTTCTGAAAAAAAAAAAAAGTGGGAATACAGGGTGATCAAGTTTTCATGACTGATACTCCAGGAACTGATTGAACATGGTGGAGTATGTAAATTCTCTATATTGAGATTTTTATTTCTCTGTGAAGTTTATGAAAAATATTATATACGTATTTTTTATTTTTTCAATAGGCGACTAAGATTAAGATCGTATCGCCAGAACGGCGAATGTCGGTACTACTCTATGGGCCATTGGCGGGTTGTTTACATTGTTTGGTAATGGTGTTTATGTTCATTTCGTTTTGAGTTTTCAAACGTCTAGCTTTGTTATTTGTCTATTTTCGAACTTTGTATTTTCCAGCGGTCTACTGTGTTTTGATTGAGGACTATATTATCTCTGTTCAACATTAGATAACTTCCCTACCTCTAGTTGAACTTCATATATACCAACATACATAAGCTGTAAGTTTTTATCATTATTGGACAAGAATTCTCATGAAAACCTGTGTGGGATGTTGATTTCCAATTCGAATATATGGCTGGGATATTCTCCTGATGCATGATATTTTTAAAAGAAAATCCAGCAAACTTTTTAGGAATAAAATGTTCTTTCGAAGGTGAATTTAGGTAAACAATTTATACTTGACTTTTTACAACATAATCATCAAAACCCTGATTGATAAAATTCTTTACTGTTTAAATATTCTACTGTTCATGAGTAAAGATATAATAATCAGTGTTTTCTACTCACATAATTAAAATGGCATTTAGCGTACGGATATGTACCATGCTAAATGATCGATTAATCACGGATTGTAGATCTGTGATTTATTCGAAATATTAAACACGTTACCATGGCAACGCAGTTCATTAAACACAGCTTCGGTAATTTGAGACATGTCTGGCCTGTCAATTGTATCAAATGTCAACTGTTGTTTTCAAATTTTGTATCAGAATTATTCAAACAATATTCTTCATCAAAAATATATGCGAAAAGTAGACGAAAGTGAAATCGAAGAGAATGTGCTGGTACTTGCATATCTCCAAGAAGTGTGAAAATGAAGCATACATCTTTGAGAACAATTTATTTATTCTGCGCTTAGCATGACGATAAACGTGAAACAAAGGTTAGTAAGCAATGGACTGGACACATCCACAACCAATATCACTTATACGTGTCTCGCTGGTTGCATGTAGTTGCATGTATTATGTTCTCAATTCCCATTCCTTTCGAATTGATTCGTAGGTTAGCAGGAATTGCAGGTATGTTAATGTAATTTTCGGAGTTCGTAGAAAAATCATAGTATGTAACGCGTTTATAAACTCTTCTAGACACTCGTTTATTAAACACTTGCTCCGCTCTGCTCCGCTCGTGCTTAAAATACTCGTTACTAAAAGGACGTTTATAACACTTGTTACATGATATACTATTAAATTTGTTTGTTTTTTTACCACCACCACAAGAAGTAGGTATTATATTCATAATAGACATACATTTGAAAATATACCTATAGGTATGAGTAAATTTTCAGTGAAATGTAAAAAACAATATCTGTTCAGACACTTTTTCCAATCTTCAAGTTATGAATCCACACCTTTCTCCTACCGATCACTTACTTGTTTCCCAAATTATTAGTTTCAAATACAAAAGACTGTCCTGATTTTTGAAAGGAATGAAAGCTATACTCGGGATTTTTTTGCTCAAGATGAACAATGAGGTACACAACAATAATGACTCATGTTTTTAAACGTTTATAGAAGTTCTCAAACAAAATTATAGACAATTAAAACACAACTACTCCTCATACAAAATACACGCAAACTAATGTAAACAAAGCAATCAATGGCCAATACGTTAGTTATATTAGACAACGGTAGAGGGAGTACTCCTTAGCACGATTCGCCTATAGGCTGAGAATTTCAGCAAATTCAAAGAAATAAACTCCTTCATCATTCTGCCGACGTTTGGGTATCAAGAAATTCTGAATATGTATCGACTTTATTTCGATGCTTACTACTTTATACAGGGTGTTAACAAATAAGTGTCACAACGGAAAACTGTAGATTCCTCATAATAAAAGAAACATTTCTTTCCTCTTCAACATTTTTCTCCGGGCTTCCGTTTTCAAGATACAGGGCGTCAAGAAATCAAAAATGTTCAGTTCAATTAAACACACTTCACACCACTTAATAAATTTAACAATTTGAAAACCAGCATCGAGACCAGCATACTCAAGAACCTGACTATTGATTGAACATATCATTAGACAGTTCTGAGGTATTCATCTCCAGTGGATTTTTAGGCGATTTTTGGAGATACCATCAGGATTTTGTATGTTACTAATCATAAAGAGCCATTTTTCGCGGAAACTGTTCACTTTAGAGCATTGAGACAAGAGGATGTTTTTTGTGTGAAAGATATTGGCGCTTCAGAATCTACTTTGAAAATTACAATTTCTCCAGTGGCATACATGTTTGTGGGGTTAAACCCTTACGAGGCGTTGAATTCTCCTCCACTGACATGTTCAAGGAAATTGATCAAGATCCCTGAAAGTAGTTATTATTGATGATGAAGTGTGTACGAAGGCTTAACTCCGTAGTAATAACTAATCCATCAAGTTGACACTGTATGATCAGAAATGAGTGGAACTGATGGCATTTTCCCTTTGGAATTTCGAAGAAACATTGATGATGGCTAAAAGTAGGTCGAAACACACATAAACCACCTTGTATAATACATGGTTGGATTCAGAATAAAAAAACCTTTCAGAATCAGTGAAAAAATTATCAGGACCGCATTTAAAAAACAAAAGTTGATGATGGTTCCACGAATACGAAACGTCGCATAAAAAAATCAGTATCACCACGTTGGACGTCATCAAAATTTGCTATTAAAAAGTATTCTCAGTTTTGCTGTATCTCTTATAATAACGGAGAAAAAAAATAAAATAGATATTCCAAAAATTCACTTTTTTCGATATATCTCAAAAACTGAAAATAATTTTGAAAATTTTCGAAGGCTCTCGATATACGCCTCCGAATGCGCAACTTTTTCCCCATTTAAACGACTTCGTATCTCCTACCGTTTCCTAGATCCCCATGCTGTTCAACCTTATCTTGGACAGACTGTATATACTTGTATGATACTTGTAATTTGATTTTCTGATTAATCGAAACGTATAATAGTAGATTATACCACGAGTCAATAATGATAGCTATTATTCTCGAGGATTTTTTACGAACCGAGCCGCGTTAGCGGCGAGGGAGTAACATTCCGAGAGAATAATAGCCATTATTGCGAGTAGTATACTCTACTTTATTTGCGACTAATATATATACTTGTGGTTTTTGAAGTATAATGCCATATATTAATCCCGCAGGGAATAATGGCGAGGGATTAATAGTCTTTATTCCCTGCGGGATTAATATATGGCATTATACTTCAAAAACCACAAGTATAATATATTAGTCGTGAATAAACTAAATTATTTATGGATTCCTGATGAAATGACTTATCCGGAAGGAATATTAATAAATATTTCGATAATATCGAAAATACATCCATTACTCAAAGTCGAATCTTGAAATGAATAGAATCGAAATTAAATTCCAACTTGAAGTGATCCTAAGTGGATTGTTTCCAAGAAATTATACCTATCGTCCGCGCCCAAAACCGATTTTACACCAAACCATGCTGATAGCTGCGAATTTATTGAGGTTATGTTCCAATTGTGTTCACGGTTTTTACTCTCTTTTTAATTCACGGTATTGCATTATCTATGCACTGTTTTCGTTGTATTCACACTTGTTGATTGTGATCAAGTTGAATTTCATCTCTATATCATATCAAAATATGCTTTATTGTCACTTAAGAATGTAATCCTTGTAGACAAAGCTGAATAGGTTATAAAAATAAAATAATAAAATAATGTATACAACAATTATCAACATGAATAGAATTTTTCACAAACATGTGCACACATAAGGCTTCGTCTAAAATACTTGTTCATAAAAATCATTAACATTATAAAACACATAAGGGACTAACAAGTTTTTCAATTCCCTCCTGAATTTTTTTATATCCGAGATAGATTTAACAATAGTTGGGAGGTGATTGTACATTTTCAGGCCATTATATAATATGGAATCTTTTATTAGTGAACTGCAGGGCCGGGGAAGCTTCACCATCTCTGACTGGCGTGTGTTGTAACATGAGTTCACGACTTCGTAATTATCTCTGGTTTTGTGAATCAAACACACCGACTCTATAATAAACAAGGATATTACTGTTGACAATCTGTGCTCTCTGAATAATTCTTTACAAGAGGTTCTTGAATTAACTTTGCATACATATCTTAATGCCCTTTTTTGTAAGATGAATGTAGACTGTAAATTATGGTTGTTACAAGTTCCCCAAAATGCAATTCCGTACCTCAAATGAGATACTATTAGAGCGTGATATGCCGTCATAGCAGCAGAATAACCCAACTCGTTTGATATCAATCTGATAGCATAGCATCCTGATGCAAGTTTATTGCATAAGTGTGAAACATGCAGATCAAATTTCAGTTTTTTGTCCACAAAAAGACCAAGAAACTTTGCGTTCAATTTATTTTCTATAATTTGATGATCCAGAGATAAAAGAGGCAACTCACATCGGAATGTTATCAGGTTCGTTTTCTGAATATTGAAAGAAAGTAGGTTCGATTTGCTCCATTGATGGATAATTTCGACTTTCGTCTTTGGTTATTTTAATCTGTAGGGTCTCCACAGATCTATCACTCCATAATATGGTAGTGTCATCAGCGAAGAGTTATTTTCCCGGATATATTCAATTTAGTCATATCATTGATATATAGCAAGAACAGCAACGGCCCAAGAACCGAACCTTGAGGTACTCCATGATGAATATTTGAGGTATCCGAGGTGACATTATTGATACGTACCAGTTGTTTTCTATTATTCAAGTATGAGTTCATCCATTGCAAGCTTGAATCACTAAACCCATAGTAATGAAGCTTCCGAAGCAGTATTCCATGATTAACACAATCAAAGGCTTTTGAAAAGTCACAAAACACTGCAGCGGCAACCTCACCACTATTGATGTTTTCATAAACCTTGTACATGAAGGAGAAAAGGGCATCATTTGTGCTTTTCCCATGTTGAAATCCGAATTGTTCTGATGCCAATATATTATTGGAATCCAGAATATATAGACTAATTAGTTCGTCAGAATTGTAATATTCTTGGATAATACTGATGGTAAGCAACAGGCTCTGAATTCAAATTCATTATTTTTCAATCCATTCATTTTTCAGGATACTGGTTATGAGTAAGTCTTCTGAAAATGTGAAAGAATATTTTCAAATCGATTTTACTCTAAAATGATGCATCTTCAGTGGCTCCATTTGAGGAGGCCGTAGTTCCCTTAGGAGTCATTTAAAGGCTAATTAAGAACACTATGCAGTATTTTTAGTTTTTCCCTCCAAATCCACTCGTTTCCAAAACTACCCGAATCGGACATAGCGTGGGACTTCACATGAGCGTACCAAAATATCTCAAAATGGACAAGAATAAATGAATAAACATAAAATGGAGATTTAATCAAAAATATTTACTATAAATACGGCATCTTAAACACAGGCATTTTACCCGACTTACTCACATAACTGACGTGACAAGAGCAAACTCTGATAGAATTCAACCACACTTATCAGTGACCTCACCTAACAAACCGCTTCATGAACATCATCCATCCATCGAATCTATTCGTGTCTAGAAGTACTATCGTTTTATGTGAAGCAGAAAAGTTTCGTCACCAACGTGTGTCGTTGTTCATGTGTAACATAAGTTGCCTATAGTTCTGTGTTTAAATATCAGTCTAGTCTCTCGATATTTAGGGTCAAGTTTTTATATTTCAGAAAAACCACTGGCGGTACTCAATTCTTTTCGAATACAGGCAGTTCATTTTCGGTATTTGATTAAGTAGCAACCCTGTTGGTATTTGAAATCGCTAATTCTTGTCCATACAATTTATTGTGATTTTTACTTGGTGTTATGTTATTTCAGGTGAGGAAATCTTAGTGATCGTTGTATTTTGTATCATATTCAATGCATTTTATAACTGTGAAATATACAAATTTAAATGTAAAGAGTATGATTTTCGGCACCACGCTTTTTGCTATGAACACCGAAAATCATTTTTTGGCTATGTTATTTCAAACGAAGTTGATACTGACCAATCTCTTGCGAAACTGCTAGTGAATATTAACAGCCACGTCTCTGTCACTAATTCCGAATTATTTTTCCAACCCCTGGGACGTCCCGTTTCACATGAATGATACAATAGTGGGTAGAGAGGGGGTAAACATCGTATATGATAATAGCAGTGAGAGGGAGTAGACCAATGATACTTTTCAACTAAATGCCAGACTTCTATGATAGACGTTGACGTTTTCCCCCTCCCTTGTTGGTATTATTTGACTAGCGGCTGGACTCTAGCTCCTTATCGATCGGTGGTAGTGTTAAAATTATTGAGTTCAACACACACGAATAGAAAACGTTTTTTCCGAACATGTTGACGTTGTGGAAGCTGAAATAGTGTAAGAAAAATACATGTCTCAGGTCAAAGATAGCATAAATACGATGGTGTGTTCTGGAGCTAATAGTAACTACCTACTTTGAGATTGGTGTATATAATCAAGGCTTCCAGTCATCTTATTTTTTTAATAATCTGGAGGAAAGTTGGTGTCACCACTCTACAATTTTTTTTAACATGTAGGTATTTATCAAAAGAAGATAGAGTAGGTCTACAATGTTTCCTAGGGATTTAAAAGAGTGACCATTTAATATATCCACCTCATAAGGAGTAATCAGCTAGTATTACTGTCGTGGAATAAGAGGAAAAACTACTTACTTTCTAGATTCAGCAGTTGACCGTATATCATCCAGAGTGTTATCTTCAGAATCAGAGTAAAGGGACGACACTGGTCGACTGGTTTTCGAATTATAGGTCTGATAACGGTTAGGTACATTGACATAATCGTTCAGCAATGAGGAACTTCTGCTGTAAGGTCTGTAAGATTTCGCGGATTCCTGTTGGTTGAAACTAGATCTACGGGCGACTGGATTTCGTACATCGTAATTCCTGTGATCTAGAGAGCTGTAGTCGAGGTCTTTGAAGGAATTCGGCTTGCGGGTTTTCTTCCTCTCGTTGAACCTAGTGTAAAAACTCTTTCTTCTGATCCTGTCTATCACAGAATCATGTTCATCGCCTGAATAAATATAGCCGTTCGGAGATAATGGCGAATGCAATTCGTTGATGTGATGGAAGTCTGAACCAACTGACCAGGAATCACAACTCATATAGTCGTCAGATGGTGATAGCACAGTTGAACTGTCATCTGTAGTCGTGTATGAGTTTCTGTTCTCTCTAGAAACGCGTTCACAGTTGCTAGTACAAGGAACTGGTTCTGGTATGGTTACAGTTTCGTTTTTACTTGGGATTTTACCAAGGTCCAGTTTCAAATGTTTTCTATCCAGTTTTTTATCATTACTTTCTGTTAGGTTAGAGTTGGTAGGGGTATTGTAGAACTTAGGAGGTTCAGGTAGGTTGTCTAAGTTTAAACTACGTCTAAAGGTATTGACAGGCAACTTCGATTTGGCTTTCAACTCCTTGTTATTATTTAATACAGTATCACTTTTAGCACCATTTTGAAATTGTTTCATTTTATCGAGTAGTAATGAGCGGGGTCGTTCTTTTTTCTCAGAAATTTCTGACAAGCTAGATTCGCTCAAAAGTTCGCTTTTGCTAGCACTAGAATTGACTTTATCGGTTTCCATCACAGAATCAGTAGGTTTTTCACTCTTTTTATCACTACTTTTAGAAGTTTTGCTTTTGGGTTTCTTAGTGGATTTTTTGATATCTTGCTCTTCGTATTTTTTGAAAAGGCCCAGTATTTTGGTAACTGATTTTCTTGAAGCTTGCAGCGGTTTTGTGCTAGATAGATCCTCTACTGATACTGCCCTTTTGATCAGGCCAGATTCCGTACCATGCTCTAAATTTCTGGGTAAACTTTGTTCACGAAGTCGTCGAATAGCATTCTCTACAGATGATTTTTTCTCTTGTAGCTCCTTGATTTCTTGAGGGTCTTTCGAGGTTCTGAATTTCTCCAACTTTTTCTCTATCGACAGGAGCAATTTGTTTTTATGACCTTTCTCTTCTTCGTTAATAATTTTGTTAGCCTCGTTCTTGTCTTCTTTGGTCTTCTCTTTAGACTGTCGAGTAAATCCTTTTCGTATCCTGCTCATCTTGGATTCTTTTTCTGGCGATTCTTTCATCTTTTCTTTCATCAGAGTTTCAGCAGGATAACTTTTAGGTCTCACTAATCTGGATACCTTTCCTTTCTTAGCAATTGTAGTATCATTTACAGCTGCCTTTACATTCACGTAGTCGTGCAGAGCTTTAGATGAATCGGAATTGTCTTTTTGTTCACTTTGCGGTTTCGTGTTATTATTTGAGCAAGACAGATTAACATAATCATGTGCACTTTTCACATTGCTTTCCAGGTTTTTGATACTATCAGAAACATTATTGAGTAAACTGTTAGTATCTTTAGCGATGTCTTCTCTTTTCTTATTATCATCGGCTCCCTTGTCCAGTTGTTTTTCTCTACAGGCTGATTGTTCTCTAAGTCTGCCCTTTCTCTTATCCCTTATCTCTTTCAATACCTTTTGGGTTTCCATTTCTCTTTCTTTTTTTTCTTTGAAATAGACGCTGTCTTCTTTAGGTGTATCATAAAAGTCAGGTCGCAGAAACCTGGATATTTTCCTAGTACTGCACGGCCTTTTCAAATCAGACTTGTTGGTATCTGTTTCCACCAAAGATTGCATAGACTTGTTCGGCGAATACCTTGTATAAAGAGAGTCAGACGAGTATTTGGAGTAAGGTCTCGAGGCAGACGAGTCTGAAACACATTTCGAGCTGCTTTCTAGACTATCATTTCTATTAGATAAAGAGAGGCTCTCAGAAAAACTGGAATCTGGACTTTGGATGTTACACCTGGACGATAAGTATGTCCTGGGTTCACGTACTGACTGAGACTTAGCAACTTTGGGTCTTCCGTATGCAAATCTATTATCACATCTCGGCTCTGCGCCAATACTGGACGACCTAACACTGAATTCGTGAGAAGGTGTATACTCGTCACGTTTAACAGGAAGGAAGGATCTTGGCATGCGCAAATTGGTCTCTTTGGGCCTACCCAATTCGTCTTTCAGAGCAGAGTTGTTTCTCTCAACGGAGAATCTTCGGGGTAGAGTAGAAGATATTCTTCCGACAGGTGACCTTCGAGTGAACTTGGAATCAGTTACCTCTTCTTCTGGGTTATGGGCGGACATGGTACGATGCAATTTTTTTGCTTCAGATGGCGCCAATTGAGCTAGCAATTGTTTTTGTATTCGCTTTGATAGGCCTGGTGTCAAGTAAGATAAAGCTAAAGCATCTTCTTCGGAGAGTTTCAGTTTTTTCAAATCAAGGTCGGCTAAATTGAGGTTTTCGTTCTTCTGGTTATCTGAAAGAACGTTAACATTGAGTTAGTCACCAGATATCCAGGAGAAGTTTTAGAAATGAACATTAATGGAAGCAAATGATCAAAGTGTTATTCAAAAACCAAACTTTTATTGTGAAACGCTTGCCTCCATTAATATTGGTAAAGTATATTATTGCAATCCATGCTGATTAATCATCACACAAATAAAATTGAAATGAAACACCTACCTTCAAATGTCAAAGAATGTTTGGCACAAAACATCTGCTGCAGCTTGAAATAAAGAACACAAACAACAAAAATTAGTATCAAAATCAAATGGAAAAATAAACAAAAAATGGCGATTTTTCGTCTGATGTCATGCAATTAATTTTTTCTAGCTAGAGCATTGAATTTCTCAATTCGGATCAATTAGAGTAGTCTTTTTTATGGTGATCACGAACAGGTTTTCGAATTGAGATGTTTCACTCAAGATCACCTTAATTTGCAAAAATAACAAATTGTATACATCAGAATTGAAAAAAACAAACAACAGAGATATTTTTCCTGCAAACAGAAGAACATAAAACTTCAAGAAACCCTACCGCATACTTTTCAAAAAATTGTGAAGTCTGAAGGTTTTGATGTGTACAACTTGTTTCAATGAAAGTGTTTGCTGTCAACAAAAATTTAGCAAAATGAATAGATATGAATGTAAACTGAGTGACTAATCAATATTTGTGTCGCTAAAATTAACTGATGAACAGCCAAGAAGTATAAACCACTTAAACTACATGAAGATGATGAAAATGGGAATCAACAGAAGACCAATTGCTGTTGAAGGCACTCGTTAGTCAATTAGGTTTCATGTGAGTGGGGCGAATACGACCCCTCCACTGCGACCCCAAATGATGTCTATCGTGGCTGTCAATTACTCAATTCCTTAAATAACCTCTGATATATAACATGATCTGCTGAAAAAACAGTGCCAGTTGGATATGATGTGAAAACCATCAAATCCCTGAAGATTGAACTCTGCCGCGAAAAAAATTTGGGTCATTTATCATTTTTATACAACAAAATAATAATGAGATGTTGTACAAACCGAAAACACAATTGCCAAGCAATTTGACGAAAAAAAAATCCTCTGAAAAAGAGTCCGTAGGACAAGTAATTTTTTCTGGCAGTTTTTTGAGTTGAATCACCTAATAAATGGCAACAAAATTCGAATTATAAATGGCAAAATTACTCTGATGTCATTCGGTAAGATAATTCAATTCATCAAACATTTTTTTATGGCTGGTTGTCATGCTTTCAAAAGTGAGGTTCTGTTATTGTCGCTGGAAAAGTTAGGGCAATCTTTTTTCGCTGTCATAATGACACGCGGCTTATGGGATTTTTCATACATGAATTAAATTGTCATTGTGAATGACTCTTCACCTCTCAAGAACGATAGAAATATATCATGGCTGCATTGAGGAGTACCATTGATGGAATCAACGTTACCTTGGTAACTCAGTCAACGTTAGAGAGGCTCGCTTTCGTTATAATAGATTATTAATGTGTATTCTGAATAACTTCCCAACATTCTGTCTCTCATTGTTGACTCAATTGTATTGTCGTACAGCAACACTCTTCTCTAATTGTAATCTAGAATAATTATACATTGTTTTCTATGAACCCAACATAAAATTTTGTAATATAATTACGTTATGAATTATCACTTTCCCTCACGTTTTCTAATCAAGGCCACCTTCTTTATGAATATCAGTTCTACCACCACTTTCGAATTAAATCGACTAAAGAGTCTTACAATATTCAGGAACGAAATTATCCGGATAGCACCAGCACCTGAATCAACTGTCATTTACGTCTAGGGAGCAGGCTGTTAAAACTGAAGACCAATCAAAATATTCGAAAGTTGATCTTGCGTGGCGATCATCAGAATGCCTTCTGTATAAATCTGTTTTGTACATAATTTCACCAGAAATACAATAGACACAAGCCTATTTCATTTTTATTTCGGGGGATTGAAAAAATACTGATTGATTGAAAAAAAAAAACAGTGGGGGCATTTACTGTAGAGGCCAATAGTGGTTTGCTATTGTAATGATGTTTTTGTTTAGGATCGATCGTCCGGATATTTTCTGTAGACTTGCTAACAAATTCAAATTTACCGCCATATGCAGTGGGCTGCTACCTAGACGCTTGTAAAAATATGCTTCCTTGGAAGAAGTTTCATTTAGGCTGAGTTATGTTGAATCGTTTAGAGAAAGTTCAAATACCAAAAAGGATATTTTCTGAAAAATATACTTTCTATGTCCATTCCAACTAAGGACACTGCATTGGAAACCATAGGGAAGCGTTGACCTTCGCTTTGATTGGTTAATATTGGAAACTACACTTGCTTGATACTATGACTTACTACATGGCGTACAGGTTGAAGTTTTTTTATGAGAATATGTTCACATCATCAAATTGCAATTATTTGTCGTATTATATAAATCCTGATATTAAACTAGAATTCAAAGAGAAATTCAGTCATTAGAATGACCATGATTTAGAATTAGGCATCATATATGTATTTCGTCAGTGTAAACATTCCTTCAGAATCAGCACTACTTACTATCTTTTTATTTGGAATATAAACTGCCCCATATTTGAAGTGAAACAAGCAAACATTTTTATCACTTTCGAAACGTCCTAACTTTGGATTGGATCAACCAAATTTCAATTTCATTCAGGCCGAGATAGGTTAGATTGTTGAGAAAAAGTAGTCTCCCTTCTTATGCAGAAAGGATATATTCCTTCCTTATATCAAAGAATAGTAGGTTAGTCACCAAGAAGCTCCACTTCAAATGCGCGGGAAAACTGACAAATGACCTTGAATTTTTACTACGATCAGATGTCAGCTGTATGTTTACTTTTTGTCAACTAATTTCTTCTCAGAGATTTGGCAAATTTTTCAACAGTGACAAAAGTGGATTTAATCTGCACAAAAGCGATTATTATTTTTATACTTGTGTTTTTCTGCTAAGTTTCAGTGGAATCATCATTATTTTTCGTTTCTTGTTATCATTTTACATAACCTCAAAATATTGTGGAAATAATTTCAAGGAATTTCTTATAAATAATTCATTCTATTTCCTTCAGTAAGACTGAGCAGAATGATTCATCAGCTTATGGAAAAATAAGATGAATTGAAGATGTTCATTTAGAAGATATCCTGAGATCTGTTCCTAACCCAAAATTACAAAGAGAAATTCCACATTGCACATAGGTAAATGATGATTTATCGTTCACAAAAACAAAATATCCTCATGTCCTGCTTAAGTTTCTGATTCATTGGCAAGTCAAAATAAATTATTATTAATTTCTATTATTCCATTGACACTACAATAACACACATGTAAATAAACTATTCTAAGGTAGATTCACAATGACCACCTAATTTTGTAGAATCGTGTTGTGATTGTGTGAACATACATTTACGCGACGGCTGTCAATCTATCCACCAATGAGGATTTGATACGTTGAACGCGGATCGCTCACTTGTAAGTTGTAAGCGCGCCTTCAATACGTATGTCAGTTTCAAAAAATCAATACTTCAACCTGCTTCCAACCAATGAGCGGAGCGTAACCCATCGTGCCAGTTCATTCATATGGGTTATTTCAAGGTCATCATCTAAGTTTCACTATTTCATTCATAAATACTCCAAGTGAAAACTCTTTCCCCTCTCCTCTTTGCTTATATTACGTTAGCACACGTGTTCGGAATTCAGTGAGCCACCGATGTGTCGCGTCGCTGCTGTCAACACCGCTTCGGGTATTTTCGTTTCTGAACATTCCAAGACCCTTATGAAACGGGCCCGTGGTTGTTTACATTGAGTTCATTGGCGATTGGTCGACTGTTGCGCGCGCACAAAAAGCGACGGCGTATGAATAATTAGCGGTGCATGCATCCTACCGGGCGTCTGTATCAGGCAGCAGGCAGCCGGTTAGTGGGTGCCCTTCGGTGTGGCAGGTCCGCAGGGCACATGCACCGTGACACGCACCCGCGCTGCAACCACACAACACCAGTCACGTCACGGCCATGCCTTATAGGTGCATATTTTGATGTACCGCAACCACAAAAAGGGAATGCAATTTCATGGCGGAGATGACAGTGATAGGACAGGTATTGGGCAAACATGTCAAAGCATAGGCACAAGATTTAAAGAGCATATTGCCCTCTTCATATAGAAACGATTCGTGTATTCAAGTGTTTCTACCTTTTGAGACCTGTCAACCTATCACTTCAGATAATTTGAGACTTCATGTACATGTAACAAACAATAGGGATTCATTATTCCAGCTCTTTTAGGATTTTCTCTCCTCGTTACTATAAAATAAAAATATGACTATTATTCCAATATACGTGTAGTGAGGCCGAATCAGATGATTTGCCCCAAAATGTCACTGCGTTTAAAGAATTTTCATATCAGAGAGCCTAAAAGAAAAATTCACAAGCTTGTCAGTGACAATTTGTATTGAAAAAGGTTTGGAGAAGAGAAATAAATGTATATATAAAAAAATATCAAAGTTTTACTTATCTCCGGACGTTTCGGGAGCGAATCTGCCCCCATCATTTTCAATATAAAAAATGGATTTTTGTATGGCAAATTCGTATTCGTCTTGACACCTCTCAGTTCTCAGTGACAGTTGGTGACGTTGGCAATCAAATGGCTGTTTTCATTAATTAATCTTTCAGATTTCAGTAGTGAATTCAGAAGAATGCAAGCATAATCCTTGATTTTTCTCTTCTAGTTGTTATCTTCTTTTCCAATGATTTTAATATTATTCCACTCTGCCATATGTTGTCCATCTTCAGTAAGGATATTTTCAGCTAGTTTCGATTTGTCGATGTCTTTTCTTCATATTGTACTATGTTCCTTCGTCCTTACTGAAAGAGGTCTCTTAGTTTCACCTGTATGAAACTTTCCACAAATACAATTTTATAACGATTTTTCTTCATTTTTCGGCCTTGTTTTGAGTTAGAATTGATCTCATTGTATTTTCAGTTTTGAACACGTGTTAGTGATAAATTTCAAGTGAAAACGAAAACGAATTTGCCATACAAAAATCCATTTTTTATGTTCAAAACGGGAGCAGATTCGTTCTCGAAACGTCCAAAGATAGGTGAAAACTTGATATTTTTCTATATACCTTTATTTCTCTTCTCGAAACGAGGAGAGAAAATCCCAAAAAAATCTGTATTAATGAATGTACCACCTCGGCGATTAACCTACAGACAGCTTGGGAAATATTTACATTAATTGCTATAGAGATCACTTAATTACCCAAGATTTAGGTCCTATCCTCATCAAATTGTTCGGTATACATTGACACGATGTTCAAAGCGAAAAACATTCTTTGAACTGTGAAATGATGAGGTATAAAATAGATATCACCAAAATCAACAATCATTCTCCCTGGTCATTTCTGGAGAATATCCTGGAAGACACTTTCGTTTCTTATTCAGTTCTATTGAGCTCTCATAAATAATGTGATATGTGGGGTAGATTTCAGTACATGAAAAATGAAATAAGATTCATTTGTGGAATACAGGAAGATACTCGTGTAACTTGTCCTATGAATAAGTTGCAACATTGTGCTTTGGAAATACAATTTGACGAACTGTGTATATCAAATTGCTCAATCAAATAACAAACTCAATGTGATCACCAGAACTTCAAAATATTTCCTACCTGATCAAGGCATATTTCATTCAATCCTGATATTTCGTTTAATAAACTCTATGTTCTATTAGTTACGCTCCATTTGGTACATGTTCATAGAGATCCAAATAGAATGAAATTATATTAAATCTGATCATCTCTAATATAGTCCTGAAACTGGAAAAAACTCAATGCAATACATCAAAATATGCAAAAAAATTATATAACTATATATTTACTAATATAAAGATCACAATGAATCTTGGTGATTGCATTCTCCAAGAAAATTATCTTAAGATTTACTATTCCTGTTAGAATGATTGACTGTGTTTCTGTGTTTCTCAAAATGTCTTAAAAAAAAAGACTGAAAACGTGAGTTTCCAATGCTACGTTTCTCGATGCCCTCAAGTAGCTATTTTTTAATCTGCGTTGTACGAAAAGTGGAACATATAAAAACTAACCTGAAACTCTTGTTTGCTTTTTATTTGTGAAATGAAATGAAACTAAGAAGGAGCACTTTTCATGTTAATGGCACCCAGTTCTGTGGGTGGAAATCCCGTTTCCGACAAGCATTTCCTTAGTATTTCTATCTCCTCGAAACAACAAACACTTCACAATTCTTCTTCTTATTTTGTTACTTGCTTTTCTGGCTCCTTGCGGTACCAATTTCACCAGACCAGGCAGGTATAGGATTTGAATTGATTGGTGGAAGTTCATTAGGTTCAATGTTATTAGTCCTATTTCCCCATTAGTCAGTGTAGGTTGATATTATATTTGGGGTTGGTGTTATATAACGTCACAAGTCAATAAGAACAGGACATAGTAAGACATTATGATTCACACATTACGCCATCTAGCGGTTTTTCTGATAAAAATTTCCATTGAAATGATAGATAAGAAAATAATCAAGTTGTCGCTTCTCGAAAACATCGAGAACCTTTGACTGAGATGTTAATCCTCTGAGGATAACCTTTTCAGTTGACTAGCTATACATTAAATAATTATGCATATTCATTGTTTCAAAAGTTAGGAAACGGTCTCGTATTTCAGAAACGCCTTGGATAGGATGGATTTTGATGATGCCCAATTTGATGGTGATATTGACAATGTTGCCAAATCAATAGTTTTTCAGATATTAAAATGAAACATGCTATTTATTTTCATTGCAATCAATAATTTAGCACACTCTCATCACTATGTCTCTAAATATCACATAATGTATTAATGTGGTTGTCGAAATATGACATGACATTTTTGTTGAAATAATATAGTATTCTCAATAGGACTTCAAGAAACTTTATACAGGATGGTTCTTGATGATGCCTAATTCAATGATGATATTTTCAATGTTGCCAAATCAACAGTTTTTCAGATGTTGTCATATTTCAAAAACCACATCAAAAAAATCTTATATTTGGAGACATAAGTAATGAGGGGGCGCTGAATTTATTGCAATGGAAATAAATAGCGTGTTCCATTTGAAAAACTTGAGTATGAGAATATATAATTTCAATTTTGTATTCATTTGACTTCCTAATCCTGTAAGAATAAAATGAAATTTCATTTTTAAAATGAATTAAATGAAAGCAAACAACGGAAAATATTTCAAATAATGCGAGCGCTTCCCATTAGCCAACATAAGCTAGAAAGAGATAGGTATCAGTAACCACTGCGGGTTGCCTGAACAAAATTTTTGCCTCACTTGTCGTCCAGGTGTTTATATTGAGTTCATTGGGTTAACTATTGAAAATATGAGCAAGAACAACTTCTTGGACACTTTGTTTTTCATACTTATTATAATTGATATTGACAAAAGACAATGCAAACGACAAATGGCAAATGACACTCAATTTGACTGTAACCGCTGCCAACAGATCGCACAACAGAACGTCTAATACTTTCCAACACGATGAATTGAGAACCTCATGAAAACTATTATAAAAAGGTGAATAATCAACATCAAACTCAACTTGACACAAATACACTAAAATATTTTGAATAAACAGCGAGGCACGATATTCATAACAGATTTTATTTTAATACTACCGAAGAATCATGATATATGAGGGCTAGATTTATAGGAAAATATTATATTCAATATGTCCGCAAAATGCGAAATTCTCTAAAACAACATTATGATAACAAGAAGTTTCATTTTGCGAAATAGTCAAATGAATAAGTTTATCTCAAAGAGGCGAAAATCAGAAACGCCACATTGGAAACTCACCATCATCGTCCAAACAAAATAAAATCGAAAAACCCAGTAGTTATATCTAATTAAAAAAAAAAGTTATGGGTTGCAGGAAAAATACCTACAAACTACAACGAGCAAAAATAGAAAATAGTAACATTTAACTACTACACAAAACCGATTTCCTCATGACCGCAAACGGGTCCGTTTCACAACAACAAAATCTACAACAGACAATATTTCTAGTTACCTCCGGTGGGACGTTGAACAGGAGCGTTGGCATTGTTGAAGACGCTGTCGATGTCGGTAGCTAAGTCTCTGCTGACACTCCTTCGCCACGGTACCCCGAAACTGTTTCCGGTCGACGTTTTCGATATGGGGCGATCTCTGTTCAAAGTTCTTCCGAAAGAAGAATGCCTACAAGGGAGAACAGTATTACATGGCGCATTTTTTTCAAAGAACATCTGGCAGTCCCTGAATCTTGTCGAGATTTCAAATGAACTATCTGGGTACTGAAAATGAAGATTGATTCTTTCTCATATACATTCTATTATAACGGGTGATTCTTCAAGATGGCTCACCCCTATAACTTTTTGATTGTTGAAGATTAAATAACGACATTTGTGGTGTGTGTATACAGGGTGTTACATAATTCAATACAAATATTTCAATGACATATTCCTGGGGTCAAAATAGGACTTTTTTTTCCTATAAACATGTGTCCTAAAATCCACCCCCTCCAAGCTTCAGACATCGCAAGATGCGCAAAAAAAATCTTAAATTTTGAATTGTGGCTACAATTATGCATCAAATATTTTGAAAATTCACAGGCACTTGTATTTTTAGACGATCTATTCATTTCTTGATTCAAAAATAAGGTAACTCGAATCGAAAGGGGTGAATGAGGGTTGCATACAGATTTGATGGCAAACATTTTCTATTTCCTCCAAAAAAATTTGAATTCAAACATCATCGTTGAATTGGCCACTAAAAAATCATACATTTCAGTCTCTTGCATTTTCTTGAATTAGCTAACCGTTTTAGAGAAAATCGCTAGTAAATGAAAGGGGTGTATTTTTAAATTATTATACTGAAAAAATTTAGTGAGCTATGATTATGTTTGTCTCTGGTAACTAATGATTAATTAATATCTTTTATGCCAAACTGACATTGTGGTATGTCATAACCGTCATGTTACAATCGATTCACTTTCCTCAACTTACCATTACACGCGATGTCTGTAGCTTGGAGGGGGTGGATTTTAGGACACATGTTTATAGGAAAAAAAAAGTCTTATTTTGACCCCAGGAATATGTCATTAAAATATTTGTATTGAATTATGTAACACCCTGTATATTGTGGCATATTTACTTGCTTCATCTTACTTCCGTTTTGACAGGAAATTACCCCAATTTATGATTTTTAAATGGAACTTGTTTGTACTTATTTCGATAGAAATTACATTCTAAATCTAACGATACCTCACTTGTCAATATTTGACGAATATAGTAATTTTCCTAACAAGTGCGAAAACAATATTTTTCTACAAGCGTAGGAAATTTATTGATTTGTTCGATCAATTATTCCTGCAAATAGGCACAACTAACAATAGTGATATATCTATTATGTGTACCGTTTGAAGCATTATGTAGGAAAGCTTATTGCGGAAGCCAGCATGCCCATGGTGTTTGGCCTCAATGTTTCAGACATTTCTAGGAAATGAGCCAAAAATACTTCTTCTTTGATTGGTGTTTCCACTTTTTTACTATTGCACCATTCAATAAATTCCGAGTAGTGCTTCTCATACCTTTCTTAAGACCTCGTTGGCAATAACTCATCTGAATCGCATCTGTAGCTGAAAGTTTTTCATCGCAATTCCACTGGATCGGAAATGACAGTAACGCTCTGTCTGTCACTCTGAGAATTATACTTACTAATTTCTGTTTTGATTGTCATGACAACAATTGTTTCCCACATCAGATCAATTAGAGGCTATAGGAGGATTTATATAACAATCAATTATTATTTTTCAATATTTCTTCATTTTCACAATGAATAGTGCAATTTGATGGATGACTTTGTACAAACTTACTAAATACTGCAACAAAAAAAAAACTAAAATTTTCATATTGTGTCACCCACCACTCATATTTTGCGAGACTATTATATAAATGTTTTTGCCGCACTAGTGTGGGAAACATTTTCTCGCACTACTGCTGGATCGTGTTAATCGCTTCACTCTTGATCAAATAACATGGAAAAATCACGGCTTTCAGGCTTATGACCTCACAGCCGTTTGGAGAATTGTTGAAAAGTCGCAAATATGATTTTTTTTAGTCAGCTTGATTTTTTAAAATGAAAAGGGAGTGGCTCGTTGGTTCTTTGTGACAGATCTATTTCTTACGGATAATTTGAATGTCATTCTCGATCGAAATAAGTAAAAATATATAGGATTTTCCATTTAAAAATCAAAAGTTGGTTTCATTTCCGGTCAAATTGGAAGTACAGCGGAGCAGGTGAATATGTCAAATACTGTAAAATGAACTATAATACACAACCCTCAAATTTCGTTTTTCTATCTTAAATAATGAAAAAGTTATAGGCCACCTTGGAGAATCACCCAGTATATCAAGTCGGCACCACTATTGCCAACTTCGTTATCATATGAAGAGTATATCATACACCTATGGTGAGAAGTGAGCTATACCAATAAGGATATAAAATATAATGTGCGAGGTATATGCATAATAGCATTCCAACCCACTACTAGCTTTGCAACACACCATTATCTATGCTATCTTCGACCATAGAAATCTTTTTTCTCTGCTATTTACTTGTTAATAATCAAATTTACACATAATAATGTATATCCTTCCTGAAATCGACTGAATTTGATTTTCATTCGAAATGTCACTAATCTGACAGCTCTTCACAACTTTCAATGACAACATCAGATATTCACGATAGAAATTAAGCGCACGCCAACTAGCGGGGTTTGAAGCTGTCAAAGCGGTATGTTTACTCGGTTGACATTGGTTTAACATTATTTGTAAAAATTATAATTGAATCTAAACAATTTTGAAAAAATTTGTAAAATTGAACATTGTCGTCGTCATATCCATATATAATTTAGGAAATTTTCTACGAACTATAAAGTAATAGGGAGCTTCGCCATACGACATCCACATTGGATAAGATATTTCGAGAACACAACAGTCAAATCATTTTTCTTTCTTCACCAACGTGATCACTATGAAAAATACCACTAGTTTGGCTGTAGCTTCAATGATAAGGGAGTGGGCAATAGTACCGACTTTATAAAAAAGGGCTAAATTCTACATCGTCTCAAATTAAGTTATTTCATCAGTGACAGCAATACAATATGAAAATAATATTGAGAATACGAATTCGAGTCTGATAATCGTGTTGTTTTCTAATGAACGTGATTTTCTAAGTTGCTATGAATCTACTGAACTTACATTAGTTTTTCAACATCTCTTCTATATGTAATTATACATTGAGTGCTTGTAAAGAGGATTGAACAATATTGAGTATTCAAAAAGTTTGCAGTCTGTACCTTCCCACAATGTATAAAAGTATTCAACGGCATTGAAGTATTTGAGACAAGAAGATGAACAAATTCAGTATTTCTTTCAGAGTAGTTTGGATTTGAGAGCCCAAATTATCTTACAGGCCGAATGGCCGAATATTGTTCATCAGGAGGGTGCAGCTTCTCAACAATATTTTTAGGAAGACTACTTGTTAAACAAAATAATGAAACACGAAATTAACATGTCCGAATATTTTTGCATCGGTTGAATCCATGTTGAATCAGGCCAACTAAGAAAATGTGTTTCTGTTTTGGATCAAAGTTGAATGTTTATAGTAAGAATACCTGGTGAATATCATACCTGAACATCTGGGATTAATAAGGCATGCATTCAAATATTATAAAGTTTATAAATAGCCCAAGAGCCGGCTGCAAATTTCGACAGCCATCTGATAACGAAATGAGATATGCCCCAAAGGCATGTGAAAACATTGTATTATATTGAACGTCACCTGTGTCAATCACTATCCTGAGCAAGATGATTTAAAACTGGCACATTTTTGTGAGGTAATATGCACTAAATTTCGGATTGCATTGTAGATCTCAAAACCCTATCTGTACCAGTGTACCACCCCTTAATCAGAGTCAAATTCACGGCACAAAGATTTTATGCTACCGTTATTCCGGACACCCTTCCGTAACGTGATATCGAATTGAAAAAAAAGTTTAATAAAACGGTAGTCTATTTCGAACTGATCTAAGTTAGTGGCATAACATCAATATTTCTCAAAATATTTCGTCCTTGTTGAAAGATAATATCCATAGTGTTAGCGACTATGTTCAAATCACCCCGTGATTGAGAAGAACGCCTAAGGAATGCCTTATGATCGAAGATTGAAGCAGGTTTAGTCATTAGCTCGTAGCATCAGAACGAACCACTTGTCGATGTTGTTTTTTTATGAACGGTCATCTTTGTACAAGCCGTCCTGAGTGAATAAAAATGTGTTTGAGTGTTGAAATTGTGTCCATCTACGAAGAGATGGGACATAACATTTTACTCATTAAACACTAATTGTATACAATCATACATGCTTCTGAAGTTTCAAAACAGGTTAGAAAGAGATGGCTTCAAAAAATGGCAACGCTGTAAACTTTGCGTCAATTTTTACACTTTCTTCATCAGTCGCGTAGGTTGAGCGAGAGACTAGACAATTTTACTACAATGATAACGCTGTTATACCTATTAGAAAATGTTTCGGTCTAATCTTCGATTTTTATTCCAAATATGCGTAGTATCTTAAGGTACTTACCTAATTTTGATTCATCATTCAGTGGAATTTGAACAAAAAAAAAACAAGATTTCTTGCAATAATTTAGTTAAATAACGTGCGATAACTACACCACTGCTCAAGTTAAAATAAATATATGACTTTGGGGTGTGTATGGTGAACTTTTTCCCCATCCACGAACTGGCGGACCATAATAAGACTTTTAATAATTGTCTTCATATAGTTTCATAACCAGAAAACACAGAAAACCAATTGGAACACAAAAAAGTCCATAAATTGTAACAAACACAGCACATCAACGCTGTAACATCGGATTTTGACATAAGAGAAAGCCTAAAAGAAAGTTATGCGTAACCCGTAGTAAACACGCGAATACAGTGTTGCCATACTAATTTCCATAATAAATTATAATGTAATGATGAAATTAGTATAATTTAAATTATTTCAATAGCATAATCCACATAGTTCCATTACGGAACAAACATATAGAATGAATATACATACAAAATGTATATTATATAATATTGCATGATAAATGCTTTCCTTGTTCTCAAACATAGGCGGTAGATCTAGGACAATCCGCAGGCATTTGTCATCATCGATTTCTGCGATGTGGGATCGGGACAAAATGTAAACAATTTCGTCTCCCCTCTTTCTATACGTCTACGGCAATATCCAATGAACTAGATCATCGTACCGATGGGTAGACTATCAACATTACATTACAGGCTTTTAAAACGTATTTTTACTGATAAACAACTGAAGTTTGATTTAATTTGACTTGGAAAAATGCAATATGCAATGGTAAAACTGAAATCCAATTTCTGGTACACTGTTAATCATCATGTATTGAAGTAAACACAAGTTTAATAAGTGATTCAACAATAACAATAAATATATAACACTTTTTGAGGGGTATAAGGGATAATAAAAACCGCTTACAGCCATCATTTTACTGAAATACAGAGCTTCCTACATATCGTTAATCTGAGTAACTTTAGCCTGTACGTCCGATTTTGAAAATGTGGGAAGGTACCTACACCAATGTTGTTGAAAAATGCTGGAAAGCATATAACTCACCTCGAGAGTGGGTGATCCATCCTGTTCCAGAAATTCGTGCCCTGATCGAAGTGACTCAATAATCGACTAGAAGGAAAGCCCGGTCTCACTCCATCATCGACGTTCAGCCTTTGGGTCAAGTCTCTAACCTTAAAAGGAATTGAATCTTATTTTTTTATATCCTGCGTCTTTCATGAAATCAGTTTAAATAACTCAGAAAAACGGTAATGATGAAGATCATCTTGTGAAAGAAATCAAGTAGGCGGTGTCTCCACGGTTCTATAAGCTTTTTGTGGTGCTGAAACCGTTTTCAGTTTTTTGCCCGTAACTATACATTTTATCAAAAAAACCTCCTCATAAAAAGTTTAAATAGACCAAATTTCCTATATATTATTATATAGGGAGTGATTTTTTCACCGAGGTCTCAATCTGCCTACTCCTCAGTTAATACAGGGTGTAAATTTGAAAACTTTCAATGCGAATATCTCGCGAAATAAAAAAGTTAGAAAAACGCCGCTTGGCAAAAATGCTAAAGAGTTAAGGGGAACTAGAACCACCATATTTCAGTGAAGGGATGAGTCACCCTGTCAGCGCAACACACCCCAACTTCAAAATGTCAAACGGCACTACCTCTTTTGTGATACCTCAAATGAACGGTCTCAGTCAGTAGTATTCACCTGTACAAGACTTTTTTTCCACCCACTACAGGGTGAACGGAAAACATAAAGTCGAATGAAATAAAATGCAGAATGCCGATATATTGATTGATTGTCTTTATTACCCCAAGAAACATTTCTGTTCATGATAGGGATACATAAATACATATAAAAAAATAATAATAAAGGGTTAACTATAATGAATTCCACTCAGTGGAAACGAATTAATATTGTGTCTTATAAGATTAAAGTTATATTTCATTCCTAAGTAATCGAATCATGCCACCTATTTTTCTTTCAAATTGTCCTGAGCAAGTATTTTTTAAGATTGATTTTAAACCTTCTTGCATCATGTATATTTTTCAACTCATTCGGTAATGAATTGTATAAAATTATTCCATTGTGAAAAACAGATTGTTTGCCAATGTTTGACTTGAATGTATTTGCTATCAAGTAATTCAATTGTCTAGTCCCATAATTATGGACTGTATTCCAAGAGATGTGTTCCAAAATGTTAGAATGACATTTGAACATTGATTATACTATTGCTTACAACAGAATGGAATGCATTTTGAACATCTGATCAAATAAAATATCCTTTTAACACAATTCATTTTATTCGACTTTATATTTTTCGTACACCCTGTAGTGGGTGGAAAAAAAGTCTTGTACAGGTGAATACTACTGACTGAGACTGTTCATTTGAGGCATCACAAAAAAGGTAGTGCCATTTGACATTTCAAAGTTGGGGTGTGTCGCGCCGACGGGGTGACTCATCCCTTGAGCGAAATATGGTGGTTCTAGTTCCCCTTTTCTCTTCAGCATTTTTGCCAAACGGCGTTTTTCTAACTTTTTTCTTCCGCGAGATATTCGCATTGGAAGTTTTCAAATTTACACCCTGTATAATAATAATAATATCACGGAAGGTGTGTGACTTGACGCCGGGGTTGGTTCTCTCTGGGGTCTCAATCTACCTACTCCTTCGAGAGAACTGAGAATGTGTGGGTGATGGAACGGTATTTATAGTGGATGTGGTGGTCAGTGAAGCGGATCTAGGGGCGTGGTTTGTTATGGCGCAGGGTGTGGAAAGGCGGGAAATGAGAGGTTTCCAAGTGCTAGAAAGTCTGCGGTCGTCGTCGCGAGTATTGAGGCAATCAGGTCGCTTCTCTATCTCAAAGGCTTCGCGGATTATCCTTGTATGCAGGGTTCTTTCGGTGGCGATTGTTTTGGCGTTTTCGAAATCTATTGAGTGGCCTGTTTCTTCGTAATGGTTGAAGAGTGCCGGGGAAGGGTCTGATTTTCGGACTGCAAGTTGAAGTTCGTAAACTCTGCTGGTAACGCGTCTATTTGTTTGGCCAATATATGTTCTTGGGCACACTGAACAAGGTATTTCATAATTATATGCCCTGAGAATCATTTGATATTGTGTCCTTGGGGGTTCTGAGGAATTTTGAAACTTGGTTGTTGGCCGTGAAAATAGTTTTGATATCATGTTTTCTCAGTCAGTTACGCCTTTGAGAAATGGCAAGAAAACTTCATGTGACTGAATGATTTAAGTTTGCCCAACTCTTGAGAAGATCACAATGCTCAAAATCATTGTGAATTTTTTGGGACATCAAAATGAAAAATGACCAGTTTTCTCGAAAACGGTTCGTTTTACGGCATTCCAACGGGAATGCTTTTTTCATGTAGAAGTGTTTCAAGCATCATAGCTGGTAGTAGAATTGGGATAAATCTTGAAACAAAAAAAAGTTGGGGCATTTTCATAGCATCGGTTACGAGTTTCGTACGTCCATGTATATTAAATCATGTCTTTTGTAGCACAAAACGATTCCTAAGATCAAATCACACCTAGGTACCAAATTTCCTGTTTCTAGAAGGAAACTGCTACCTTCAAAGAGCTCTAGTGCCCTTAAGGAAGCTTTTTAGGACCCATCTTGATAGTATCATTTATTCTTATTTTCATCTGCAGAATTACTTATCAGAGTATAGGAGAGTTAATCTGGACCACCCTGTATAATGAGCCAATTGAAACAAAAAAATGCCGAATCACAAATGTGTATTCTCACCCGAGACAGAAGAGTAGAAAACAGGTTTTCAGCAGTCAATATTTCGAAGCCGTCATCATCGTCTTCTTCACCAGAACTCAAGGAATCTGCATGTTCAAGATTAGACTTTTTGGGCCGGGTGCTCCTATAAAATAGAAATGACGATCAAATAAATCTGATGATAGGTTGATTTTCTTCAGGAGTTGTTAAATATACCTAAGCCTGTGCATGTGGAAAACGTCTCTCTTGGAATCCTCGTTGTCGCTTTCTTTGCCAGTGGAACCGTGACGGCGTAAGGTTGAAAATGGAGAAGATTCATCTTCCGACTCTCTATCGCCGAAGAGAGAACTGAAACAAATATTTCTTTCTGTGACGGGAGTACTTTGAAAATTCATTTCTGTTGACAGGTTATAAAGTGTTACTTTTCATAAAGAATTTTTTTCCCAGTGAGTACTTTTTTTCCCAGATATATATCACATTGTTGGTGGTTTTTGTTGTGCTATAGTTCCGCTAGTCATCGGATCCTTTTTCTCAATAATTGTTTTTTCCGTGCAGTGTTAAACAATATAGGATGTAATCATGGCCTTGTTTTTATAAGCTTTTGATTTATGGTGAGTGTCGCCAAAGTACAGCAGAAGCAGTTTGTACACGGAAAGATTACTGTCCAGAAATCATCCGCGAAAGTGGATCATTGATAAGAGTCCGAAAAATGTTTAAGGTTGAGATAACAAATGAATATCTTAGTTTGGAAAAGAGGCCACTAGCTTGCTGAAAATGTATCGGACTGAACAGACAATCGGGTCGATTCTGTTCGGTTCTTGTTATAACATTGCTTAGATAATAATATTGTTATGATCATAACATATAACAATATTGCTATAAAGTTCTGTATTCTGTTCGCAGAGTAAGTGAAGGATTGGTTGTTATAAGTTCAAGTGATAGCAATATTCTTGAAAAATTGATTTTTGAGCAGCCAACACTGTTCTCAACTCATTTGTTAAGTGTCGATTTTGCCATTATATTATGAAGAAGAAGAGTTCATGATTATCTGACCTCTCAAATTAGTCTGTCCTGCACTGACATTTTACAAAATTATATTGCTCAGATTGACAGATTTTGTATTTGCTGAATCTGGTCATCGTTGTGCGACTGGTGCAAGTAATCAATCATGTCCCCGAAATAAGAAAACAACCGAAAGCTGGATGAAAATGATCGTCATTTTTTTTTTTTTTTTAGAGAACCTGATTCAAATAACTATCCACCAGGTAGCTCAAATGGTTTGCAGGTTTCTCTGATGATATGCCGAAATTGTAGTCTCATATTCCCTCTACAAATTGGAACTTCAAGAAAAGGTTTTCAAGTAGTTGGTCCCACAAGTGAACGTTTCCTATATGTTTTTAATGACCATTCTAAATTTTTCAATAATTCCTCCACAAATTGAAATTTCAAGGAAAGGTTTTCAAGTAGTTAGTTACACAAGTGAACTCTCATATGTTTTTAATCACCTATTTTCTCAATTTTCAAACACTTGGAACAAATTGTACTGCAAAAGAATCCACTACTTGTTATGAGAAAGCACAAGCACAAAATTGATGTTGCCGAAAAATGCATTGAAAAAAAAATTGGGGGAAGAAATGTCCCTAGGCCCACCCATTTCCCACGTCCCTGATCAAAATTTCGTTATCTCAACACAAAGGATTTCGGAAATATTTACAAGAAACCATCATCTCGGACCCTCTTTCTGATGGCTATATAACTCCGCAGGGGCCCATTTCTGGGCTCATGTATATATGAACTGTTTCCACTATTTTTGTTCCTTGAATCTGTGGTTGAAATCTTTCTATGTTTAATAAAATGCTATAAAAAGTCATTCAATTTTGTACAAAAAAGATCCTCCTGTTGATACCCGATAGGACGCTCCGTTTTCGAGCAAAAAACGAGAAGACGAGATCAAACTTCAAATTTTGATCTATGGAAGACTGGAACCTTTGGCACGATAATAAACTACACTGTTTTACCACTAACCAAACCGATTTTTTGAACGCCTCGACACTTGTTTCGCTAACTATGTTAGCATCTTCAGGAAAAGATTAAAACTAAATATCCTATTCTAGTGTGCTGCTTATATACTAGGTATGTTCCTCCAACCGTGAAAAATACTAACCGTCAAGTTAATGTTTGTCATGGTTGAGTTCGCATGTTAATCTTAATTTTTATATTACTAAACTATATAGAGGGCTATATGGAATAGGTCCATTATCCTTATTCACTACTCTATTACTATTCTTAAATATAGCTAAGCTTTCATAGGCGTCTAGTATGCAAATATTATTAACTTGCTTAACTAATTTGGGGTTAGTAATATGTGTGTTATGATTGTGATTGAACATATGATCGGCTACACAAGATTTATCTAACCTGCCATATTTCAAATGGGCCATGTGTTCTTTGAACCTTGTTTTTATGGGTCGCCTGGTTTGGCCTATATATGTTATATGTAATGATTGTGATAATGGTGCTGCAGAAATTTGACATCATTTATGAATATAGCATTAGGCGAGTACATCATTGACAAATTATATCTCCTGTAGAGGTCATCATTCTATGATAATTTTGAGACACTCACTTCATCCTCCTCGACCTGCCGAAGCGACTCTTGCTCCTGTTCGTCATTGTACTCGCCGCGCTGCCCGACTCGCTCGGTTCCAGACTGCCCGCCCTAGGGGTGACGTACCCCCCGCCCTCGACAGCGATGGGGATGATGTACTCCCTGGGCGACTTCTTGATAGGTTCCCCGCCTGACGAGGCCACGGTCTCCGTGTCGGAGTCCTGAGTGGACTGTCTCGACAAGTTGGATCTAGAAGTTCATTAGAAAGCCATCAAAATAGACTCCTCAATAGACTCAAGAATAATAAAGACAATACTTCTGAATTCGAAAAATCAGGGGTATACAAACTCAACTGTGGATCTTGTCCTAAGGTATATATCGGTCAGACAGGTCGTACGTTTAATCAGCGCATTCATGAACATAAGATGAATTTTATGAAAAAGAAAACAAATTCAACATACGCCAACCATATATTAGAAGAAAACCATAGTTTTGATGATCGATTCTACATACAGTTATGTTTTCTGTTTGGACAGTAACTGCAAGTTTGGTTATAATTTCAAATGACTGCAATATTGTTGAAAAATTACAAATTTTTGACTAATTTTAACTCCTTCGACGACTTCTTGATAGCCCCCCCCCCTGAACGAGGCAACGGTCTCTGTGTCGGAGTCCTAGGTGGATTGTCTCGAAAAGTTGGATATAGAAGTTTATTAGAAATTCCTCAAAAAATACCCCTGTTATTGGAATTTACTGTTTTTTGCTTCATGCATAGCCAACACAATGAAAATTATTTTAGGTTATAACCCTGACAACGTTGACATTTAAAACGAAATAGGAATCCTGTGATATAGAACTTACTGTCTTTGATATTCGGTGATTCAAAGAAACTTTGCTATTTTCGGAAGCTTGGAATATGAACGTACCAGAACCACAGAATCGAGGCGATTCTACATAGAATTATGTATTCTGTTTTGACAGTAACTTCAAGTTTGGTTATAAGTTGAGATGACTGCAATATTGTTGAAAAATTACAAATTTTTGACTAATATTAACCCCTTTCGACGACGTCTTGATAGCCCCCCTCCCCTGAACGAGACACTGGTCTCCGTGTCGGAGTCCTAGGTGGACTGTCTCGACAAGTTGGATCTAGAAGTTCATTAGAAAGCCATCAAAATAGACTCCTCAATAGACTCAAGAATAATAAAGACAAAACTCCTGAATTCGAAAAATCAGGGGTATACAAACTCAACTGTGGATCTTGTCCTAGGGTATATATCGGTCAGACAGGTCGTACGTTAAATCAGTGCATTCATGAACATAAGATGAATTTTATGAAAAAGAAAACAAATTCAACATACGCCAACCATATATTAGAAGAAAACCATAGTTTTGATGATAATTTCTAAATTCTACATGTAGAAAATAAAGGACTGAAACTCAATCATTTTGAATCATTAGAAGTGCTGTTTTCGGAATATGAACGTACCAGAACCACAGAATCAAGGCGATTCTACATACAGTTATGTTTTCTGTTTGGACAGTAACTGCAAGTTTGGTTATGAGTTCAAATGACTGCAATATTGTTGAAAAATTACAAATTTTTGACTAATATTAACTCCTTCGACGACGTCTTGATAGCCCCCCCCCTGAACGAGACACTGGTCTCCGTGTCGGAGTCCTAGGTGGACTGTCTCGAAAAGTTGGATCTAGAAGTTCATTAGAAATCCCTCAAAATATACTCTTGTTATTGGAATTTACTGTTTTTTGCTTCATGCATAGCCAACACAATGAATATTATTTTAGGTTATAACCCTGACAACTTTGACATTTAAAACGAAATAGGAATCGTGTGATATAGAAGTAACTGTCTTTGACATACAATTTTTCAAAGAAACTTTGCTATTTTCGGAAGTTCGGAATATGAACGTAGAAGAACCACAGAATCGAGTCGATTCTGCATACAATTATGTTTTCTGTTTGGACAGTAACTGCAAGATTGGTTATAAGTTCAAATGACTGCAATATTGTTGAAAAATTACGAATTTTTGACTAATATTAATTCCTTCGACGAGTTCTTGATAGGTCCCCCCCTCCGGACGAGGCGACGGTCGGAGTCCTGGGAGAAATGTCTCGACTTCGGGAATATGAATATCGGGATTAAAAAAAAATCATCAAAATAATACGTTTCCAATTTTTTTTTCACTAATGAGGCAATTTTGGGTAACAATGTATAGAAACTTTTTCGTTAGTCGTCTTGTTTTCTATCGCATTTTGTACGAAAAACATACACTTGTCAGTCATTTTTTTTTTCAATAAACTTAGAATTATTTCGCGTCATGACGTCATACTATTTTTTCTTTGTTTTTCGTGATACGGTGTTCGGACTTTCTCCATGTGGTAGGCCGTTGCGAAAGTCGACTGGGGTTGCTGCGGTATTTTCCGATTTAGATTTATGTAGGTGTACTTTTTTGTTAGTCGTCTCGCTTCCTATCAAATTCCGTATGAAAAACATACTCTTGTCACTCTTTTTTTTTTCAATGAACTTTATAAGATTCTCGTATTGAATATACATTTTTCGTGGAAACTAGCGGTTGATGTGATTTCGAACTGCATGTGTGAAGAGTGGATATCGTTAACGAAATCATGAATAAATGTGGATATTTTGGAAATAATGGTATTCTTTGGATTCTGAAGTGTTAAGCAATAAATAAATTGGTAATTCTAGCTGGTATAGTACATCATGGTATTTCAGGTAGTGAGATGTACATGGATCATTCTCAGGAATATATTGTACGACAGTATAACGAAACGGTCGACTTTTCCCGCACGAAAACACGTCAGGTACCCTTGCGAGGGGAGTGTACCGGCTTTGGTGACAATAATCCCTCTCTGCAAAGGAGGTTGTTGCCGTGGTAAAGCCAGGTATAAATAGTGTTGTTCGTTTGTTTCATATAACATGTTCAGGGGAAAATGTTGCCTGAAGGCTATCAAAGAACCGTATTTCCTTTGATAAATCTACCTCAAGTGTATGTGTTGCGCCTCCAAATTCCATGGGTCCTATATACAGCTATGAATTACTGAATGGAGGACCTGCTTTATTTTGCGATAGCGCTTTTTTATTTTTCTGGAGTTGAATGAAGATATTGATACTTTGTTGGTGCGAAGTCATCAGGTGTGAAACAGAGACACGTTTTGATTTTGAGAGGGTCTTTCACATCATTTTATGAAATGAACTGATAATTTCAGCTGGTATAGTACATCATGGTATTTCAGGAATATATTGTACGACAATATAACGAAACGGTCGACTCTTCCCGCACGGAAACACGTCAGGTACCCTTGCGAGGGGATTTCAACTCCTTACATCATTAGAATATCCTAATAATAACATATACGGTTCCACCATTTATCATGATCTCATTCTATTGCAGCCGCCCCTATTGACCAGTCGTGTCTTCAGAGCTCATCTGATGAAAAACTGATTGTTATTTGAATTATTTGAAAGTACAAAAGTTACAAGCTATGAAATGCGTCTTTTTCTTTATGCATAGCCAACCTCGGGTGATCCTGAAGACGTTGATATTTCGAATGAAATAGGAATGCTGTGACGTGTTACATAAAAGTTACTGTCAGGGAAAAATACCATAAGTGCTCGCAATGCTATCGAAAGTTATCAGAAATCAACGAGATCAAACTACTTGGCACACAATTTTTTACTGTTTCTCATATCTCTTCAATATCTTCCAATATCGGAACATGAAAGTATCAGAACCACATAATAAAAAATAACAAAATACATGACCAATTTTTCGATGTTGTACTTTTTGGATATCACAAAAATGGATAAATAATGCTTTGAAGTATTTCCAGTTCACCAATTAGAACAGTTCCTAGTCAAAAATTGACTGGATCTACACTCACCTTTGAGAAACGTCCGATCTCTGAGTCTGGAAAGGTTTAGGCATAGGAGGCTTTGCTGGAGGAGATTGCACAGACTCTGGTGTGGAATCTCCCCTTTCAAATGATATCGGTATGATTCTTTCTTTAGAAGTCCCTTTCATCAAACGATTTTGATCTGATGAAACACTCCTGCAAACATAGAAAATGTGAAAAATAAATAACAAATACTTCTTGTGAAAGTGCAAAATGGAGCACCAAAATCAGACAAACAACAAACCCACAACTAATTTTAATTATTCATTTTGACAAATATTCCATTGAAACAAATGAGCTCTTGATGTTTTCAGTAAACTAGGGCCATTGACAGGAAGACAAATTTTGGGTCAGACTGAACATTTGAGGTTAAACAAGCGGATTTTTAGAATCATCATAGCTAAGAGGGGGTCAACCTCAGAGTAACTAATTAAAGAGTTATTTATTTTGCTTATTTCTTCTGCGGAAAAGGCATCACATTCTAAGGACCTCTGTGGAACCGTTGCCAAATCGCCCTAGAACAACCTTCAGAACATAACAATACACCCATAACAACATAATTGTATTCCCGGTTAATAATTATAAACCTATTAGTTATTGTAAAGTAAATACATAACAAAATAAAAAATATGAACGCACAAAGGGCTTCTACATAAACTTTTCCATCTCAATTGCCCAATATATCTCATTTGGATAATAAAAGACTACCTTGAAAACAGGCAGAACAGAATAAAAATCAACTCAGTATTCTCAGACCCCTTTAGTCTTTCACAGGGAGTACCACAGGGCTCACCTGTAGCTCCTTTTCTGTACAATATATAATTTGCAAAAGATACCACCTTGATGAACATGGCAATAACATGCAGAGAATGATGGAAAAATTACAAGATATGGTTAGCAGGTTATCAGAATGGTTCTGCGAATGGAGGCTAACACCCAACCCAAGGAAATGCAAATTAATCATTTTCAACCATAAAATAGTGGACAGTTCACCAACCATCAACATCCTCAATGAAACAATTAATCCTATATCAGAAACCCGCTACCTAGGGGTTATGATCGATAACAAATTGAACTTCAAGAAACAACTGCAATCAACAAAGAAGAAAGTCATTGCCAGAGCCAAACATTTTCGTGGATTGACATTCTAAAATAAAGGTATCAACATCAGGACAGCTACCTCAATTTACAAGACTATATGCCGACCCCTAATCGAATATAGATTCATTCTATTCAGCACCTGCAGGAAAACAGCATTGAGAAATTCAGAAGTAGCAGAAAGAAGTTGCCTAAGAATTATTACGAAAATTCGTCATCCGGACAATCCCTTACACAACCCTTACAACACCTTACTCTATAATTCAACAAAAGTCGAACCCATCCTTCAACGTTTCCACCGACTCAGCAAGTCATTCGCAAAATCTAACTACAATATCCCGATCATAACACCACAAATCATTATTTTATATATTTTGAAATGATAATGTATAAACTTGTGAATAGGCTGAAAGACTTCGGTCGATAGCCTTTTGGGTAATTTCCCAATATAATTCCCTAATAAAGAATTTTCTCTCTCTCTCTCTCTCTCTATCTCTCTCTCTATCTCTCTCTCTCTCTAAATATGAACGTGGCAGTATCGCAAAGTTTCGTAGTCGTTTTTGTTATTATTTCTGGTTTTTCGGCTGTTGTGTGATCAGTTTTCGTTGTTTCAATAACTTATTCAATAGTATCTAAAACAGACTATTATATTATATGAATATATATGATTCGGTGTCAAATATGTTAAGAAAAGTTAGTTATAAAGCTCCTAACCTGATACTCTACAGGTACGTAAAAATTTGATCCTGTGGTGATCTTGTTTGAGGACTTGCTTTTGTTAATGAAAAGATTTTAAAAAAGAGATAACATCAAATACTTATCCTCAGAAAGACGTTACAGAATGACGTATTAGTATGTTACAACACGTGAGAGTTAATTTATCAATGGAAATGCACACATTCATGGAAATCCCGATTTATTAGAAATATGCTCTGACAATTATTTCGCAGAATTATCCCCACCATTCACGCTCTCAATCATTCATAAGTGTAAGGTGTTTAGAAATGTTGGCGTATACTTCTCAATGATTTATTATCTATTATTATTTAGCCTGAGAGTTTTCCTACCTGAACCCAATCGCAGTTGTGGGAGGAGCGACAGGAACGACAACCTCAGTACCGGGATAACTTCCAACGTTGTGCGCCATCTCAGTCTTGAATCCAACTGCTGACGGTTTCGGCACCGGATAATTCAACTTTATTTCGGCTTTGGTCGTTTTCCGCCTTGGCAGGGTCGCCGATTTCAGAGTGATCTCGGCAGAGGAGGTCTTGCTATCGTCTGCGGGCATTGGTGTTTGATCCTCCACCTGCCAGTCGAAGGATTTAGTTATTGTGATGGTTCTATTTCGAATAATCCGCCAAAATTGATAGGCTAAACAACATTGGCATTGGTATTGCAAACGACTTATTGGTATCCTATATAGGTAAAAGAACGCAATGTGTAAAGCTATGCAATGTCCCAAGTGACTGTCTAAAAGTAGGATTTGGTGAACCACAGGGCACAGTACTGGGACCACTCTTATTTAATATTTACGTAAATGCACTCCTATAATTATTGTTAGAGAAAGACTGGTATCTTCTGTTTTGCCGATGATACAGCGGCCATAATGAATGGTACCACCTGAGAAACTACCATAGAAAGTGCGGAAAGAGCGGTGGCAAAAATTAAAGTGGTTAGATGGAATCCTTCTCTCCCTGAATGTAAGTTAAACAGACTGTATGTCTTTCGCTCTGTCAAATCCCTACCTACCAATATGCAAATCCTAAAATACATAAATCTCATTGCACCTTAGAACAACAATGTTCGTGCACACAAAATATTTATAGAGAGACGTGTTAAGTACTTGGGTATTTTTGTAGATGGACTCCTTACGTGGAAAGAGCACCTAAATTAAGTCACAACAAAAATTAGAAAACTAATTTATAAATTCTATGAATTACGTAAGTTCTTGTCTTATAAAACCATAAAACAATATATTTCTCACTTGTAGAGTCTATCACAAATTATTGCATTGTTGTGCGGGGAAATGCCTTCAACATATACCTATTAAAGCTTGACGTATCCCAAAAGTGGATAACAAAAATAATACTCTTTAAAAAAAGCACTATACATCTCAGTAAGTAGGCATATGAAAAAAGTAGATTATTCACTCCAAACCAACTTTACCTTAAAGCAGTTTCAAGATTTATGAGTCAAAGAATCACCCCCTTGAGTATTAGCATGTCTTTGAGGAACACCCTGTTTATGATTTTATCCACGAAGACATACCAATATTTGGGAGCGTCGTTCTTAAAATTGTAATTTAAGTGGTCTATCTCTTGAGTCTCGATCCGAATCAATGTGTTACATGATCTAAGGTTACAAAAGTGTATGCCATGGACAATTATTGACAGATGATTGACGGTATTTGATTTGAATCGGAAAGAAATTAATTTGACACTTCTGTCGTAGTTACTGTATTGTAATTGCATTGTATTTAAAGTTTTGATTCAGTAAAAGTTTGGAATATTAGTAAGAGTATGAGATCATTGGATCATTGACTTCAAAACTAGGGAAACTTTTATTAGTCTTATAGTAGTGATGGAGACACTGATTAGATACTTGTGTAGCACAGATCTTATACATATATCTCTACCAAGGAAGCAAGCTGAAGCCAATTTATTTTGCCTCCCACGGGAGGTAGTTTTTTTGTCCTCCTGTGGGAGTAAATTGACAGGTTGGTGTCCTTAAATGAGGACAAACGCTTACTTCCGATGCGGTGAGTAGATAAAGACTATTACTTGTTAAATACCTGCTTGATTTCCAACTGCTCGAATTTCTGCTTGACGAACGGTTTGGGCCCAGGTGGGGGAGACAAAGGAGACGAAGTGAGCATTCCGATGTTCCCCGAAGCCGACCGACCGCCGACCCCGAACGGCACCGGCGGCTTCCGCATCATGCAAGGCCGCGACTTGGACTTCCTCGTCCCGTCCTTGTCTTTGTCTAAGGCACTGGAGATGATGCTAACAGCGTTCCGCACTAGCTCTTTCTTCTCGTCGTCAGTCTTATTTTTAGGAACTGGCACTTTGTCCTCCTCTGGTTTTTTGTCCAGGATGAGCTTTTTGCTTAAGGCACCTTTGAGCTTTGGCGGAGAAGTGGAGGTGAGACTCGCTTTTCGTTCGAACTCCTTTTTGAAACCGTCCACGCTGACGCCTGGTATTACTATTTTCTTTGGTTTTTCGATGGCTTTCGGCTTGGGTTCGGTGGGGGTGATCATGCTTTGGAATTTTTCCGCTGCTTCGAAGATTTTCGACTTTCTCCTCTCGATTGGTTTGGAGGGGGGCTCCGCTTCAACTTGTTTCGTTTCTTGATGCTCAAGTTTCTCTTCTACAGCGGACTTTTCCTCTGTCTCAGCTAAGTTTTCATTTTTATCTGACAACACTTTCTTCTTCACAGGTTTCTTCTTGACGTTTGTATCAACTGGAACCTGTTTTTCTTGCTCTTCTTCTGGTTCCTGTTTAGTTTCTTTGAGGTTTTCTTTATCCAAAACATCGGCAACATTCTCTTGACTAGGAATCTCATTTATACCTTCCAAAATCTTACTGCTGACACTTGTCGATAGCGTTTTCTTCAACTTCTGAGGTTTCATCTTCTCGGCGTCTGCTAAAATTTCTGCACACACTGCTCCTTCCAGGCATGGATCTATCACTGTTCCATTTTGTTCGACATCCATATCCTTGGAAATGATCTTTGTTGAGCTTCTATCAAGAGGCGCGCTTTCAGTCATGCAGACATTCTCCTGCATGGCTCCATGAACTGTAATGTCCGCAACTGTATTTTCTTTGATGATCTTGTCTTTCCTCTTATCCAAATTGGCTCTGTCTGTGCTCAGGGTTGTTTCCAGCTTCCGCTTAGATGCTACTTTATCGTCTTGTATCAGATTTATTATCCTTCTTTCAGCAGGATGCGTCAGTTCCATCAAACTTCCTACAGATTGGGATCTAGTAGGCGCGATTCCTTCCACCCTAGCACTCTCGTCTTCTCTCGTTACCATGAGCTTTTCGCTTTCCAGTTGCGGAGCTGGTGGGGCCAAAGACAAAAGAACGTCTAGTCGCACCGGGGTCTGATTGGCCAATTCCTCGGATATGTCGAGGCAATTGTCGTTGTAGCCCTCGTTCACCCACCAATGGGTGCAGATTCTTTCGACGTCGGCGCGGTTTCTGGGGTTGACCGTCAACATGTCCCTTATCAGAGGAGAAGCAGCTGAAAATAATCATCAACAGAGCTGTTTTGATCCTCGCTTACTACTAGAGAAGAGTGCCTGGTTAAGGACATCTGACAATTGATGCTTCTTAGAGAGTGAGAGTGTTCTGAAACATGCACAGCTGACAAAAAGTATGAGATACAAATGTATCCATAAATCTATTGTTAATATGTATATTGATTGCATCTTTCCATGAGTGCAAACATATACTGGGTGTATCAAAATTATGGTAAACCCACTTTTTTCTTTTAGTTTTAGAGATGAGTGACTGAAATTTGGAATGACCCATCAACTTGATAAACGTCACGTTTTGATATAAATACGTTTCATTTTCCATTTCCGGTTTCACCGGAAGTGGTATTAATTTTTGATTTCCAATTATATCATTTCACTTTCGAATTCTGCATCATTTTCTGAATCCAATGATACCACATGAATGACCTTTCATACTTCAATATTGATTTTAATTTCATTTTTTATTTTCCAAGTGGGAAGTGACTATTCTGATGTATTCCTATAGACAGGTGTAATGCTATAAAAAATCTAGCCAAAAACTTGAAGTTTTCATATTTTATGGAATTAGCGTTCCTCGTTTCTGTAAATATGTGAGTACTTATTATTTCAAACATTTTTCAAAACAAAATGTCACTGGCAATCGCTATTCTTAGGTTCTCTGATATGATCATTTTTAAATGCAAGGATTGGGGCAAATCATATGATTTGTCCACTACACGTATATTAAAATAATACTCATAATTTTATTTTATGGAAACGAGGAGAGAAAATCACAACACATCTGGAAGAGTGAATATAGTACCTCCTCGATTAACCTACAGACAGTGTAAACTGTCATGATTTATCACCAAATAAAGTTTATCAAAATTGTTTGGAGTACCATAATCCTGTCTTTGCCGGTATTTTAGAGAAGTCAGACATGTTTTTTTTTATCGCAACTTCATCTGGTGACCTAAAAATCCGCCAATAAGAAATGCTAGGAGCGGCTACATATTCTAGTGAATACAAATGTTGCCAACTTTTATGTATTATATCCGGCAGGCGTACGCGTTTGTTTTGAATAAGGAATATTGTATGCAACCATAGACAATCAATAGAGATTGTCTATGTATGCAACCAACAATGAATAGATAATTCAGTTTTGCTAAGGGTTAGTTTCTCCTTCTGGGGATCAGGTAGTCGCGTGGTGGAAGCGTTAGTTTTCTTATCGCGATGCTTTGCCGGTCGTGGGTTCAAATCCAAAATATGGCAGACATATTTCTGATGGCCCAAGAAAGTGTTATCCCAAATACGATCAAAAATAAGCGATACGCTCTCTTGCGGATATTCAAGTAACCAATAGAATTGAATGTTTGTTTACATTCGAGCTTCCATGCATTTTATCGAAAGTTTAGTAGTCATTGTGACATTTTTCGAGTTTGAATTTTTCAGTGGAGTATCTTGAATCATTATTGCTTGGTTTGAAATGTTCATTCGTGAAAGTTTTCTGTATTTAACAGATAATTATGATTTCAATCAGTGTATAATTGAAAGATATTTCCTCAAATACTAGTGAAAAAATGAAATGAAATCTCTGCTCAAAAGCAGAGCACATAATATGTTCAATTTTTCCTACCAGAGGTAGATAAATTATTCGCACATACATCCAGCTTTGAAGACTTTTTCTCTTTCATAGAAGATAATTCGAATACAATATATACATCTCAAATACCCACTCTGTGAACTTCAACATCATATTCATTCCACTTATTTTGAAATATGTATTTCACTTCCGAATGGGAACGATATGCAAACCAACGTAACCGCTAATTGGGGCATTTGTATTTGAAGTAGTGAAACTTTATTGAACGAATATCTGCTGAAAAGCTGCCCCGATTCACAAGAGTACACGAATAAACAGTCAAAAGTGAAGTTTTCTTTGTTCAAATCACTACCACCAAATCACTTTGAACATTGTGGTTATTTCATAGTTGAAATTACGCCAGTCGGGCAACCAGCCACTCCCGTATGGGAAATTTGGTTTTGGAGTGTTTCTTTCCTTCTTTTCTACTCAGATGGCGTTACTCTCATATTGTCTATGGAGGACGCATCTGAGGGAATATTTATTTATTTATTTATTTATTTATTTATTGAACAAATAACTTCCAGACAGAATAGGCTCTGGTATAAGGAAGTACATAATTATATACCTATAGGTAAACATAGCATCATTCAAAATATATCAACAACTGTAAATTGGCAAACAAAGAATAATATTTGTAAATAAAAAAAAATAAAAAAAAATGGCATGATTAATTTTATCCAGTCCGCTGAGAAATAATCAGTTTTTTTACTTCATTTTTGAATATACCTATATTTCTGCAATTTTTTATATTATCAGGTAGTTTATTGAATTCAGTTAAGGCTGAATGAGTGAATCTTTTTTGTCCGATTAGGGAGCTAGCGGCGTCAAGATGGAACAAGTTATATTGTCTAGTTTCATGATCATGAATTTCAGAATTCCGTATCAAAATAATATTCGACTTCAATTTTTTATTTATGATATTATATGATATTTTGAGAGTTTCAATTCTATATATTTCATCTAAAGAATACGTATTTGTTATTTCATACAATTGATTGGTTGGTGTATCAAATGGGAGACGATACAATACTTTTAACGATTTTCTATATAATGTTGATATTTTATTGAAATTATTTTTTGAACAAGATCCCCAAACATTTATTAAATAGTTGATACGACTCAGTATATGAGAGTAGAGAATCATGTTTGCAATTTTAATATCAAGTTTGGGACATCTTCTCAATGCACCAATAATTGGAGATATTTTTTTTGTCAGAACATCAATATGTTTGTCCCACTTCAACCTGTCATCAAACCAAATACCAAGATATTTTATCTGGTCAGTTTGTTTCAAGAGTTCATTTTTTATTTTAAGGTTGAGGTGAATTTTTTGTTTATTTTTTTGGTGAAAAATCATATATTCTGTTTTGTTAGTATTTATCGATAAAAGGTTAGATTGGAGCAATTTTTCAAATATTTTCAAGTCTTCATTTATCATATTTTCTAAATCTGAAGGATTCTTGCCTTCTTATAAAAGTACTGTATCATCTGCATACATGGTATATTCACACGCTAGACCAATTTTACTGATATTTTGAACATAAAGTAAATATAGTATAGGTCCTAAAACAGAGCCTAGGCTACGCTTACTCGGCGGTTTTAGGACTGCTGGCTGGAAACTGCCCTGCACTGATGAGAGTCAAAGAGCACAAAACCGGCCTGTAAGTGTCTAGCGTGGCCTGGCTAAATCGAAATCAATAGGTATTCAGGAAAGAATCACTTGTATCAGTATTCGTTTATACGAGTCGATGCATTTATTTTGGGAGGACGTAATTCAATGTTCTGCGTGGGATTAGACAGGAAAGTAGTTGTTCTTCTCCCGAAAACTACCATTGTTGTTCATTTTATGAACATTGTGTGGAAATGACTTTGAGCTTCTTGTATTTATTTAACTTCTCATTCCACTTCAAGCATTGTGGTTATTATAGTTGAAAATATTGCAGTTATTGTCGGGACAGAATAAACAATTACATATGCATATTGTGATATCTCATGATCATAACAATACTGTTAATTTAGCAATGTTATAACAAGATCCTAACAAAATCAATCCGATTCTCAGATAAACCAATTCAATATTGACAAGTGTGTCTTCACTATCTGAAAAGCATCAAACGTCAGATCTAGGCACGCCGGACTATAGTTCCTAAATGATATGTCAGTTGATACAAATTCATCTAGGCTGCGCACTATACTTACGACTAGGTTTCGCAGGTTCGAAATAATCCCCTTGGGATATTTGTTTCACCAGTCTCTTGAAGTTACTTCCGTCGAAGGGCATCGCCCCGTACACGAGAGTGTACAGGAGAACGCCCAGGGACCAGCAGTCCACCTCAGGACCGTGGTATGGGGTACCTTTAACTATCTCCGGGGAAGCGTAAAGTGGAGAGCCGCAAAACGTGTTCAACAGTCTCTGTTCGTCGAAGACGTTAGACAGTCCGAAATCGGCTATCTGAAATATTCAGGGTGTCTACTTTCAATTGTGTACAGACTATCAATCAATCAAAATATATTATATTAAATCGTAGAAATCATCCACACTCAAAGTGGTCGACCACACTTTATGTAAAAATTAGCCAATTAAAAAGTAATCGGTATCGGCACAACGGCCATCATCAGACTGTAGTACCTAAAATACATGATGAATGTAGAATTATAACTAAATTATAAGATGTTAGAACATCATTGGGTTGACCATTAAGGAAAGTCAGGTGGAAATCAGTTGAAAGCGGAAATATTGCGTCGTTCTGTCATACACTAGTTTTGTTTTATGATGTTCGTTACTTTATGTGTCAGCTTGACAGCTTGTCATGTCACGTCCATTTTTATTATTTCATTCTCTTAGTATATTCTTTCCCAGTCAACATGTGACGATTTGAACTTTTATAAACAGGGTGACCGAGGGTTAAACCGCCAAACGTTTGGGATTCATTTTTTAGGCAAAAATAAGACTTTTTCTTCCTGTAAGCATGTGTCCGAACTTGCTTCATTTTGAAGATATAGGGTGTCAAATTTAAAAAAAAAACAGTTTTTCATTAATTACTCAAAAATCTTTGGGCTGATTTTGATAAAACTTATTACCTCAAATGAGCATGCCACACCCTATATCTCTAAAATGAAGCAAGTTAGGTCACATGCTTATAGGAAGAAAAAGTCTTTTATATGTAGTAGTATAAAAGTAGCCAACCTACGTCTTCCATCTGTGGTTCTATTAATTGTATCAAAACCTCTAAAACCAATACTTTTGGAATGTAATAAAATTTCCGAAATTTAAGGGTGGACTTGTTGAATCCCTCAAAATTTTATTGTTTGATGCTATCCTTCTAGTGAAATAGGTAAGTTTTTTGTTTTCACAAATAATTAGGTAGATATTTCATACTTTCTTGCCGTAGAATCACCTCTTGTGCAACATCTAGCATTAACAAATGAACAACATTTCCTCGAAATAGTGCCACATTTTTTTATTGAAAACCCTAGCTTAATTTATTATCCATTTAGGCCTTACAGAATCAGAAAATCTGTGAGGGGTTCAAATAACCACTGACCTTCATATTAACCACCAGAATGACAGTTGTTAAAATAACCATGCTCTTAGTGAATCGGACCGAGTATCTGGCTATATAAAGTAGTATGAACTTACTTTGGCATTGTTGTTTTCATCCAGCAATATATTTTCTAATTTCAAGTCTCTGTGGCAAATTTTGTGCTTATGACAGTAATAGCATGCTGTAGCAATCTGTCTGAATATCCTTCTGGCTTCCTCTTCTTGTAATACCTTCCTTTCTGAAAGGTAGTCATATAATTCTCCTCCTGCTGCATATTCCATAACTAATACCATTTTTTCTCTATTTTCGAATACTGAAAGAGAGGACATTAAGAACTCGGTAAATAAGGGGTAATTTTGCACTTATCATGCAATGGGTTTTTCTCCGGAGCTTTTTTAAGCCTACGTATTTTTGTCTGTAAAACCACGAATTTGATAATGAAAATGTGAACAAACCATTATTTATTTTTCCGCCTGTTTTTTGGAACGCATTTAGAACAATTTGCCCTTATTTTTTCATCATTGGACAATTTATATGTGACAAGGTTTTTCAATGACACATTTTTTTTATATATGAAAGTCAAGTTGAAGTATGATTTTCTTGTGATTCATCAAAATTTGCTGAAAAGAAGGAAAAATATTTGAAATAATGGCGCGTGTAACGTCATTCAAAAGCAATATTTTGACATTTGACATCTCGTATTTGGAATGATTGATTAAATCGCCGTCATCTAGTAATAGTATGATTGTTTAGTAAACATGAAAAACTCGCCATAAAATAGTAATTTTCCTAACAAGTGCGGAAAGTGATACTTTCCCACACGCGAATGCCGTTGACCCGAACGACGCGAAAGAAATTTTCCGCCTGAGTTAGGAACAATATTTTTTCTACAAGCGTAGGAAATTGATTGATTTGTTCAATAAATTATTCCTGCAAATAGGAACAACTAACAATAGTGATATTCTCTACCGTACCGTTTGAAGCATTATGTAGGTAAGCTTATTGCGGAAGCCAGCATGCCCATGGTGTTTGGCCTCTTGGTTTCAGACATGTCTAGGAAATGAGCCAAAAATACTTCTTCTCCATTTGGTGTTTCCAATTGTTTACTATTGCACCATTCAAAAAATCCCGTGTAGTGCTTCTCATACCTTTCTTGGGACTTCGTTGACAATAACTCATCTTTATCGCATATGTAGCTGGAAGTTTTTCATTGCAATTCCACTTAATCAAAAATGATAGTAACGCTCTGGCTGTCACCCTGTGAATTATACTAACTAATTTGTGTGCTGATTAACATGACAACATTTGTTTCCCACATCAGATCAATTAAAAGCTTTAGTGGGATTTATACATATATGTACATATAACAATCTCAATTATTATTTTTCAATATTTCTTCTTCTTCACAATAAATAGTGCCATCTGATGGATGATTTTGTACAAACTTACTGAATATTGCAACAAAAAAAACCTAAAATTTTCATATTGTGTGACCCACCACTCCTATTTTGTGAGAATATTATATAAATGTTTTGACAGAATAAGAAGAGCAAGTAGCTGTAAATGCATCCAACACAGAGGGGAAAAAGAATGCGAAACTTCCATCTTATTCTTTAAATATCTCGATAAATAGTGTTTTTTTCACATTTTCATTATCGAATTCGTGTTTTTCAGACAAAAACACGTAGATATACGTGCAAAGTGTGAAGTTGTTAGTTAGTCAATTTTACAGGAAATTTACTTGAAATTAAAAAGTCTAATTCTGATACTACTACCCTAAAAGAATTTATTTGAGGTATTAAATTTAATTTACTTGCATGCAATAATACAAGAAAGCTGATAGTATTACTACTGAAAATCATATTAGTAACATAGATGATAGGTACTACTAAAACTAATAATGTATACATATAAAATTCAATATGATTTTTGACACCTAAGACTGGAAAATACATCAAGTCAAAACTATCTCTTTTCTTTCATCACTAAAAAAAAATCGAAGCTTGACTCTAACTAAAAAATCGATAATGTTCTATTTTGGGACTATACCTGTGAAAGTTGAAACAATCATTAGAAAAAGAAGTAGTTTTTTTTACAATGATATTCATAAAAAAATATAGGAACATCTGAAGATTAAGTTCACTGTAGTTAAATCTGCTCAATAGATCTATTCAGTCTCCTCGTAATACTTAATGGCCTTGACAAAGACATACAATCCTGTATGTCTAGTTTATTTTAAGATGCAGTTAATTTTAATTGATTCTTCTGATTTGTTTCTTGATGGTAAGTATCATTAGTTCAGTAAACCTGCAATATTAGTTGACATCTGTTTGATATTCACCTTCATAGATGTGAATTATATTAGGGTGTTGGACAGACGACATAATTTGAATTTCCCTCCTTATCCTCACCAGATCGGCCTCTGATTCTATTTTCGACTTTTTTATTGTTTTTATAGCTACCTCTTGGCCGGTTTCCTTATTAATCCCTAATTGTACCTTCCCAAACGTCCCTTGTCCTAATTTTTTTATTATATCAAATCTGAAATGAAGAATAAATTATCTAATTAGCATGCCAGGCTTATGAAAAAAAACGCCGCGAGGTGTAACCCCGCCATTTTTTTCGAAGAACACTATATAATGAAAGCAAGGCAGAAACATTTTTGTTTATAAATTCAAGAATTTGTTCAAGAATGTATCACTAGTTTATATTCAATATATCAAAAAAACAACTATTTTTTTCCTTCTTATCCGTCTAGAATATTGATAGTGGGGCGATTCGGAAAATACGGTTTCAATTGCTATAATAAAGTGGTTCATTCACACCCGACCTTCCGTGTGCGTCTTGTCTTCCGTTTGAGGTTCAATTTCGCCGATATTCCTGCAGCAATGCTTCAAAGAGTTGATAACTAACTCAGTGTTAAGAGTGTGAGCGGTGCCATTTGGGGGAAACTTAGTCGAAAAACGTGTACATTTGAATTTTCCATTTTAGGGAATCAAGAAAGGAACAAAACTTCGAACCTTTTGTAACAGTCTGCATTTAATGCAAACTTTTAGCAACAAAAGTTACTGGAATAAAAACTTGTGATACATCGTTGAATTCAAGTTGAAAAAAATTACATTATCAACAGTTTGTAGTGATTTTCAAACCATTGAGTAAATTTGACTCTCATTTTGAAATTTTATATAAAATAATGATGTAATATCTTGCGGCGTTTTTCACAAGGCTGTATGGACTTGAATGCGAATAAATTATATTGACTGATATTATTTTAGTTACTGAAAATCAATAAAAGTAAATATAATTTGGATTTGGAAAGAATCCAGCGATAGAGTGAACATGTTTTGTCAAATGTTTCAACCATTTAATGTTCGATTGATGTTTACATGAGGAAGTTTGAACATCACCTTTGACGAAGTTTCTTTTTGTGATTGTGTTGCTTTACTGTTCCTGTGTTTTCTATCCCTCCCATTATGTTGTTTATTTCTTCTCCAACAACCATTTTGAATCTGAAAAAAAAATAGCAATGAACCTCAACTCCAGCATTAACCATTTGAATACAACCAGAAATTCGAATTTACTAAATAATGTCAGTATGCCATTAAATTATCTTTTTTCAGAGTTTATCAAAAATAGGAAGCTACTCAGGAAGAAAATATATGTAAGAATCAAGTTTTTTCAACTGTGATTTGAAATGCGTAGTTTTCAGTTTACAGGGTGGTCAAGGTAATGTTTCGACATAATTGAATCAAGTCTGGTGCATTGATAATTACTGAACTGTTTCCAACCCGAGATAAATTAGTGAACATGTGCATTGTTCAGTGTTAAGTTTTCAACAAAACGGCCCTGAAGGGTCAAACAACTGGTCTCACTCAACATTCCAAATCGATGAATGGGCCTGTTCCAGTGAAAATTTTTATTCCATTAGTTCGAAGTACTAATCCAAACTAAACCACTGTCACAAACCGTGTTAGCATCTTCAACTGTGCAGTCAATGTCTATCATGATTGAGATCACATGCGAATTTTAATCCTAAATCACTGAAATTGTACTGGGGGCTACTTATATGGAATAGGTCCTTAATTCTTATTCATAATTCTATTACCATTCTTAACTATTTCCATTCTCAACTATTTCCAGGATCTTATATGCATCTAGTTGTCTAAAAGTATCAACTTGTTTGACCAATTCAACGATATTGATGTGTGTGCTATGATTGTGAATAAATATAAGGTCAGCTACACTCGATTTATTTAATTTTAAATGTGCGAGGTGTTCTTTGATCCTTGTTTTCATAGGTCGCCCAGTCTGGCCTATATATGTTTTTCCACAATCATTACGACTGATAAATCGGGTGAATTTTTGTCCGAAAGGAATACCTCGAGGAATACATTTATGGGGAAAATTCCTATCCACGTACATTTTGAAAAAGCTATGATTTTTTTCACGAATTTTCGAAATTGGAGTCTTGGGGTGTGATTTTTGACAAAATATTGTGACATTGATGAACAGTTTATAAAGTACCAAGTAGAAAAAACTCCCATCTACTTACGATTTTATTTTATTTTTTTCAAAAAATGGGTCTTGAGGAGTGAATTTTTGCCAGACAAAATATTGTGATTTATACGGCTTCTAAAGTACCCTTGAGGAAATTCATAACAAACTCTCAGCAACAGCCTGTCCCTCGGCCTGCCCTTACGGGATAGCTCACTTATTTTCAAAGATAGATGTGATTATACTGTATGTGGAAAACAAAAAAATGTAAAAAAAATTTGTCGATTCCAGGATTCGACTTTTCCAATTAGAAATAAAAGCGTGAAAAAACGAATCATTCTCCCTTTTCCAATGTACAGTTCGTTTTTCATTTTGGCAGACCTTATACCAACAAAATTCACGTAATAACTATCTGAATATTTTATATTGATACTAGCTGACGTGGCAAACGTTGTTTTGCCATAACATTATTCCTAGAAAAAATGTTTTTACATAAATATTTATCGAAGAACTTTCATTATTTCATTTATACTTCTTTTTAGTTCGGCTATCCATGAAAAAGGGATTCTTTAGTTTTTCAAACTATTCTACTTATTCTCTACTTCTTTTTAGTTCGGCACTCTATATATCTTCATCTTTTCATTTATTTACTACTCACTTTTTTTTAGTTTGGCTATCTATAAAAACATGTTTCATTAGTTTTTCTAACTACTATTTATAACAATAGCTGATGGTGATGGTACACGTTGTTTTGCTAAACAGTGTGTACCACTTACCATGCTCACCATGGGTATCTTTTTAACGGTGAGAGATACGAGGTCGGTTAAATGACACCAAATGTGGAGTTTTTCAAGGCCAACTCTAATGTGAAAAAATATTTTGATAAAATCTATTCGTTTTTGTTTTATACGCAAAAAACAGATTTTGATCATTTTCATGTCTCCTCCGTAACTTCTTTATTAATGAAAATATTCAGATAGGAATTTTGCATTCTCATGGCAGTTTTTCAAAATGATTTCGAAAAAAATATGAAATTTATACCAACTCTTCTAATATTTGAGATATCAGCACCAACTTTAGTTTTTCAAATGTAGGTCATAGCTCACTATGACTTAGTTACAAATAACTTTTTTTTCTCTCACAGATGATGTCACGCAGTAATAGTTTTGTGTTGATAACAACGGAGTTATCGTCATTTATACAAAAACAAAAAATCATTTGGAAGCCGCCATCTTGAATTTATAGATTTTTTTTTCAATTTCAACAAAAATTCCATAATGAATTGTCACCGAAATTATGAACACCTGCCAAATTTCAAGTTAATCGAAGTTATGGAATTTTCGCTGAAATTAAAAAAAATGGCTGCTCCAAGATGGCGGACAAGATTTGGTCCGATTACATTCAAAATTGTTGAGTAGGGGTTTTTGAGGTCGGAGATCATGATTTTTTTGTTGAAATTTATGAATTCAAGATGGCGGCATCCAAATCATTTTTTGTTTTTGTATAAATGACGATAACTCCGTTGTTATCAACACAAAACTATTACTGCGACATATCATCTGTAAGAGAAAAAAAAGTTATTTGTAACTAAGTCATAGTGAGCTATGACCTACATTTGAAAAAGTGAAGTTGGTGCTGATATCTCAAATATTAGAAGAGTTGGTATAAATTTCTTATTTTTTTCGAAATCATTTTGAAAAACTGCCATGAGAATGTGAAATTCCTATTTGAATATTTTCATTAATAAAGAAGTTACGGAGGAGACATGAAAATGATCAAAATCTGTTTTTTGCGTATAAAACAAAAACGAATAGATTTTATCAAAATATTTTTTCACATTAAAGTTGGCCTTGACAAACTCCACATTTGGTGTCATTTAACCGACCTCGTATCTCTCACCGTTAAAAAGATACCCATGGTGAGCATGGTAAGTGGGACACACTGTATACATTTTCTTCTAGAAAATATTTTTTCAGTTGAATATTCATCAGCACACTTTTATTATTTTGTTTTGAACTTCTTTCTAGATTGGATATCCATGAAATCGTGTTTCATTAGTATTTTGAACTACTATAATATATATTTTCTACTTCTTTTTAGTTCGACAATCTATCTCGTTTTTCAAACTATACTATCAATTTTCTACTTCTATTCAGTTTGGCCTCGAGTTTGGCCTCGAGTTTAGCTATCTATAAAAGCGTGTTTCATATTAGTTTTTCAAACTATTATATGTATATTACCAAGCTCTTTCACCATATTGGATCCGCCATCTTGAATTTCCAAATTTTGACAAAAGAATCATCATCTCCGGCCCGAAAACCACCTGATACCAATTTTGAAAAGAATCTAACCATAATTACAAAACTCGCCCGCCATATTGTATCCGCCATCTCGAATTTCCAAAATTTCACGAAAGAATCATAATCTCCGACACCGAAAACACCTAAATACCAATTTTGAATGAAATCGGATAACAATACTCGTCCGCCATATTGGATCTGCCATCTTGAATTTTCGATTTAAAAAATAGATTACGACCGATTCTCATACCTACCACTAACACCGTGACCTCGACAGGAGAATTTTATATATTAGATTATTAAATTCATATATCTGCTATTATTATTTCTTCACCCTGTAGATAAATACGACACTTATTTTGAAAAATGAAAAATCTCGGCCACTAGGCGAATGTAAGTAAACAAACTCGTGAACAAGCATCTTTTCATGCAAATGGTCAGTTCCTAAATTGATAACAATGGAACCAGTCATGATAGGAACCTGCATTTTGAAGACAGGGTTGAGGAGCGAATGATAAATACCGGGTGTCCCAAGTTATCGTATACGAGCAATATCTCGCTTATTTGACTAAATAGTTGAAAAATTCAAAAACTTCAATGAATGGCATTGGACATATTGAAAAATCCATTATATTAGAAAATTCTCTGGCAGTTACCCCCACATTTTATTCTCAATTGGCATCCCTTGTATATTGTCATTGGAAATTACGTGTCATTCAATTTAGAATTCAACGATATACAGGGTGGAGACTTTAACTGGAATAAATTCGCTACAGGACGTCTGAATGAGTTTTCTGAAAATTTGCGAGACCCGAGAAAAATATCAACATTTTGTGACTTGTTTCAAGTAACTCAGTTATCCTTACAAAAATGAAATATTGCTTCCGCTCATGTTTTTTGTTTCAAGAAGCCGATGCTTTTCATGTCATAATAATCTTGAACACTTGATTGTGATTTTTAGTTCATTTTTTGATTCGCATAAAAGCTATTTTAGTTGAAATTCATACCTCATTAAATGTTGCTGTTTTGTTATAATAATATGTATATGCTATCCTTATTCTATTCCTTATAAGATGGCACGCAATTTTTAGTGACAATATACAGGGGGTGCCAATTCAAAAAAAAGTGGGGGATAGCTCCCAGAGAAATGTCAAATGTAATAGATTTGTTTATATGTCATGAAACAGGTATTTCAATGCCATTCAATACAGTTTTTGAATTTTTCAACCATCTTGTCAAATAAGCGAGAAATTGTCTGTATACGATAACTTGAGACACCCAGTATATCGTAAAATAATTTGAGAATTTCACCGAGTTAATCATGAATAACAGGGTGATTTCTAAAAACACGATTTTTTGTCATTTTCATCATCGAAAATCTTCATGATCACCCAACAAAATCATGTTCATATGGTATCAGCTATCTTTGGAGGATAACAATTCACTTTGAATAAACAGGATGTGTATGTATAAGTATAAATCCGAGTATAAATCGGTCATGTGTCACCAACTTCTCAACTCACCCTGTATGAAATGTAAGAATTGTGATTCAAATTGGAATGAGAATTTCATGGATATTTCATTATTATATTGAATTTTCAGACAATCACTAAAATGTTTTTATGTTTCACTCTGTAAACAATTACATAATTTGAACCACCCAAGTTGTATTAAGTAATATGGAGGTACGTTAATGATATGAGCGGAAAAAATTGCACTTGGCACATCTGAATTTCGAGAAAATAATTAAATGAAAATTACCGACTTGTAACTTTAACGCCCTGTATTTCAGAATCTATTCATCAAAGAACTTTATGATCCTGCAGGTTCAATCAATTCATCGAATTCTAGGACATCTGAAAATTCAGAAAATTTCACCAAGAACCATTTAACATACTATATAATACGTACGTACGTCGGGGATATAATGTCACGTATACAGGGTGTTCTACGACGATTAAGACAGGAAATATCTAGGAACGCGAGAGTAGTAGAAAACTGTAAATCTTTGGGGTTGTAAAGCAATCAAGTGTGATAGTTTGTTGAAATCGATTTATCGGGAGAAACAGAAATGAGAGTAGAAATGTCAAATTATACAGGTTGGCCCATTAATAATTTTGAATCTGATGTCACGTGACCGAAAACGAAAAGTTGCACCAATTGCTTCAATTTACAAACCCCAAAATTCTATTTTTCTACTAGCTAATTCCAAGATATTTCCTGCCTTAATCGTCGTGAGACTCCCTGTATACAAGGTGTTTTTGAAATGAGTGCACATATTGAGTACATTAAAATGATACAGTCTAAGGAATATTCCCATGATACCAGATTTTTTTCTAATACTTCTAATTAACGAGAAATTTCATCCCAAAAATTGAACAAAATACGAGAAAAAAATCGGATACGCCACTTTAAAATAATTTAAATGATTGAACTCCTGGTGATTGTGGCTACCACATGGAAATTTGAACAGAGGTGACGTCAGATTTGCTACAGTGTAGAACTTTGGGTGGGAAAAGGGGTCTAACCTCAAATTTTATTTTGATCCCTAAATTTTTTTATTAGTGCTATTCTATAGTACACGTCGAGCTTTCTGAGTGTTTAAAATATTTGCACCTATTTCAATGTCACCCTGTATATTTCTTGCTGCCATTTAGGAAGTTATTAAAAATAATGTGCTAAGAACTATGTCTTACAGAGATTTCTGCGTTGAAAACAGTGGCGTACTCATTTTTTCCGTAGTATCCTGTGAAATTAAAAAATACAGGGTGTTCCATTACGAAATATATATATCTGTGTCATATATTCAAGACCATACATACTCGAAAAAAATATTGAGTATGCACTGGATACTGCCAAAATGATCTGTTAGAGGTATTTCTCAGTCCAACATCATTTCTAATATCTTAGATATGAGTGTCTGAAAAGTATAAATGTTCAAAATCTCCCTGTATTGTATGAACAGAAACAGTTATGCAAAATCTGCTCAGGCCATCTTAAGTTTCAGAAAAAAGTAGGAGAGGAATGAAAACATCCTGATAACCACCCAATAGAAAAAAAATTAAACCACATGGTTCTTTAATAACAAGTAACAACCAAGATATCTGAAAATCTCAACCAAAATAGAATGCACTGTACATTTTGAAAAAGTTACATCTATTTCATGGTTTTTCAAAATGGAAAACAGTTTATAAAGTACACTTAGAACTAGTTGAACTACATTCATGGAAAAAAAACTCCCACCCATTAATGATGTTCTTTTTAATTTTCCCCAGAAATTTTCTAAAGAAGAGGACTTGGGGAATTTTTGGTGGACATAATATTGATATTGTGAACATTTGGAAAAAGTTATATCTTTTTGGAATTTTCAAAATCAGCACCTTGGGGATGAGTGAATTAATGAATTTTTGCCAGTCTGTTTGATCTGTTCATAGGGACAGGTGGTACATGGTGAATATTTTTTGCCAGAGCTGCTCCAGTTGACTGCATGGAAAGACTTACAGAATAATCAAAATCATCCTCAAAATCTGATGACAAATTATTGAAATACCTACATACACATTGGCCACAGTTTTATGACAAATTATACATCACCTAGGTAAAAGTCATTAACCAACTCATGGATATGAATAATACCTATGTATCTAGTTCATTCCTTAAAAGGAAGACCTTGAGAACTATGAAATAGTGAATTGAGTAGTGAATATGTGTCATGAATCACAAATTAATGAGACCATTGCCCACATTATAATATACAATGTTGAAAAAGGAGTGGGTGGAGTCTATTCATTGGGGTTGAGGCATCTTAAGGCTCTATAAGCACCTGTACAATGAATAAGGGTACACATCCTATACATAGGATATAGTAGGGATGTGATATAGGAACTAGGAACATTGAATAAATGAAAGGGTTGATGTTTGACTTTATAGACCAAACCAGTCAAAATGTCTTCTAACCTAATTATAAACCTATGGTATAAATATAGCAATTTGACAACATGCCATTGAGATAAGATTATAAGATAAGGAAGTAAATATAGCATAACAGACTGATAAGCTTCAATACATAAATTATATAAAATTGAATTGGAATACATACCTAAGCTCACCTCCCTTTTTAACTGAAAATACACCCAGAAAAGGATTTAATTAGGGGTTGACTAGGCTGAAAAAAACCTTGATGTGTCTCTACACTTCTTCACTATAAAAATGTACACTAATATTTATGTATTACACTTCATATTATTTTGTTTATCACTGATTCCAGAGCATTTTTTTCGATTTAAAAAGGCAGATACTTCTGCTAGCCGCCATATTTCTTTCATTTAAAAATAGAAAATAGTTCAGGCCATTCGATCATTGGATGATTGGAATGTGAGGCGTGCGACGAATTTTTTGGGAATCTCAAGATTCGCGGGTAATCCAAACTGAATATTTGTGAATTATCAAAAATAGCAGAGTCGCTATTCTATTTTGATTTGATATCATATCATTTTGTACCTAGTCTTTGGTTTGATTCATGGAAAAAGATAATTCATGTACTTATTAATAAGTAATAGGAATATAGTTTTTTTATTGTAATGAATAACGTATTGCAAAAATTGAAAAACATTAGCTTTCTTTTAAGTGCAATATTTTTAATTATTATTATATCAATCAAAATAATAAGAAAAAGTTTGAGTTTAGGGTTTCTGTTTTGTTTACAATTTACACATTTGACATTTCACTTGACAATTTTGACATTTGAGATCAAATTCAAGATGGAAGATGTCAATTGTCAGAATGGCACAGGTCCAAAAAATCAAAAATGACAAGTCAGTTTTTCACAAAATAATGTCAAATGATCACAGAATTATTGCTTTTCAAATGACACTAATGACTGATTCAACACAGGGAAATGGGGAATAGAGAATATAGAGATTTTCCAGGTAACAATATTTGATCATAAAAAAAATGGGTGTATATCGGTATTTATTGAATATCGCTTATATTGGTAAACAGTTCAGGTAAATTGAATGAATTTATGCTTATTTTTAAAACTTCGTGAACAGTTGCATAACCTCATTTTTACAGAGGTGCTCAGAGACAGGTGAAAAGGGGTACCACGAGGGTAGATGACCCCTCAACTATACAAGGGAGAATAGAAATTGCATTGAACAAATTGAATCCAATTAATGACCCAATCGTGTATATGTCTAGTAGGTGTGTAAGTTCTATAAAATGGAATATTTAGGAACTTCTTCAGATAATACTTATTCTTGATACTTTGATAGGACTGATTCTGGTGTTCATGCCCTAAATTCTACCTGTCATGTAGATCTATATAGGGAAAATGGAATGATATATGATCCTTGTTCAGTTACAATCTGTCTCAACAAATATTTTGGAAAGGAGGATGTTCCTATAAGAATTTTGAGAACAAGGATTGTACCAGAATCTTTCAACAGCAGACATAATGCTATATCCAGAACTTATCTGTATAGATTAATGATTGCCAAAGCTAACAAGCTGAATGTAGCACCAAATTTAAATTACATCCCTATAGAAGAATTGAATAGGTGCCTCTTTATTTGGTAAAAAATATCTACTTTCACCATAAATATTTATTTTTGTCTGTATATTTTTAGTACAGATACTTTAGATCTAAACATTATGAATGAAGGTGCCAGAGTATTGGAAGGTTATCATGATTACAGAACCTTTATGTCAAAGCATTCAGGCCATGAAGAGAAAATAACAAGAAAAACTATTGAATATATAAAAATTCTTCAAATGCCCCACCCAGGGTATAGTATTTACAGCTGGCCTTTAGTAGCAGAACCGGAATTCAATGAATATATCTTCATTGATGTCTATATAAAATCTTCAGGATTTTTGTACAAACAGGTAGAACAATATCTATTTTTTTGCCAAATGCAAATGTGTACCTGCATGTCCTAAGGATGAAAAATACAATACATATCTCAAACCCTTAGTTGCCAAAGCCGTAATTGCCCTACACAAACAAGGCATTGTTGGCGGTACTAAAATATGAGTTCAATGTCAAAGTCAAAAATCCAAAAATTTTGCCACATAGCCAGGTCATACCTGCTTTATGGAAAATATTCCAATAAAATCATGAAGAATATTTGAACAAAAAGAAAACCTCAATTTACCGAAAGACGTGAGCCGTCTTACGTTTTTTCACTCTCAAATAATACTTTTCGACCAATTCATTGACCGGAGAACACCCGGAGAAGAAGATATAAGGCCAAATGACACTAATCTCTTCTACTAACCTTACCCCATGTTTTCGTGGCGGGATTTGAGTTTATAATCCTTGGGTTTGGTGGACAAATAATTAAAGTCGCACGGCTATGCTTATAGAACTTGAAATTCTATGGCTGATCCAAGATTGATAAACTATACAGGACTCGTCCAAGATGACGCATCATAACTATTCAAGGTCGCCTGCTAGTGGCACTGCCTTGTCCGCGAAACTAGAGCCTACAGACAGGAGGTAACGAATAATCATCGCGGTGTTTTTTTTATTGTGTTTCAACTGATTTTCATATACTTTTCAGGAGGGTTTATTCATACGACGACGTGTTGGTGCCACATGCAAGGCTATATTAAATCACGGAATTTTGAGAAAAAAAGTCGAAGTTTTGAGGAAAAACGTGGAATTTTGAGAATAAAAAGTCAAAACTTCGAGAAAATCTCGCATCTTGTATTCTGAACTGAACATTGAACCTCATTGAGTAAGGGGTTAAACCTCTGGTGAATAATGTAACTGCCAGGCATGCCGATAAAACAATATTTTATATTGGGGTTAATTAGACGATCATGATATCTTGGAATAGGTACCGACTTATATGACAAAATAAAATTCAAAAGAACGTTGAAACGACGTTCAAATGCTTCACATTCGTTCCGAAGAAAAAACTTGACTATATATTGTGCTGAAAATTTGATTTTTTTCCTGAGATATCAAATATCCACAGGTACGTGGATACAAAATGCACTTGAATATCCTGACTTGATTCAAATTGAAATGCATCTGAATGAAGGCCGTGCCCAGAGAAGCGGGGGGGGGGGGTTGAAGTGTCCGAAGACCCCCTGAACTCTGCCGGAAATTTTCTGTAGACTTAACTCTGCGCCAATCAAGGATATGTATTGGTTAGTTCCTACCAATAAATGAATATGAATAATGATGATAATTATAATATATACATTTAAAATTATTATTGTTTTGCTGCCGCGGTCGCGCGCTGCAACGCTCCGCCACCGCTATGATTATTTGTTGCTCCTGCGCTGCTAGGGTATAAATACCAAACTCGATTTTTTTCATTAGATTTTATTATTTTCCTGATAAAGTCTGCGTGAGCCACGTTGAATTTCGCAACAGGAGACTATACACACATCGTACACTATTTCCAAAACATTCAGAGGTGTCAGTAAACGATAGGAAGGTACGAGGCGGTCTATGTAGTTAATCAATCTTGTTCTGAGACAATTTCCTGTCATTCACTTTTTTCATGTTCTGTGATATTATATGTCAGTTACCGTTGGCAGAACTGCGTTCGTATCTCCGTCTCTTTCTCCTCTAGAAATTTCTTTCGACTTTGAGCTCCTTGAGCGTCGTCTGTTGAGTTTGTGGGCCAAATTTTTATTAAAATCAGAGTCGATCCAGATTGATTGTGCACCGTCATCAGTACCAGCAAACGCAAGTAAATATCCTTATTTCTAATTTAGTAAAATGTATCTTGTTCGTATGTATGATTGGGCAAACATTCCTTGGACTCCTTGGACACGTTTCTTAACCTAGAAGCGGCCGGTGGACTTGGAGGGAAACATTGCAAAATGGCTTCCAAGTAAAGCCGTTCATAAGGTATTTAAGTAAAGCGCTTTTTTTTCTATACAGGTCCGAAGGACAGTAGCATCGCTGGTTGCTTTAGCACAAGGTAAAATCACAATTAGGGATATTAAGTTAATGCTGGAGGTACCGTCTCTTCATTCGTGGTGCCCCCAAATAAAGACTTTGCCGGCGCACGGACTGTACCTTTGCGAAGTAGAGTACGCTAGGGAGGACCTGGACACTTTTTGGGAGGTTTAATTTTAGTTTCAGAATGGTGGGATCTAGAGTTTATGTAGGGGGGCTGCCTTATGGGACTACAGAACGGGACCTGGAGCGCTTTTTCAGGGGTTACGGTCGGATGCGGGACGTTCTCATCAAAAACGGATACGGGTTTGTTGAGTTTGACGATTATAGAGATGCAGATGATGCTGTGTATGAATTAAACGGTAAAAAACTTTTAGGGGAGCGTGTGACTGTGGAACGAGCCCGAGGGACACCCAGGGGTCGAGACCAATGGTCCAATACCAGTAGCAGCAGCAGCAGCCGCAACAATGACCACCGCTCCCACGAAAGGTATGGGCCACCCACCCGCACCAACTACCGGTTGATTGTCGAAAATTTATCCTCGCGCATCAGTTGGCAGGATTTGAAAGATTTCATGCGTCAGGCTGGGGAAGTCACCTATGCAGACGCGCACAAACAACACCGTAATGAAGGAGTGGTCGAGTTTGCTTCTTATTCTGACATGAAAAACGCCATCGAGAAACTCGATGATACCGAGTTGAACGGCAGGCGCGTCCGTCTAGTAGAGGACAAAAAAAGCAAGGGCAGACGTTCTGCTTCTTACAGCAGCCGCAGCAGGTCTCGCAGCCGGTCTGCCAAACGCTCTAGGTCGCGTAGCCGCTCCAGGCGTAGTTCTCGTTCAAAGAGCAAGTCCAGGTCCAGATCTCGTTCGGGTAGTGCTAAAGCAGACCGAGAAAAGGACAAGTCTAGGTCACGTTCGAGGTCGGTTTCTCGCAAGAAGTCCGTCGATCGTTCGAGGTCCACCTCTAGGAAGAAGTCCGTGGAACGGTCGCGCTCCAGGTCTCACTCTCGGACGCCTGACAAGCGGTCCAAATCTCGCGAGGCGTCCAAGGGCCGGTCCAGGTCACGTTCTGCTACCAAGGGCAGGTCAAGAAGTCGGTCCCGTTCAGCCAACTAAAGGAAGCGGTTGTTGCAAAACTGAAGAAATCGGTTATGTGTTTATTATTTTAGGGTAGTTTGTAATATAGAGCCATGTAACATCTTGAGCTGTATTTAGTCCTCAATTTTTCATTACTATATTAGTCCTTTCCATTGGTTTGAATTGTATTTCTCAATTGGCAGAGTAATATTTTTCTTTTTTTTATCAAAATCAATAGCTAGTTGACAAGTTGGTGTTATATCACAAACAATGCTGTTTACTCCATAGTGTGATTAGATTTATTCTAACATTTTTATACATTGAAAAAATAAAATTGATTTTTAAAAATACAATTAATTTCTGAGCACTCTTTGAACATGAGCTTTTTAGATTCCATAAAATTGAAACAAATTAGTTTGAAGAAAACTGAGACTCTAGTAAAAAGAGTTGATGGCAAGATGTTCAGGGAAACTAGAGAAAATCCATTGAAATTTGTAGGACACTATCATGGTTTTATTGTGGATACAAAACCAGATGATATACCTGCCAATGTATTGAAATGTTTATATTTAGGTTCACAAGATTGTTGTACTTTAGAAGTGCTAACATCTTTCAACATCAAATATGTATTGAGTGTGGGAGTTGAGGCTCCGGTGAAGTTTCCTCAGATTGAATATAAATTTGTCAGTTGCTTGGATTTGCCTGAAACTGATTTGAAAATTGTATTGAAAGACTGTGTTCCTTTTATAGATCAAGCTTTAACCCAAAATTGTAACATTTTAGTGCATTGTAATGCAGGTGTTAGTCGATCATCATCTATTGTAATAGGTTATCTCATAGTAAATAAACAGTATACTTACTTGCAAGCATACAATATTGTTAAAAACGTAAGAGAATGTATCAAGCCTAATACTGGCTTTGAAAAACAATTGCAGTGTTTGTGATGTTCTGTTAAGATATTATACAACCGCTTTTTTTCTGCTTGCAAATTCTAGTTTTCTCTGTCATAATGTTTAAGAAGTTAGGGTAAATATATTCTTATGTATTTACTTCCAATACCAATAAAGTTTTATATGAATATTGATCTTCCTTTTTTTGGTGGGATCCTGGTAAAGAGAAATAATCTAATTTTGATAATAAAATCATGAATCCAAGTCAGCTATGATCACACTGATAATTGATTATACAGTGTCATTCATAAAGTCGGCATCATATGGGAAAAACTTTTATTGATGACTTATTTTGGAATTCGAGTTGAACGTTGAGTTTGCTTCAAAAAAGATGAAAAATGATTTACTCAATCGGGGTCACGTGACTTTCGCTACATGTCAAAAGTGACATTTTTTCAAATCAATCGCTGAAAGTAGGCTTATTTGTTCGAATATCGAAAAAGTTTACTTGAAAAAGTTGTTTCTTTTTCAATTTCACACATGCTCTTCGAATTTGATCTTTCTATTGCAACTTTTAGATTTTGATTTTTTTTTAATTTTTCGAAATTTCTGTAATTTTTGAAGAATTGTTAATTCCACGTAACTACTTCATACCAGTAGCTTCTTCATGCTACTTCCTTTCAATTACTTATTATCACTGATTATGGACAGAAATATGATTTTCTTCAGAAAATGATAATACCCGCTTCCAAATTCTGTTATGTTTGATGCAAAGTTGATATATCGTCAAGCATTTAGAAACGAAATTCATTTAAACTGATCTTTTCAGTACTGAAGAAATACATTTGGATGAATCTAGTTTCTAAATGCTTGACTCAAACATAACAGAAATTTAATGTTATATATGTTTGCATCAAACATAACAGAATTTTGAAGCGGAGATTATCATTTTCTGAAGAAAATCATATTTTTGTCGATAATTAGTGATAATTAGTAATTGAAAGTTAGTAGCATGATGAAGCTACTGGTATGAAGTAGTTTTATCGAATTTACAATTTTTTTAATATTACAGAAATTTTGAAATTTTTTAAAAAATATCGAAATCTAAAGAATGTAATAGAAAGATAAAATCCGAGTCACATTGTAAAATTTAAATAGAAACAACTTTTTCAAGTAAACTTTTTCGATATTCGAACAAATAAGCCTACTTTCAGCGATTAATTTGAAAGAAAAAAAAATCACTTTTGACATGTAGCGAAAGTCACGTGACCCCGATTGAGTAGGCCATTTTTCATCTTTTTTTAAGCAAAACTTAAATAATAAAAAATGCAATCTATTAGTTTCCTTCTTTGAATACGTTCAGTATTCTACAGAATATATTGAAAGTATTTTTGGAATCTGAAGAAATAATTGGAAGTATGCAATGAAGTACCGAGTGTTTCAAAAACATTACTTCTCACACCCTGTACCGGGTTCACAAGATAATTTATAAATTGAAAACCTGCTTGGAACAATAATAATAAAGTACCTTCCTAATGAGTTATAAGAAATATTTGACAGCTTCGTGTAACTACCCCTCACTTTTTATTTTCAAATGGCACCCCATGTATTTTGTCATTGAAAATTGCATGGCATTCCATTGTTTTTAATACAATGATAGCACGCACATACTTGGTATTTGGTTGATCAATAACAAAAACGTTAACATTTTGTGGCTTTTAACGTTACTTGAATGAAAAATTTGCCTCCGCTCTTGTTTCTATAACCACAGAATTTAAGTTAATAATCTTCACAGTTATTCTATTTCAGAGTGCAGAACATTAATAATTTTTGAACGGTACCTTTATAAGTGTATAATTAATCTACTTCTATTCTGTGAAGATTTTAAAAACATGGGAGGTGGAGGCAATTTTTCGTTTAGGTAACTTGGTAATAAAATTCACATTATTTTGATGTTTTTTTTTTGTTACTAATAAACAAAAATAACAAGTATGTGCTATCGTTGTATTCCAAATAGAACACGCAATTTTCAATGGCAATAAGAAAAAATTATATATGAAAAGTTGAAGAGGTGTAGTTATCTGATATAAATGGATTGTGAAATAATTATATTCGTCCTAAGTATTCACTATCTTTCATACAATTTGAAATTCCACATTCAGCTTTTCTTATCAGGATTTTAATATTATCTTTTGTCGGATTTATTTTATATTATTTGTTATACATAGATGTCCTTCATCTCCGATATTTCCTCATGTATTAACCAGAAAAGAAGTTCTTCTGATCATCAAAACTTTCGACTGCATCAATTTATTTTCAGTTTAACGAACCTATGGAATCGATATTATTAAATTTCTTCAGAATAAGATTCTACAGGATGAAATTCAACCCTTTATCTATGAATATTTCAGTAATGAGTGAAAATTCAAAGAATTTAAAAACCGTTTTTCACCTCAGAAAAAATTAAGAAAAAGTGTCTAAGAAAATGGATATAAATCAACTCTATATTTACAATTTACTGATTCATATTTTCAAAAATAAAAAAGGCATTCAGTTTAAAAAACATATCTATATGACATAAGAAATAAAAATAACATAACATTGAAATATAAAACAAACAAGTCATTCGGACGTAGAAATTTGAAATTTTTAATTCCTTACCTATATAATAAAATTCCAAATGATATTATAAAAAGAAAATCACTACAATCCTATACAATAAAAATAAAAAACTGGATATTAAACCCCTAAAATTATTTTATTTCTTTAATTAACATTTAATAATATCATCAGATAAATTTTAATAATAATTGTGAATAAGTATATGTATGAATATAAATAATTATGCTTATTGAATGAAATGCTCCGTACACTATATATTATGAATTGAATACTTGTCTCATTTCTTAATGAGACAATTTTCAATTGTGATAACTTGATATTGTTAAATATTTATTGACCTATGTACATTTATTTATTTTTTATCCTTACTACAAGGTTAACTTCGTAAGGTTTTTCCCAGTTTATTCAAATTACCTTTATGTTTATTCCAATATATTTTGTAAACGTTTTTGAATAAACTTATATTATTATTATTAAATAACTGGTAGAATCTCATTCTGAAGAGATGCAATAATTCATTTCCATAGGCTAGTTTGAGGCAGGCGAGTTATAACGAATCAAAATTGATCATAACAATTTTGATTTTACGTTTCCAGTGTTGAGCAGTTTTTTTGTATTTCTCAGAATTAGAGAAAATCACGTATACCATCAAATTTTACCTGTACTTTGTTAGAACAACTGTACTACCAAGTTTTGGGACATTCGATATAAAGAAAAGTAGGGCATGTATTCTGACAATTAATTTAACTTTGTACCACTTTCTCAACAATGAGAATATATAGTCGAATCAAATAAATTTGGTGTTTAGTATACAGAAATATGAATCTTATCTTTCTAGCCTACTAACCCTTGTGTTTTGACTATTTTAGCGAAGCAATATTAATTATCATATACATAAATTATAAGTGTTATGAAATAATGATAAATCTTTGATATTCCCACTAGAAATTTTTGGAAGTTGGTTGAATAATCAAATGGAAAAAGTAACAAAATAGTTTCAAACTATAAAATACGCATTTGACATGAGGCCCGCAATTTTTTAAGTGATGGATATACACTTTACTGACAATAAAATAATCGATCCACTCAAAATATTGATGACAATTGCTTATCATTGAAGTTCTTGATTTGAAGCCTGATTCCATTATTCTTCATAGCATGTATAGGGGTAGGTCATAATGGTATTACACACGTAAATGAGGAAGTACGAAAAACTTGCTTCATTTTTCAAGATGCAAGTATCAATGTTTTCAATCAATTTACAATTACTCAAAAGTATTCGGTAAGATGAACATTCAGATTCAATAACTGGTTGAACATATAGTACAGTATGATGCAAATGTATGGAATAAATTCATTATTTCAGAGATGGGCGACATTTGAAAAAATTCCAAAAACACGTGAGTTTTCATTTTTGAAGCCCCATCTCATGATATTCATATGAGAGATGTTACGTCACCGATGTTGGAGTAATGACGTGATGGACGATTTTTTCAAATACTGAGGTCATGTGACACCTCATTTGTAAGGACTACTGATCGTCTATTCAACAGTCAAAATTTTGTATAAGATGATTGAAATTAAAATGGATTATAATTTGATTGAGTGAATCTTGCAGGGGTCTACTACTGAAAATTTAACATTGAAGGGTCGTCTAGTTTAAAAAATAAATCAATTAAAAAGGTTCTGAACTCTAGTTTTTGGATTTTTTTCGGAAGTCGTCTTGTTTTGAAATGAATTTATTCCATACATTTGCATCATTCTGTATATGGGTCCACATTTTCTGCATTAACAAGAAAACTAACGAAGGCATTGAAACAATTGAAAAACTGAAAGTAAGCAGGACCGTCTTTCACCTATTAGAGGCCCTGGACACATTAGAATAATGGGGCCCCTATGACCTTAATAGAGTATTATTTTGTTAGAATAGACAGATAACGTAGAAATGCAAAATTTTAGCATTATTTTTATGAATAGATTATATCATGTAATCCACACTAAGTAAACAGCATTCACGATTAGTCCTTATACTCCTTATATAAGTATCTATGCTGATTGAAGAGGTACCCTTCTAGATTTCAATTGAGCAAAATCGTTAATAACATCTTCAAAATCTATGTTTTCGAGCATAACACATTCGATTGACATTAGCGACAAACTATTCAATCTCTCTTGAAGCATTGTACTTCTTAATAATTCACTTTTCATTCGTTTTAATTTGGAGAAGGAGCGTTCCCCACTGCAGTCAGTTACCATCATGCTTAGAAAGATTCAAAAGATGATATATAATTCCTGTATATGATCAGTTTTTTTATTTTTACTCTGATCAATTTTCAAGTATTCTGTTGAATGCAGACATTCAGCTCACAGCAAGAAACGGTTTGCAGTGGTGAGCTAGTTTGGGTGAGTTCTATCGAATTATGAAATACATTTTTTTTGTGATATAAGCCCATTAGCAAGGTGGCGATTTTACTAAATATACTGTACGCTAGCACAAACCACGCCCACCGTAATATTTCATCTTCGAAGTACTTAGGCAAAACTCAGAGACTATTTATCCTTA